AGTAGCGCGCGCCAATGTGAGCGGGGAACAGCTGATGTTCCTTAAGGAAACCCTGACAGGAGATTCAGGTGCGGGGGTGTTGAGATTTCGTCTCAGTTCCTGTTTTTTTTTCTTTTTTTTTTGCCTTGCAGCACGTGGCTACCTTTTGGCGCCCTTTTCTCTCTCTTTTTTTTAACCTCTTCTCCTCTTCACAATTTAATCATTTGAAAGAGTTGAGGTGAAAGAGGAGATTGATCGGGTATTGGGTTACAAAATCTTGCACACTTTGTTGCGCCCACACCGGAAATTGCACAGTGGTACGTACATGCCTACTTGCGGGGCTTCGCAGGAAAGGAAACCCGTCGATCAGAGAGTATCTGTATGCAAAGCCTTGCAACATCGGCAGCAACATGATCGGTAGTAAGTAGTAAATCGGCAATATCAACGGAAGGGGGCTGTCAGATTGTCGGCTATATTCAGCCAGGCCCAAAGACGGTTATAATTGGCCCAAGGCAGCAACAATTTATCAACGCCGATTGCCATTTGTGTTGACAACTAACATAGTGGACACTGGACAGTGGATCAGGAAAGGAATGGGGTAGTTGTAGTCCCTCGTTTCAGAGATCTGTAGTTGGCATGAAGCGTGTTGATTTCGCACTTTACAGCTTGTAAAACCAGCAAAGGCAGTAGCCACATACTGGCCACGCTATGAAATTATTTATTTAATAATCGAACGGCCAGTCATGGAAAATGGTCAGCAATTGTCGTTAGTAGTGGCTGATGGTGCTTTGCAGCCGCTAATTGTCCACGAAAAGCAGAAGTTGCAACAGCAACACACACACACAGACACAGAATTTATTACGTTTCAATTATGTATATGCGCAAATGTTGGCAAAGCCAATTGGCAACGCATAAATCTCTATGGAGTCACTCTCTCTCCCTCGCTGAAACTTGGTCCGACTGTCAAATTAGCACGCCAGCATCGTGGCCATTAGCAGCTCTGATCTGGCTAATCAGCTCCCTACTCCTAAAGCGGCAACACTCTAATGTGCATCTTCTTCTTTTACTCTTTACTGGCTGCTGCTGGAATGGCAGCAACACGTAGCATGTACTGCCAACTGCAACATTGTGGGAAATGACAGCCTTGATTTATTCCAAGGAGACTAATCAGTTCTTATCGGTTTCTAGCTTGACTTTGCTACTTTTCTAGTTCAGCTAGAGATCATTGGAAAAACTCTGTACAACTTAATCGTCATCATATGGCACCTTTGCCTTAAACTTGCAACATGTAAATAACCATTTTAAAGCTTGTCAGCAACATCTTAGCGATCTAGCGAACTCACTTTCCAATCGCTTTTCCTGGGAGTCCAAATTAAGTTGAACAAATGGAGGGTTGCCTTCAGGTTGCGTATTTCATATTCTGCCAGCAGCAACAAGCAGCAGGCAGGAACTTAAGCTGCCCCACCAGGCAACATGCAATGTGTGTGGTCTGCCGCTGCTGCTGCTCCTGCGGCTTTCGCTGTTGTTGCTGTTAGTGCTGCCCCTTGCAGTTGCAACTTTTGTCGTTGTCCGTGCATAAATCGTGTGAAATATCGCATTTCGCGCATTTTCGCTTCGTGTTAACGAGTGTCACATACGCACACATGAAAAACAATCGCCTGCAACAAGCATTTATTTGTCTTTTTTTGCCTGCCTCTTGCAGTTGCAGTTGTTGTTGTTGTTGTTGTTGTTGTTGCTACTTGGGCTGGCAAGTGCTTGTTGCTGGGCTTGCTCTGGGCATTTGCATATTGACAGCGTAGTGTGATAATGCTGTTGACATTGATATAGCTTCAAAAGTCTGGCTGCAGACTGTGGGACAGTCTATGTTGCTGCTGCTGCTGCTGCTGCCCAGACTATTGTTGCTAGTTGCTGGTTGCTGCCGCTGCAACGCCCACCAAACAATTGACAGTCAACAACATGCCGGCGAGGCAGGCGAAAAAAATTACAGAAATAATGCTAAAAAGAGCGCAGAATCTGATAAAGTTGCGGCTGTTGCGCATGCGCATGTTGCACGCCTACAAAATCATGTTGCACGTCAGTTGAGCGAGCTTTTTGCCCTCAAAATATTTGTGGCCGACAGTGTTTGTGTGTGTGTGCTCCGCTCATTTAAATTCTGCAATGATTTTTGCCAAGTACTTTGGCTTTTCGCTCCGTTCAAGGCCGCCTTTTTCGATCCGCTTGTGTGGCATCCGGCGTGGCTATAAGTTATATATATGCAACATATATACTATATCCTATATGCTGACAGACGGCAGCCGAGAAGGCGGACTCTGGCTAGATCGGATTTCCAGTACTACTACTGGGCGGCAATTGATTCTTAAAAAACGTTGACAACTTACATGTTGCAGCAACATGCTGCCGCCGCGTTGACAAATTGGCCGCATGTAGATGCAACATTTGAGCGGAAATTGGAAATTACTGAAAAAAATGCTCGAAAAGCAGAGCGAACGCCCACCAAAAAATGGGCTTGCGGGTAATCCCCGGCGAAAAGTAAGAAGAACACACCGAACACCCAACTAATAATCGCATAATACACGTACCAGGCTAATGATTAACCTGCATCATTATCGCTCCAAGATCTCAGATGCTTCTCTTTCAGTTTTTTAAGGTTGTTTTTTTTTTTTTTTTTTTTTGTTTTGCCCATCGAAAATTAGCTGCCGTATCTGCAGAAGCTCTTCCGAGTGGAGTTTGGTTCGCCCAGACTGTGCTGGGCTGGGCTGGGCTGGGTCCAGGGGCAGGACAACAAAGCATCCTGCACTTTTACTCGCCCCATTCAAGCCAAAACCAGGAGGATGATGGCCCCGAGGCAGAGACCTGCAATCTGGCTTTATTTTATGCGCGGAGCGCGCTTAAAAATGCAGTCAACGTCTCTTTGGATGGGGCAGACAGGAACCTGCCGCTTAGGCGAATGCCTCACGGGCCCCAAAAAGGCAAACGGCCCGACAACAGCAACATCTACAGCAGCAGCAACAGCAGCAACATCTACTGCGGCAGCAACAAATGGCATTAAAAAAAACCATCACTGCGAGGGGCGAGGGAAAATTCACTGCATCCTCCCACTTTTTGCTGGTACGCGAATGTTGCCTCTAGATGGGCCTATTATGTTGCTGCTGCTGCTGCTGTTGCTGTTGCTCTCGATGTTGCTGCTGTTCGCCAATCATTAAATGCGTTTTTCATACTGTTGATTTGGGTTTTATTTTTTAGTTTTTTATGCGGGAGTTGCCGCTGCCGACGCTGCGATTTTTGATTTATGTACCAGCAAATGAGTTCGCGAACGGAGAACGTTGAACGTAGAACTGAGAACTGAGAACCAAGAACCGAGCGAATGTATATCAAATAAGTATACACCCACACTTCCGGCTGTAAATTGAATTGGGGGCGTGGCTGAAGGAATGTTGCACCCCATGTTGCCGGCGGGCCATTCAGATAATTATGCGCATGTTGCGCTGCTGTCTGGTCGATAGTTTTGGTTTGGCGAACATCAAAGTGCCAGTGGAAGAAGAACGACAGCGACAACGACGACAAATCGCTGAAAGTTACAGTTTAAGTTGCTGCCACTGAAGCAGCAGGAGGAGCAGCAGCAACAGTTTGCTGCCAATCACCGCAACAGCAACTGCAGCCGCTGTGGATAATCAGAATTCCAGCATTTTCACCTGTTGCTAAAGCTTGTGCAGCCTGACATGTGCCGCACATGCCGCGTTGCCATTTGTCTGCACTTTAATGATGCGCCACATCTAACTGCAACTGCAACATCTGCAACGGCAGCAGCAGCAACAGCTTCCACATTAACCATTCACTACATGCACGCAGAAAAAATCTAACATGTTCAACTTGGTTTCGTTTTTAAACAAAAAAGTGAAGTTATTTTAAGCATAAAAAATGTTTATTTAAGCTTAAAAGCTATCATTTATGTTTTATAAACTATTAATACTACATTTTCTAATGCCAAACCATTCTAAGGTACTCATGAAGGGTATTTGGCAAATTCTTAAAGTCGCAATTCCATTGACGAAAATCAAAAACAAGTCTTGCAACAATGTAACTACGGAAGTCGCGGATTTTCAAGAAATTATCATAGTGTGACTTTTTGCATGAATTTTCTTAGTTCGCTTTCAAAGCTGGCGCATGTTTTACCCTTTAAAAAACAGGAAGCGAATAAATTGGGTTTTTTTCCCAATTTCATGTTTATGCTTAGGTCATTTGAATAAGTATTGGTGCGAAAAGTCTACAGAATGACGTACGAATAGCGTCAAGTAGTTGAAGGTCATGATTTTGATTTTGCAATCCGAAATCATGGGTTCCACTTAGCTAGCATATACGACATTGTGTAGCAGTAGCTAAGTTTATGATTCTTAAACTGCTGTTCATGGTCTTTCCTAATGAAACATGATCAGTGGATCCTCCTCTATGTTATAAATGAATACTATCAGAATGTTTCCAGGGGTTACAAGCAGCCACCATCACCCACCAGTGAAATGGCAAGTGATTGACGGACTACCTCAACACATTTTCTATACACAAGCCTTGTACAAAGAAATAGTGGCAGCTCATTTGAATTTAGAATGAGGAATGGCTAAACAGTTTTACAAAAATTGAGAATTTGGAATGCTCTAAGAAAAGTACAATTATTTGCACAATATTTCCCTAACTCTTTAGGGTCTTCAAAGTTAATAAATAAAACCCTAAAAATAAAATAAATACTTTCCTCTATCATGTACCCGTAAAGTCCAAAGTAAAATCTTAAGATATAGAAACTATCGAAAGGAAAATAAAATAAACAAATCTGCTTAGTTGACTTCTGGCCCCTTTGGAGAATGCCTAATTTTTTAAAGAAAAAAAGAATAAAGGGGACAGCATTTGCATTTTCGATTCGGCAGTTGGAAAGATTGGAGGAGGTGTCTCCCAGCGGGTTGTCGGCCCCACACAATGATAAAGAGAATGAGAAGCGGGAGAAGACTTAACTAGAAACTGTAGTTTGTCCGTCCCAAGGCCGGTGAATTTATGGCCAGGTGCCAATTGGGTTGGAAGGGGGTATATATATAGCATTTGAAAAATGCCCGTTCTGGCCAACACTAATTAGTTTGCCCAAGACCCCGGGGCCATTGCATAATTTAGGTAGCGAATTCCTTGAGCCTCGCCAACCAAAACGCCCACACATCATAAGAGCTGGATTTTTCCAGGAAAGAGTTGCCGCTTAGGGCTATGGTAATGCCTCCACATCCACCTCCACCTTCACCCTTTGTGGAAGCTAAAAACCTGGACCAAGCCAGATCGTTGAGATCATAACCGGAGGGATCTGTGATCCACATTTGCATAATTGCAGACCAAAGTCGGCGCTGACTTACCCACTGAAACTAAATAATTCCCTTTGGAGTGATTCAATTTTCCTGAAATGGAGCGAAAGAAGAGGAAGTTATCCAGCCAGCGACGCTTAGACCAGGAGCTATCCTTCCAACAACGACTCCTGGGCGGTGTCCAAAAGAGTTTCGGGTGAGTCAGATTGAGCATAAATACGTCTGATTTGTAAAGGGGAATCCTTCACAGACCGCCTCTGGCTTATCAAGCTATTTTGAATTTTGAAAAGGAACATGGAATGTCGTAAGGATAACTTGGTTATATTGTAGTATCTTAATCCCAAAAGTTGTTTCTTTAATTTTAGCAACCTGGAAACCTTCATCAATGTCCTGAAATGTGTCTTTAGCACTGGTTGTCTAGCCATGCCAAAGGCTTTTTCGTATTCAGGTTGGTTAATTGGCCTAATAAGCACTTTTGCCCTGACTTTGTTTGTGCTATATGCCATGCATATTCTAGTATGTAATCAAGTCTTATATATTCAATAAATATTATAAAATAACTTCCTAACAGCTGCATAATGTCAATGCTCTGGGAAATAGATATGAAATTCCAATGATCAGTTATCGAAAGACTGTAGAGTTGGCCATCTGTAATGGACCTCCAAGACTTAAGTTTTTGAGCAAACCTTTTGGGTTCGTATGACCCATAAACTAATAACTAAACTAATGGCTTATTTAGATATCTTGTGGATGTCCTACTCTGTGCCTATCACTTTGGTGTGGACTGTGTTTATGTCGTGTTTATAGGAAGGAGCCTGAAGCATCTGGGGGATTTGTACTTATGGCAGCTGGATGAGAGACTTTACATGGTTTTAATAGCTTTGCCATTGATCTTAACTTTTTTAATAAGGGATCTTAAGAGTCTAGTGCCATTTGCCACGACCTCCAATATTCTTTTGCTTGTAGGTTGGTTAATGACTTTTTTTTTTTTAGATACTCTTTTAATAAGGTTTTTATCTTTAGGTTACTTTATAATTTTTAGTTACCTTTTTCGGGATCTTCCCAGATTTGAACAGCTTGAAGCCATTCAGCCGTTAAAAAACTTTTCCCTCTTCTTTGGCACTGTACTTTTTGCCATTGAATCTGTTGGTGTGGTGGGTTTAAGCCTCTATTCGTACTTCTTAGTTTAAGGATACCCTTACTTCTAGATCCTAACACTTGGTCGCAGTATGCGAACGCCGGAGGACTTTCTGGGTATCTGTGGAGTCCTTAATCGAGGTATGTTTGTGGTAATCATTATCTATGCACTCTTTGGTTTCTTTGGTTACTGGCGTTATGGCCAAGAAACGGAAAACTCGATCTTGCAGAATTTGCCTGAAAATGAATTGTAAGTATTCCTAATTAAATTCTCGAACTAAACCAATCTCCTTATTGACAAAGTCTCCCTGAGTTGGTGTCCGGAATGTTTGCTCTGGCCATATTCTTTAGCTATGCTCTGCAGGGCTATGTAACTGTAGATATTATTTGGCATAACTATTTAGAACCGGAAGTAGAGGACGGTTCTCACAAGGTGGTGGAGTCCTTAGTGCGCATCGCCTTGGTAATTGCCTCGGTCTTGGTGGCTCTCCAGTACCCGGACTTTGGACTCTTACTGGCCTTTGTGGGATCCTTTTGTTTAGCCCAACTGGGTCTGATCCTGCCGGGAATTGTGGATATATGCAGTCGCTATGACAAGGGCTATGGAACTGGAAAGATCTTTCTTATCAGATCAACGATTTTCATCATTATGGGCTTGGCTGGTGGAATAACGGGTACCATGATGACACTGAGAAACCTCCGTGCTCGTTATCCTATTATTTAGAAAATTTCAGTTACATTTTCTATTATGTTTGTTGATAATAATGTTATTGTAAAGTATGTATATAAAATACCACTTTAAAAACATACTTATTAGTACTTTTATTAGAAATTATTATAAGGTTGTTAACGTAAAAATACATGGGCACACTTATAGAAATAATCAGTGATGCTCTTTACTTGAAGAGCGGGGGTGCTCAAAATTGTCCTACGGCAGAGCATTTACTAACACAAATACAAGTAAACTTGCACATATTTAGTGACGATTTTGTGTTGGTTTGCAGCTGTGCACTGAGAGAATGTGAAACACTTTACATATTCCACTACGAAATAAACTCGAAAAGAAAGATAAACCAAAAAGAAGTTATAAAGAATAAATTCCAGTGCAAGTGTTCGAGGATGATCCAGGAAAAAAGAACAGTTAGCGACCGAATGAGGCGGAAAGAGGATAACGAAAAATTGTTAGTGGAATAGCGCTGTGAGCGCTCAAAGCTTTTGGCCGAGCAAGCCCATAGCATTTACAAAAACAAATGAGCACTCAGAGCATTCCCGTTGAGCACCTCTATTGTAGAGTATTAGGGTATAGTTTAGTCGTTATTAAGGAAGCTTCGAGCCGCGGTTGTTTTTTGTTCATTTTCATTTATATAGGAGACTATACGTTTTATTTCAAAACAAAAAGGCAACATGTCATAAATTTTTCATTCAAAAAGTCATTTACTTCATTTACTTAATACTGTCATGTGCTGGTGATATACATACACTCAAAGTTCATAGTTCGACAATATCCACAACGGAAAAAGAGATTCATACATTTAGAATATGGCCGATAAGGGGTAAAGAGAAGATTAGTGCCTTAACCTATTATTAATAATCTTTCGATCCATAGCGGCTATAATCCTTACGAAAACAGGAATGTTGTTAAACCGATATCGTAAGTAACAAAGCTTAATAACTGAATATGTATAGATTAAGCCAAATTCTAAATACGTTTTCCAGCGATTTTGGGGCCTTTGTGTCGCTACTGAAGTGCGTGGTCGGAACCGGAGTTTTGGCTTTACCCTTGGCATTTTACTTCGCTGGGATAGTGAATGGCGTTATTCTGCTAGTCCTGATCTGCTTTATGCTAATCCATGGCATGCAAATGCTGGTAAGTTTTCTTATTGAGCTAATCGCTTAAAGAAGTTATAAGTTTTGGTATTGATATAGATTATTTGTATGGTGGAGACCTCCCGGCGACTCCAGGTCGGCTATGCCACTTATCCAGAGACGATGGCCTATGCTTTTGGCCAGGGACCGAAATGCTTCAAATGTATGGCAAAGGCTGGGGGTTATATAGCGGACATAGTATTGTGCTTGTCGCAATTCGGGGTTTGTGTTGTCTATATAATCTTTGTATCGGTCAACATAAAACAGCTATGTGATTATCACGTAAAAGTAATCGACCTGAGAATCTTTATCGTAATCGTAGGATTCTTCATGATCTTCCCCTTTCTGTTACGCCGACTAAAGTATCTCGTACCGTTTAATATTGCGGCCAGCATTTTTATATACACCGGCTTCGCAATAATGATGTACTATCTGTTCGTCGATCTACCTCCAATAAGCGAACGCAATCTATTCTTTGGCCCCATAGAAAAATTGCCAATGTTTTTTGGCATTGCCCTGTTCTCGATCACATCGGTGGGCGTGGTGAGTCCTTTGCAGTGATTACTAAACATTATCCTCTCTGACAAGTTACAATCTTTTTACAGATGCTGGCCGTTGAAGCACAGATGGCTCATCCGGAACATTACATCGGCTGGTTTGGAGTTCTCGATATGGCCATAGTGTTGGTTATATTTTCCTATGTCTTTTTCGGAGTCATGGGCTACTGGCGCTATGGCGACGAAGTTAAAGGCAGTTTATCGCTAAATATTCCCACCGACGAGACGTAAGATATATCCTTAATATTATATAAATTTATTTTATATTTATTACCCATGATTTATCACCTATAGAGTATCGCAGGTTTCCAAGGCTTTTATTGCCACTGCCATTTTCCTGACCTATCCCCTGGCCGGTTATGTGGTCATTGACATTATAATGACCCATTATTGGAACAAGGACGGTGAACTAAAGCACGCTGTTATAAAGGAACTGATACTTCGCGTATGTTATGTACTAGTTAGCGTCATAGTTGGAATCGTACTACCAGATCTGGGACCACTACTGTCACTGGTCGGAGCCTTTACTATATCCCTACTGAACCTAGTATTTCCCGCTATGATTGAGATCTGTTTATATTATCCGCCGGAATATGATTATGGCAAATATCGATGGAAGCTCGTAAAGGATATATTTTATATAGTTGTTGGAACAATTATATTGGTGCAAGGCACCGCATTCTCTATAAAGGACATGCTTAAGATGTGGGTCGGAGAAGACACGACCGAAGGACCGGAAACAACTGAAACAACTGAGGCCTTGACCACCGCTGCAGTTGCGGATCCACCACCAGCACTAAGATTCCTATAAAGCTTTCATATTTATGAGACAAATCATCAAAAACTTCTTCGATTTTTTAGGCAATTCAACGATTTAAATTTAAAGTTATAGCAAGAAGTTACCATAAGAAGATTTGTTATTGCCAATGTTTTTTGGCATTGCCCTGTTCTCGATCACATCGGTGGGCGTGGTGAGTCCTTTGCAGTGATTACTAAACATTATCCTCTCTGACAAGTTACAATCTTTTTACAGATGCTGGCCGTTGAAGCACAGATGGCTCATCCGGAACATTACATCGGCTGGTTTGGAGTTCTCGATATGGCCATAGTGTTGGTTATATTTTCCTATGCCTTTTTCGGAGTCATGGGCTACTGGCGCTATGGCGACGAAGTTAAAGGCAGTTTATCGCTAAATATTCCCACCGACGAGACGTAAGATATATCCTTAATATTATATAATTTTATTTTATATTTATTACCCATGATTTATCACCTATAGAGTATCGCAGGTTTCCAAGGGTTTTATTGCCACTGCCATTTTCCTGACCTATCCCCTGACAGGTTGTGTGGTCATTGACATTATAATGACCCATTATTGGAACAAGGACGGTGAACTAAAGCACGCTGTTATAAAGGAACTGATACTTCGCGTATGTTATGTAATAGTTAGCGTCATAGTTGGAATCGTACTACCAGATCTGGGACCACTACTGTCACTGGTCGGAGCCTTTACTATATCCCTACTGAACCTAGTATTTCCCGCTATGATTGAGATCTGTTTATATTATCCGCCGGAATATGATTATGGCAAATATCGATGGAAACTCGTAAAGGATATATTTTATATAGTTGTTGGAACAATTATATTGGTGCAAGGCACCGCATTCTCTATAAAGGACATGCTTAAGATGTGGGTCGGAGAAGACACGACCGAAGGACCGGAAACAACTGAAACAACTGAGGCCTTGACCACCACCCCTACAGTTGCGGATCCACCACCAGCACTAAGATTCCTATAAAGCTTTCCTATTTATGAGCCAAATTATCAAAAACTTCTTCGATTTTTTAGGCAATTCAACGATTTAAATTTAGAGTTATAGCAAGAAGTTACCATAAGAAGATTTGTTATATCCAGCCTTTAATATAGGTTGAAGGCTTGGGTAATCTTGTGAATGTAATAAAAAAAGGCTCATACTTAAGATTGTAATTACTTGATAGATACTTCAACTTAAGCAGGACTTAATCCAGAATCATTAAAGAATTCTTGGAGTGGCATTTTAAAGCTGCTCTATCTCTCTGGTCAGCAGGCGCCATTCCCAAAGGTCAGCTTCGCCGCCCACTGGCTTAACCCCCTACCTGAGGTGGGACACAAGGCACAAGGCAGCCGGGCCATTATCGACGGCGATGACGATGTGGCATTGGCATTGCGTTGCGGGTAATTCCCTCATTAGCTGTGGGAGTTTTGGTTTGGAGGAAGCTTGGCATGCGGCATTCGGCATACGGCATGTGGCAAGTGTGCAGTGTGAGTAAAGCAGCAAAATAGCAACCAGCAACCTGCCGCATGCAACATGAAGTAGACAGGCAGCAACCTGTTAGCCTGTTCCAGCGCACACACGTCTTCTTCGTTCGCCGGCCACTCGTCAGCCCACTTAACGATGTGCTCCGGAATTTATGCCGATATGGTAATGCATCCACGCTGGGACTCGGACTGGGACTCTGAATCTCGAGACTGCCTCATTATGCCATTGATGGACTGCAGTTGAGCATTTGGATTGCGTAATTTATTGTTTTGGGCCGTTTCGGCCCCGATAAACTGGTGTTTGCTGCGTCCCGTTGCCACTTCGATTTCTCAAACCAAAAACGGTCAACGGGTCCGCTGTCATTTTGTGTGGCATTTTTTGCCAACGCCTGCCTGGCTGCCTGCCTACCTCCCTGGTCCAGCAATCTCACTTTCCGCCGGGGGATTGCCTTGGATTCTTGCCATTTATGGCTCTAATTAGCTACGCAGTCGGCATGCAAAGCGTTGATATCTATCTCTAATGTGTGGGGTTTCCAATGAAAAGGCGATCAAGGCACACGTGCAGGTCTTCTAGTTCTTATTTATATATATTTTATTTTTTTTCTGGCCCATTGGGATCCCTCCCAGCGTGGAGGTCACAAGGTTAAGCAGCGGCCCCAAAGAGTTCTGCGTATACGCAACTCTGTGATTGCAACCAAAGTGCAACAAATCATTTCCCATAGCAGGTTTTCTTTAACAAAAAAAACAAAAAAAAACCAAGAAAAATCAAAAGTAAGGAAGAGAGATCTTTGAGGCAGCCAATTTGTGTTCCGTTGCTTTGCCGTTTGTATAAATCAATTGGCAATGAGGCAAGTACTGGGATGATGCCTGCTCCTCGGGACTCGCGGCTACCCGCTGTGCGTTGTCTATCCTATAAATTGCACCCCCATCCACCATCAAAGTATATCCAAGTGGGTTTCTTCCTCCTTCTCCAAACTAGAGGATCGCCTCTAATGCGTTATGTGTGTTTGGACTATGATTTTTTCACTTGTTTCGCGGTGCGTGCACTGGGTCTGTGATTGGTCTATAAATTATTGAGTTTATTGCGCTACGATGTCCACGCCCCCACCCCCACCTTGACACTGATCGATTACCCCAAAAAAAAAAAAAACACAAAAATTAAAGAAATAAACCCTTATCTTGTGAGCAAATATTTGGCCAGCGAAACGCCCGTTTCCTTTCGGCTATCTGTCGAGGCGACACCGAGTGATGTATTTGCCTGACGACTTTACTTTCGATTTCAATTTCATTTTCGGATCCCAGATCGACGGCCACTTCGATTTTTTTGGTAAAATATTTGCACAACTTGAGGGTCATTGCTGGGGATCATGGAAGGCCAGTGGAGATATGGATCGTTTGGGTATACACGTAGTATGACACATAGCTAAGCAATTCTGAAAGTTACTGAAACTATATCCTCTAATTATAAATAGAATGAATTCAAAGGAATTTATATTCACATTAATCTGTTTAGGTACCCAAAGATTAGAAAAAATTTCGACTGCATTTTTTATAATTAAATTCTATTCAATATTTGTAGTATTCCTTAAAGAGAACCTAAGAAACTTATTAACCGACCCAAAAAATCTATGCCAAAATGAGGCAGCAACTGCTGCTGCAGCACGACATCAACAACATCTAGCAGTTGCAACCGCAAGAGCGGCAGCCGCATTAATATTAATTAAATAAACGTTAATTCAGCGCATTAATGCGTAATAAATAATGCTCTTTTGAGCTGAAATTAATGCATAAAACGCTACTTATCGCCACCGCCACGCACTTATCTGTGTCAACACAGAGCGCCACAAGATGGCAAGGGGCAAGAGCGTTTTGGTGTGAGGGGGCGCAAGTGGGGGAGTGGGGCAAGAAGAGGGGGAGGGACAAGTTGCAGCAGCGGCCATCGCGACTGACAAACGTATTGTCAATAGCCTATAGATCCGTCTGCAGAGGAAGAAATTTATATAGAAAGAGGAAATATTTAAAATTCATTTTGGAATTTTTTCAAATATGGAAAAGCCGTTAATTTTTACCATACTAAATCTTAATCTAAAATTAAAATTGTACTTAATCTTTATTAAAGATTACCCATAAGTAGTTATTATTTCTCTCCGTGCTCTTGGTTTTGCCCACAGCGTTGGACTCGGATCGAAGTTGGAGCTGGAATCGACGATGTCGTTGGCGCGTTGCAATTACATGTCTGTGACAAGAATTTTAAATGAAAATCGCTGCGTAGTGCGCTGGACAAATGATTCAAACTTTCGCGTTACGTGTGGAAAATGTTTAAAAACTGAGCCGGGGCCATATGCAGCCGGGTGACTGCTGCAGGCTGGCCGATCTCAATGGAAGGCGCCATGCCAGGATTGGAGGAGCGCTTTTTTTGTGCGCTTTGCATGCCCAATGGCAAGGAGCCCGAGCCGAGCCAAGTCCGATGGCGACGCATGAAATTAGAAAGGCATTATTGCAAATCTCTCGCTTTATTTATCAGCAATTTGTCAGCAAGTGTGCCGCGGCTCAGATTAAAGTGCCAGCCGCCAAACCATCTGTCTGACGATCCGCCGATGCCCGATGCCCGATGCCCAATGCCGATCCCGTCCCGGACTTTCTAATGCAATTCATTTGACATACGCACAAATCGCCGCAGGATTGGGCAGGTGGAGAAGGTCTGATCGGTTCCCAATGGGGTCAAGTGCGTCCGCAAATGAATTTCATTATTGGTCATTGCAGTTTTAAGATCCGATTGGCATTTAAAAGGTAAAGAAATGTTTTTAGTTCTTTCAAGAAATAGAATTTTACCAAGTCTGATCAATCTAAAATCTAATAATGAGATTAAGAATGTATAACATTTATCTATGTTTTAAATTGAACTAAAATTTGTATTAATTTAAGAACTCAAAGCAAGAGCAGATCACATAAAATATTGGCATAGCCAGACCAGAAGTCATGTTTTTTCTGGGTGTACTCGGACCTTGGCCAGCATTAGATGAACCTCCTCTGGCCCAGCCACATAACTCAGTGGAGCTCTGGAAGCGCCCTTCGCGCAGTTAACAAATAACATCAACTTATTAAATAAAGTTTCAATTCGGTTTCAGCGAGAGGAGCAGCAGCTACCGTGCTGGGTTGCGCTAAAAGGAGCATAGGATGGCCCAAGGAGGTGGACAGCGAGGGACCCAGGGATCCAGGGATCCGCAATAAATCATCACATCGGAGGGGGACCAAGAGGCACGCTGGCCATGGGTAACAGACGGTAACTGCGGCCAAGTTATGTGGCTTCATTGTGGACAGAATGAGCGCTTTTAAGCAGACAATTGCAGCCTGGGGCGCAGCCACAACAGGTAGGAGAACCTGCAGAGTGGGATGCTTTAAAGGGGGCAAGGTAAGCGATGGCAGGAGGGGGCTGGAAAGGGGGGTCAAAACACTCTCGCCTGGCGCACAGAGCAACCTCCCACTACCCTTTGCTATTATAGCAACTCCTGTCCCTCCCGCCTCTTGCCACGGTGCACATATTCGTAGGCCGCACTGCGGGCATAAATCATTCGGGTCTCTCGAACTGAGGCGGCTCCTGCTACTATTATACTGAGAAAAATGTGTTATATATGTAATAAAAAATATTTAGAAAATTATTAATCATTTTTAAAGCAATATTTTATCTTTAGTCTTGTTTAAAAAACACAAACGTGGTGAAATAAATGAGTAATATTTTAGGATTTCAAATCTACAAGTATAATCTTGATTCATAAGTAACCTATTATATCTATAGGTTAGGATATCTTTAAAAATATGACAAAAACTGTTTTAGCTATTATCCTTACACAGTTTTTTAATACTCTTGTTAAGTAAGTTTAAGCCCATCTTAATACCACTACCTTTCCAGTGTAAAATCCCTCCTGGCCACCTCAATCTAAAGAACCCAAAAGCCACCAACTTGCAATATGAGTTAATTTTTGCAGCCCGGCTTGGGTAAGGACTTTTGCGTATTTGTCAACTGCAAATTACAGCGTTTTTATGCCTATTTCCCACACAAAAAGGCTCCTTGGCTAGCTTGCCTGCATGTGGGTGGATGTTTTTGCAAATTTATGGCTCACTGGCATTATAAATTTTCTATTAACCCGAACCCAAGCCCAAACCCAAAGCAAACCAGCAAATACGATTCGTGAGCCCAGATTTGCATTGAATACCAACGGCGGGCAGGCAGGCAGCGTTGGAAAGTGCGTTGATGGGGCATTATCTGTTTAAGGCTTTAATTTTATTTCGATTTGCCAAAAATGTACGCAAAATAAGTGCTCAAGGAGCGCCTTCTATGGATTATGGATCCACCGGCACTTCGAGTCCCATGGAGGAACATCTCTTTGCATCCAATTGACTTGAAAAGGAGCTGCAACGATGGTGCTGCATCTCATTGAACCCGACAAATTGGTCATAATTTCAGGCAACTAATCCCAATAAACATGGCCCAAACATTGTGCCACTGACATTAAGCTGCCAGCCCGGCCATTGGCGACTTACGTTCCGAGTAAGCCGGGTAAGTAGCCAACTAATAAAATGCCATTTATCTGGCCATCGATCGGGCAGGTGGATTGGCTGGCTAGCACCAAACTGTTGGCCGCCTTCAGAAACTTGTCCAGGGAAATGTAAAGTTGGTAACTACCAACTGGAAGCCGAAAGTTGGAGGTTGGAAGTGCGGCGAATCGATTTGGCCAGCGGCCGATCATAAATTCCAAATTAACAGAAGTTCAAAACGGGCCTGCGATTTATGCGACGAGTAAATGACGAGACAAAAGGTTAATCAGTTGCTCATCAAACTAACTTACTACCCTGCAATGCAATGTTAGCTAATGGAAAAAGGCAATAATCCATAATTTAAATTCACAAAATGGCAGAGGTGTTATTTGGGATTTTGATAAGAGCTGCTTGTGGTTTGAAGTTTTCCCGTTTTTTTCGGTGCTATCTTTGTTGACCTACTTAAAACTGTTTGATTCTTATGAAAAGTCCAATCAGTATCTCAGCATAAAACTTAAATAATAATAAATAAATAAAATTTGCAAAAGAAAACACTTCCTGACCAGCTCCTGATTTCCATACCGAACAGTGGGAAAGTGAATGGAAAACCCAAAGGCCAAGATCCAATAGATCCAAGAGGCAGCCAGGCAGCCAGGCAGGCACACACACTCGACGAGTCGTCGTGGGTCATTCTGGGCTCAATCAACGGGTTTCTGATTGGTTTCACACGCTGCCCCTTATCGAGGAATCGATGTGTGCGTATCCGCATATCCGCCAGATACGAGATACGCCGTCATGGGCACGAACTTTAAACTCTTGCTGGGTAAATAGTAATTTTTCAATTGTGCACACACATGAGTATCTCTCATACTCCTTCGCACTTCGAAAAACGATTGCGTCACAATGCAAAACGCTTATCGGTGCAGTTAAGTACGAGTATCTTGCGGATACCAATACCCCCGCCTGGTTATCTGTGGGTGTAATTTTCTCACGGTTCAGTTTTCTGTTTCTGTTTCAGTTCAGCTCGGACCTGGACTTGTATTGAATTGCGTTTGCACATTTGCCTTTTCGTGTTCTGCTGCTCTTTTTGCCAACGGAATATTATTTTCCTTCTTTTTTGGTGGGTGATTACGATTACGATCCACTCGAGAGGAGGAACAGTTCTCGTTCCTGGAGTTGCAGCACCTGGATAAATATCTTATCTGAACATGGGTTAAGTTTCCCTCGCCTTGTAGCCAAATCGTTTCTGCTTTCAGCGCCTCATATCACATATATATTAATTTTATTTCAACTCCCGCCGCTCAAGTAGCGTGGGAAAGCTCCTCGCTCCGGGCGTTTCAAATGCGAATTGTTGTTCTGAACGATCGCCAAAACAGCGCTATCAAGTGCTGAATTGTTTGTCCCCCGCAAAAAAAGAAAAGAAAATAAATATTAAGAAACCACCAACGCCGCAAATCTAGGCGGTGGGAAAAGTCAACAGGGCTCAAGGTTACGATGAGTGAGAACATTGTTTTGGGTCAATGCATTAGGAAGTTCTAAGGAGTTTTAGATTTATCGAAAGCTTTAGAATACAAATAAATAATGGTGAGGCTTTAACTATTTACTTTGTATTAAGGGGTTGGTACTTAAATGTTATAATTAGTAGTAGTAGTACATATTATGGAATCTTAAGTAGTGGGATTTAGTGAATTGATAAAGGTAACATTTTTCTACAAGCGAATTCTTAAACCAGCCCCTTATTAAAAAATTCGGTTAAATTTCTATGAGGTACTAATTGTACTAAATCAGTGATCAGATATCAGTTATTATTTTATCAAATTTTTTTTGGATTTCTTGTTTCGGAATATTTTACCTTAAATACAGGCCGTTAAAGATCTATAGAGTCACTATTAGAGCACTACAACATTTTGATAAATTAGTTAATTTCAAAAAAATATAAAATAAATTTCCAAACAGTCAAACTGTATTATAACGTACTTTAAAATGTTTAAAACAAACAATCTGGCCAAGAAAGAACCATTAATGCAGTTTTAGTTCAAAATTTTTCAAAGGCAAGTTTAAAGTTCCGCCCAAAATTATGCCACATTTTACAAAACTTATTTATATCCCATTTTATCAGGGACGACTGACCTTGAAGAAAATTACAAAATAAGCCAAAGATAAATTCACTTACCTTTTATTTATTAACAAAAACATATAATTCATTTATTATGCATATAAAACAAATCCAATTTGGCTGTTTAAATAGATTTTTTATTGTTTTTTTAATGCCGTTTTTGTGCTGCCCCAGCAGCTGGTCTTTGTATATTGGTAATTGGTAATATGTCATGATTATTGAATTAGGGCGTCGATAATGTACAGAGTAAATCAATGATAAAACAAAATAATTGAAGAACGAAAACAAACTTAAGCTGCGTCCGTCTGTCTTGGCTTAGTTCGAGTAGGAACTAATTACGACTAAGTTGTTGTCAAAATCACTACGATACAAAATCACTTCTACAAGAATTCTCTAAGTAATTTGAATGCCACGCCCATTCCACGAATTTCCCCCACAGCTCGTCAAGGGCGTGGCATCGACTAAATCGAAATACTTTTGTTGTTTTTTGGTTGCTGATACTCTCGCTAAAGGGTTAATATATATATATATATAGATATATAAATCAGGAATGGGATCGGTGGAGGGACAGGATGTTGGGTAAAAGGGACGGGGCGAGGCGGGAGGTTTCAGAGTCCTAGAAAACTTTGGTTAGCCCTAAAATTAGTTAAAAACTTAACTTAGACATCCCTGTGCTTAGAAGAGTTTCATTAATGACTACTTTAAATTAGATTAGCAGTAGCTCAGTGACCGCCGCTGAACGCTTCGTGGAATTCGAGGATGCTGACATAGGTACCGGCCACGAAACCCACCACGCCGAACAGTATCAGACCGGCGTTCTTCCACAACCGCCAGTTGAAGCGCCCGTAACCGGGATCCTCATGATACACGGCCAGCTCGATGGTCGCCGGCACGATCATGCCCAGTGTACTCAGGCACACGGCTCCAATCAGCGAGATGAAGGGACCCAGATCGGGCAGGGCCACAGCAATGCCTCCGCATAGAAGCTGCAAAAGAAGAAATTGGATTAATATAAAGTTCCTAAAAAGATATCGAAATGTATCTTCAACTTACCACCAGAAACACTCGTAGTCCGTACTCGCTAATGTTCTGCTTCTCCGGTCGGATCTTGTGCTCAAGTCCCTTCCACAAGATCGTGACGGGGACGTAGAACTGCAGGGTGAAGGTGAAGAAGATGGCGATGGCAATCATCAACTTGACGGACTGAGCCAACCTAAGAAAATACAAAAACACAAGTCAATAAAAACTGATCTTAAAATATAGAAAAAATCCAAAACCCACTTGTCTTCCAGCGGCAAATTCAACGTGATGCTGGCCTGGGTCTCGGATCCATACTTCAAGAAGCCAAAGAATCCAACCAGAGTGTAAAGAGCAATCACTAGACCCATGCCAAGATTCAGGACCGAGGGGCAACCTATGAAATGGCTGGGGTTCTTCATGTCGTTCTCCAGGGACATAACTACACCGATACCCTCCAGGGCGAAGATCACGGTGCCGAAGAAGAGCGGCCATTGGGCCACATTCACAATGCCAGGACGCTCCACGGGAGCAGGAAGATCGGAGAACATGTAGGTGAAGGTAATAACGATGCCCACAAACATCAAGATATTGGCGATCATCGAGAAGGGCGTCAAGAACTTCAGATTCCTCACGAGACACATGAAGATCAGTGGCGCCGTCACAATCATGATCCAAACCCTGATGCCCAGTTCCGTTTCCATATAAACCAGGACGACTTGTTCAACATTTTTGGCCACAAATACCAGATAGATGCAACAGCAGCCCAGTAAATCGATCACCAGAAACGTATTAACCATAAATCGGATGAAGCGAGACCAGCGATTCAGCGAAGGTGGTCCGTCGAGGAAGGCCTGCTCTGCCACATCAGCGAATCCCATCATCGGGATCTTACGCCGCCGGCACAATATGTGGGCGCACTTGACCAGGATGTGGACACAGTAGGTGCACAAGGTACCCACCGCAAACGTGGCCACCAAGCCAAACCAAAGGCCTGCATTGGAGAAGGCCATGGGCATGGCCAATATTCCAGAGCCCAGCGAACCTTTTAGCAGGTGCACAAATGTCTCGAGATCCCTGGGGCGGAATGGAAGAGAGTTATTAGAAATATTTTTTAATGTTTTTTAAAATTTATTAGAGGTTAAAATAGGTTATTATTTATATAGAATTTGGAATCTAATTATACCATATTACGTCTGTATTTTATTTTTAGAATAAATGTCGCAAAATGGAAGAACTTTAAACGTTAGGAATTTCTAGCAAGTTGAATACTTTATTATTAATAAATATAAAAAGTAAGTTTAAATGCATAAATTAAAAGTAGAAGCTTTTATTATCTAAAGTCAGTCTTTTTGATATAAAGCTAAACAAAAAGAGATTCTCTATATCGTTGCCAAAAAAGGGTAGAAGTAAGGTGGCGTGATGCCCGACTATATTTCTTGATTTTTTTGTAATTCGAGGGCTTTCCCAGAATCCCAACCGAACACGTGGTTCTCCATTCATTTATTATTTCGTATCTATAACATATTTTCCTAGCTGGGTTAATAATCATTTTCGTGAGCTGTTGAAATGCCGCAAATCTCGCCACTTTCCTCTCACGCAATTGCAATTGCAAGCGCAAGGCCTTGCGGATACGTTTTCCCACCTCTTAAATGAAAATGTAGCGGGTGGGAAGGGAAGGCGGGTTCCTCATTCCACACGCTAAACGAGACGAGCAAAACATTTGTCGGTGTATTCGTTTTATTAGCTTGTTTCGTCCGCCTGAGATTTTCCTTTGCGATTTTACTTATTTTTAGTTTGGAAAAAGTAGTTTGCCAAAACGTCCAAGGCCAATGTCAATACAATTGCATTTCCGTTCTACTCGTTTGGGAATGATGCAAAGTCAAAGTCTTTTGATCGGTTAAAGGTCAATGACGCGGGTGGGGGGTATTTAATTAAGGGGATTAGTCATTGGGCGTTTAATGACTTTGGATCAGCTGCTTATCCGGTGTGCCAAAAAATAAAATACAGTGGAGGTTAGGGTTGGGATTTATAGGGTTTTTAATATTTTGTGATATTAGCCTGAAAAGTATTGGAAATCTTAAAGATTTTCTTTAGTTTTTCTGAATTTTAGTTTCTTTTTTATATATTTAAGTACGAGGTTATTTAGTTTACTTAACTTAAACTTTCTTCATTAAAAGTAACACGATCTCAAAAACAGATGCACGTATTTTAATATTTAAAGATTTAAGAAACATTTCGGGTTTATAATTTCGTATTTTTAGAACATATTTAATGAGCTTACTTAGAAATACTGTTTGATTATTCACTTCAGTTGTGGTTAAAGAATTTTAGTGTAAGGATTCTCTTAAAAAATCCTTTTCTAAAGCCCTTTTTTATGACTTCTTTTTCCAACACTCCTATTTAGATCTTTAAACTAAGTACTTACGATGTGGGATGCTGCACCTTGCGGTGCTCGAACGGATTGTAGTTGCCATCCTCCGAGTCGTCGCCTTTTTTCCGAGTGATTACCAATGGAAGCGTCGATCCAGCTGCCTGCTGAACGGGTACATCGGCCATGTCCGGGCGGATGAACCTGTCCGAAGAGGAGTACATTTCAAACATGGTCGTGGAGGACTCATTATCGATATTCTTGTACATCCCGATCGAGTTTCTTTAGCCGTAACGTGAACGAAATCAGAATCGAAGCAAACGTGGCCGTTGCCTAAGGCACCAACCAGACGAATGATTCGATTCCCGGCCATAGAATCTCGAAAACGGGTACGAGGATCGACTCTCATGCTCTTGTTTAGGGGAATACTCACTTGGGTTGCCCACCTTTGCCGCCTTTGGGCTTCTCGTTTTCACCGTAGCCCGCAGCGACCGTCGGGATTTTCTGCAACGAGAGGAAAAGCGGCCACAAGGAAAAGCCAAAGATGAGTACGTAAGTTTTTGTGGGAAAATCAGAGAGATAGAGAGCTGAAAAATTTTCGAGAATGCATAGGCGAGCAGCTAAAGTTATGTAAAAGCTCTTCGCAGCTGCAGTGCACAAAACGGAGGAACCAATGAATTGTGGCCCAAAAGTGGAAAGCAAAAAAAATACGCAAAAACAAGATCAATGAACAAGTTCAATGCAGTTTTATGACACAAACTAAATAGATAATTCGCTTTAACTACTGATCCGGATCGTAACAAGAGGCGTATGCGTGATATTTAAGCTTTGGCTGTTTTCGAGCGTGACTGTCCCTTTGGCACCTGCTGGTCCAACGAGGTGGTCATCACACCGGATCCGCTTGTTGCCACCGGTGGTGGTCCGCCTCTTTTCAAGGACATCTTCAGCTTATGCCGGGCCAAAGCAGCACCAGAAAGTTTCCGTCCGGACCCGGTACCGGAACCGGAACCGGAAATGGAGCCTTTGGAGCCACTGAAACTGGAGAGGCTTAAACTTTGTCCCTTTTCCGACAGCTGCTCGCGACGCGGCGGCAGTGGCGGCTTTCCAGCTGGGTCGTTCAGCTTGAGGTCTTCCAAGGTCACGCTAAGTGAATTTCCAGTTGGTCGGCGATGGGGTTGAGCGGTGGGCGGTGCGAATAGCGGGATAAATCTCAGCGCGTGGCTCTTGCAAACGGCGACAAGCAACTGAATCAAGGCGGCCAGCCAACGCTGTAATGACGGCGACAAACAAAACACCGCCCTCTCGCCACCGCCAGAAAATCCAACCGAATCCACATAGCCAACCCAAACCACCCACCTCAACGGATTCTCCTCTCTATAATGCTCTTGAGTGGGATCATACATATTCTCGACTCCCAAAAAGCTAGCAATTTTCTTTTATATTTTGATTTTTTGGGTGCAGTCTCCGACTGACGTCACAGCAAAACAAAAACCGCTCTTCCACACGTGATCGTCGTGGGAAAAATCAGGGAAAATCAAGGGGAAAGGGGCAAAATGCAAATTGTTTTTCATCGCTTTGAAATTAAAACAAATTGAAACTGCTAGGCAAGCGCCATAGCTAATGAGGAAACTGCAAATTTGCGCAACAAATACGTGCGAAAAGGCACAAAAAATTTAAATAACATTTGTGTAAATTGTCCATTTAGTTTATTAGTTTCAAAGTGTTTTGTGTTTTTTGTTGCTCATTTTAAGTTTTCAACTTGCAAAGTAAAAGAGGCGCCATCTAGGGGATGTTAGACGAAGCAACAGGGCTGTTACTTAACAGATGAGGCTAAGGTTCGGGTAAGAATAACAGCTAACAGCAATCGGTTAACATAGCTACTGAAGATCGACATGCAATGTCATAAAATGTAGAGTAAAATGTAAATTGCAAGTAATGTTGTTGTAAGAAACATTTTATTTAAGTAAATAAAGTTTATTAATTTATTATTTGCAATTTTAAAATTTTAAAATTTATAATAAATAAATATATATTTTTTTACAATTATTTTATATTTTTAAGTGAACTTTTGCATTTTAAGTACACTTTAAAAATCAAACCCTTAATTTGAGTTTATCATTTATTTAATTTAAATTTCATATAAAATCCCATCTAAATAGTAAAAAATCCACAGAAACATAACATCAAAAACACAAAATAAAAATACTCAAAGCACTTAAAGTTTTAGTGCGGTCATTCACGCTTGATTGCCCCTCGCCGAGCTTCAAATTTGCCCAAACAAATTTTCGTTAACGATTTGCCCACATTTGTTAAGAATTTTACATACAAATCCAGCAGCCTCTTTCCGCTTGGGATAACAGCAGCCCATATTATGAACCCATTAAAAACGCAGAACTTGGACTGCGCATATGCAAAGGCAAACAAAAGCGCGTTGTTTGGAAAACTGAAAGTTGGAACTTGAAAAGAGATAGCAAAATAATTAGACAGCTGCAGGGCCCACTAATTGCGACCAAAGCGCAGTCAGTCAGTTATTCAATATTTCAATGGCATTTACTATAAGTTACTTTTTGATGTAACAATAAGTTTTTATTTAGTTTATAAGAATTTAGTAAGAACTTGTGATAAGTTACTGGAAAGGTGTCTGTTTGGAATCTAAAAAGGGGAACTTTATGTGTACTAATTTGTTATTTTAAATGGATTTTAAGAAATATGAATTGGAACTAAGTTGAATTTGAGTTGAGTTATGTTTTAAATGTCAAAAAAACTTGAAGGAACTTCCAATCTAAATCTGTCACTTTTCTTCTGTCAGGCAGACATCTGTTATTCTGTAACAATTTAAGTTATTTTATTTTCTAACGTCAAATAATCCATTTCGTGTTTTTGTGCAATTTTGTAAGATGCACTAAAAAAAAGATTTTACAAAACCAAAAATTGAATTTTAAAGAAATTTTTAGAAAAGAAAGATTTAAAGTCTTTTTGAAATAATTTAATAATAAAAAGGTTTTTCCTTTCCTTTCCAATAGATATTTATGTTTAAAAGTAAATTTAATTTATTTTTATTTTCAAAAAGTTTTAAAGATCTCATAAAAATTTCTCCAACTGCATTGAGAGCGATCCGAAAATCACTTATTGCGTTGCACTTTTTATTGCCTTTTAACATAGAGAGTTTTTCGAACTGGCAACAAAATAAACAGAAACGTGTCGATGGCAAAAATAGTAAACATAGTCAGCGGGATGTTAGTTCTAGGAGGGGTGAACTAAAAGGGGGATTGGAGCTGCCCCAGCACAGCGCGACACGTGTCGCTGCATCGACTCAAGTTCAGCAAAATGAAGTCAAGTGTAGTTAACATTGCAAAGTGTGTGGCGAATGGGAACAGAAATAAAGGGGAGCTGAATTGATAATGAGCGATTGATAAGAGCACAGGGAAAAACTAGTATGATATCTTAAATTTTAAAAATAGTTCTTGTAAATGTTAAGCTTAGTAATTGTTACTTTTGACCTTATTATGGTAAATACTAAAAATAGCGAAAAAACAATATAAACTGAAAATTCAAATAGAAATTTTGTATCTAATAGACTGTTATAAAACCACTCCAACGAGGAGTATCACACGCAAAAAGATAATGCCGCTAAGTAAATAGCCGCATATCATCGATTTGCTGCTTTGCATTGCCGCCCAACACGAAATACTTATCTCTCAATTAGCCAAAAGACAAATAAGGCAATCATTGATGCTTTTGGTTATTTAATAACAGATACTAGTAGTGATTTCTGGAACTGCGCAAAACACTTGTGTTGCCTGAAAAGTGTCACTGCCATCGTTCACTGTCATTCTCAACGAAAAGCGTTTAATTTACGACAGGTAATTCCCGATTTCCACGCTTCTCCCAGGCGATAACGATAGGGGAAGCCTATTAATTAGGGGTGTATTATCTTGACAAAAATCTCAGAGGCTTTACGGCACTTGTAAGACCGCCGAGATTGTGTGACTAATCTGGAGAGGGTGACGCCTTCTTCCGGACATGACATATTTACATTTTGAGAGCCCCTTTAAGACCCCTTTTTCCTGCCGAAATGACTAAGCTGGGCCACGAGAAAAATGCGGCATTCTAAAGTGCACGGGCATTTCGTGTGCTTTCCTAATTAAAACTGTCAATAGTTGGGTATAAAACGAACTCCATAGCTGCCTCAACCTGGCGTGCCATTGAACTTATGTAAGCGAAAAGTGGAAATGGAAATGGAAATGGCAACAAAAATAAAGACTAAAAAAACGAAAAAAGAAAAACGGCAAACGACAACAAATTGCAATGGAAAATTTTGTATATTTGTTGGCAAAATGTGAACCACAAAAAAATGAAGTGCAGTATGCAAGCCGAGAGCTAAGCATTGGATTTGAAATCATGGGGAAATCACGTGGCAGAGGGTTCAGTTCCCCTGAAAATCGTCAGCAATCTGTCAATTAGATTTCTATTTATTACATTTTACTGCTACTGGGTAACTAGGAACACCCCTCGGTGTTGCACCCATGGCGCTTGCAATTTCCAGCAATTGCCGATAAGATATGGAACATGCTGCACTGATCACTCCGAATCACGAGTACCCTGAATTAAATAAGTTCAGTCCCATGATACCATTGTCAGTGCTAAATTGAAAGACTTTCCTTTCATGACATTTCCAATTTGCAATAAAGTTAGAAGATTGATTGGACGCTTTGGGTTGACCGATAAATGCAAAGGGAAACTAAATTAGACACTTAAAGAAATGGGTTATACTTAATATTCTAAATATAAGTAATCATAAATAGGTGTTTTAGGGGTAACTAAAACTACTTTAAATTGTAACTTTCAATGTAAAATAATAACCCCAAGTAAAGAAGTTCAAAGTTAGGTGTGCTAAAATGCCTAAGGGAAAAGCCAAAAAAAAATTGTTTTATTATTTTTAAGTACCCAAAACATAAAGAAAAAATACACGACATTAATTTTTGATTTATATGTTATAAATCACTTAAATTTTTAACATTTTTAAGTGCCGTACATAAAATGAATTATGTTTTTTTAACAGCTGAGTTTAACTTATAGCACTGCTCGTAACTAGGGGTCGTTAAAACTTATTAGGGAATGTTTAGCCACAACTATAAAATGGGGCTTCATTATTACAAAATAGAATTTCCCCTGAGTAGTTACCTTAAAAGCAAGATTTTTTGATAGTTAAATGGTTTTCTGATGCAATCAAATGGCTGAGAATAGCAATTTTTTGGATTTAATTTCTTATAAGAAATGTTAAGGGATCCTTTAAAGAATTACCAATTTTACATTACCTAGCAATAAACAATTTATTTAATTTATAAATATTTTCATTTTCAAAAAGGGTCAATAAATTCCATTTTCTAATAAATTTCCCTAAGATTTTCCTTCTCGAAAGTTCCACATAAAATTCATAAATATTTACAAGTCTGCCACGCGATCTATCTGCTGCCCCTTTGGATCGAATTCGATCTCGTTTGATGGCTAACATTACATTTTGATCTAAATAACTTGAAAAGTTGTCATGCCGAAATTGGATCAGATCTACGAGTATATATATTTTCATTTTCCGATATCCAGAACAATGCCCATCGTTTGTTTTTACCTGTAATGTTATAGCTTCGGAAAAAAAGGGGGGTTTCAAGTGCAAACTGACGCAATGTGCCAGTAGAGTGACATGGAACACCCCCTATAGAGCTATAGCTCTATATATATATGTACGACTTTAGAGGTTCTCCCATTGGACACACACTTAGTGGAAAGTTACCGAGTGCGAAACCAAAAACCCAGAGCTCGAATTGGTGCCAGAACTTTATTTTAGTGCCGTTTCAGCGAATTCCGTAAAGTAAAGCACTTTTTTCCACTTTGGCGCTTGCGCAGCAGCCAAAATAAAGAATTATTCCATGAACTCGAAACCCCGAAATACGCTGACACAGTAGGTAGTACATATTGTACCAGCTATAACCGGTCGCTTGAATGCCCTACACACACTCCCATTATATTATCCATTATGCTCGAGTCTCGAGTCCCGGCAGACATAAAAGTGCAGCTCGGCGAGTGGAAAATTCCGCTGGGTGCCCTGAAAATAGGCAGCAACCAAAAAGGAACAACAATAACAACAACAACAAGTAATGAGGGAAAGCGGGTGGAAAACTGTTTGGCCTGTTACTCATAACAACAAAAACCATAAATGAGCAGGCGGCCAAAAAGGAAAAATAAGAAATTACCGCCGAAAAAAGAACCGACCGAAATCATCCCCGAAATTAGACTTCGGTTTGTTATCAATCCAAACAAACATTAACCGAAAGATTTGCATAAACAATCATTCAAAGCGAAACTGTAAATATAAACCATGGCAAGCGGCCATCGATCAATAAATAAACAAGGCATTAGAGGGTTAAGTCCCGGGACTTTCGAGCCAAGTGCGAGAAATGTGTCACATCACATGTCCGTGGAAAAAGCCTTTATGCCAAATTAATCAATGGAAAATTTTATCATTTACCGATGATGATATGCATAAATCTAAAGTTGCGAGAATCGAAGGTGATATCATATTTAGGGTTCTGGTAATTAATAGGTGGGCTTAAGGGGAGGAAGTGGAAAGTTTTGGGAAGAAGAGGAGTTACTAAAAAGCTTGTATGATGTTTGAAAAGTGAAAGAAAGGATAATTAAAAATATTTTCTTGAACTAGAGCTTAGTATGGGCTAGTAAAGCCTGGCTATGAAGTTCAAATTTTCACCCTACCTAGGGATTTTTTCCAGAACATTCCACACAGGGAATATCTAGCTTAGCCCTTAACTCTTAATATTCAGACATATTCTGGCTAAGAAACGAATTTTTAACTTTTTTTGTTTTTAAAAAATATTTCATTCTAATATTTTATTTAACAAAGCTCAGAAAATGACTAATCCTAAAAAGAGAAAACAGAAAAATATAAACAAAATTCAACTCATTTTAAGAACAACCCCAAAAAATTCAGAAACTCAAGAAGATAAAACCAAACTACTCCGATTTAGGTAAAAAATATTACTTACAGTGTACTCAGTGGGCGCCAGCGGCGTCCGCGAGTCGCTCTTATGGAAACTCATGGCGACGGTAACGGTAATGGTAATCCTTGATCAGCCGATATCTATACAGATGCAGGATCGGGCCGTCGGGGGTTAAGATCCTCGATAAACGAGGCTGGCCTCCAAGCACTTGTTACAGATACAAAACAGAATTGAATGGCAAATTTAATAGCAATGCTCAAGACTCGGCTCAAAAGTGAGATTGAAGTTGGGATTTTAGAATAAGAAATGCAATATTACTAATGCAACTTGTCGAGAGAGAGAGAGAGCGAGACCGTGACCGGGAACTGTGGTTTCGAATCGGTGATTTCAATAATTTCCGATTCGAGTAGTTTTGACTTTTGATTTCTCAACGAAGTTCGAAGTTCCGACAATCGACCGCACTGCTTGACAAACCGAACAAGAATGCCAAACCTTCGCGTTGAAACGACGAGTAAAAACCCCCAAAACGATTTCCCCCGGAGAGAATGGCGATAGGCGGAGAAAACTGAAAGAGAGAGAGCACTCGCTCCGAGGCATTTTCCGTTATACGGCTAACAGTTTGAAAACGAATCTTAGACCGATTTCCCTGATATATATTTGCTGTTTTCCTTGGTGATTCACCAAAAAAAGGAAATCTATTGCAGCTTTAAATGGCACACCGATTGGCTATTTAATCAGTTCCGGTTGGAATGTTTATTGTATGCCGACGACTTATACGGCGCAAGCCTCACATGTTACAAATATTATCGTTTAAGATAAAGTTTGAGAGAGGGAGTGCAATTTATAATAAAATAAATACAATTTTCTGACTCACTCTGTTATCAGAATAGTTTTAAATGAAGCAAAAACATTTTTTTAGATTCATTGTGTAATTTTTCTAAGAAAAGGATAAATTTTATGTTTTAGAAGTTCTCCTTAAATATTGAAATAATAATAAAATATTATTTACTATTTAAATATAAATCATTGAAATCTTTAAGATTACATTTGACTGAATAAGATTTGAAATCTCTTCAAATGTTAAATTATTTTAAAGTGTACTCAAAAAGTTCTCAAACTTCCCATAAATTTGTAAAAATTTGCAAAAATTATAAGCCAATCCTTGATAAGCTCTAACTTAACAAGATTATTATGAAAAATGTTTTAAAAATTCAAAAGGCATTTGTTCGCTTAAAGTAATGAAAAATTGTACTCCCAAATCAGATATCCAACTATTTTATCAGAAAATAAAAATATCTTACAACATTTTTATTGGTGTTTTTTTCCTCTGCATTGCAATCAACAGAATCAGTTTTCCGAGAGCTTAAACACTGCAGATAGGGCCAGATAACCGACGCCTGGGAAAACTGGCATGGCTAATTAATTAGCGATATCGTGCAGATAAAGTGCACATATGACGACGATATGACGAGCCAATTTGGACTGCCTCAATTGGCGGCCAATTGAAACGTACGACCCCCATGAAAGTTTCGAAAAGAAACATTTATTGAGTCCGAAATTGATTGCCAAAAATAAACGCCAAGGGCTCGGCGATCGGAAAATGAAAAGAGAAGAAGACAGAAGTGTGTGGATCAGTCATTTGCTGAAATTAAAATCAATTTGATTTCTGCGTCGCATTTATTTATGGGTAACTCGAAACGTGCGCCAACTGCACGTCTGATATTTCGTCTACGGCTGCTTCAGTTTGACAGAAACCAGTTCAAAGCGGTTAAATTCCTGGCAAATTATAATTGTGGAAAATTTTCTTTGCCTTTGCAATTTCTTGCAATTGTCAGCTTGTTGCATTCACTCAAACTTGACCGACTTTTGGCATGAATTGCTTCTGGCGAGGGATTAGTTTTCTGATTGAGACCACCTTGGATTTGAGATCAAGGTGAGCCATGGCCTTGCAAATCAAATAAAATAAAAATTGAACATCAATTTATACGTTTTGCAATGCAGATTTAGTGATAAGATAAGTGATCTAGAGGGGTTGGTTTTGGTTTTTAAAAGATTTCAACGGTCAGGAAACTTGGTCTTGAAAAATAGATTGCCTACTTTTAGGAAGTTATAGTAAGACGCGCCACCTTTTGGGTTTGCCTGCAAACGGTATTTCCTTCCTTCCCTGACTGTAGGTGGCGCACGAGTGCTTCTCCTGCAGTTGGCATTGCTCATACGCCCCCTTAGACAAATTGGAAGTAGCTGAAAAACTTTGTATATGTTTTGCGAGAAAACCGCTCCTTAATTTTTGTGACCTCTGCGCCGATCAGCATGGATTTAGCTACTTAACTTATAGATAAACATAAAAATAACAAATACAGCTTTCCCAGTAGAAATCAGAATCAAGTCGTACTTGAGCGCTAATTTAAGGCAATCTGTATCTCTGGCTGTTGACGGGCGTGTTACTTAAGCAATTTGCATATGCAAAAGCCAAAACGCACCCTGAAATTGGATTGCCAAACGGGTTTCTGGCAAGACAAAGAGATATTGGCCGTAATTGTTTGCAAATAAAACCACTCAAAACTCAAAAACTGCAAGCTCATAAGAAAGCGGAACGCAGAGAAAAAATATTGGGTATTACCTAAGTCTCGCACTCCTTCAATTGATATGCAAGGCACAGAAATATTTAATACAAAGCACACAGTTCATCACTCACAACGCGTAAATCCTTGGGCCATTCACAAAAAACACTTGCCGCAAAAAACCCCCAAACAAGTCAGCTTATAATCCGATGAAGCTCAGGTTGTTGACTTTGAAATCCGTGTCGATCAATTAATTTCAGTAACAGTTGAAGAAGATACATCGCTGGCACACTTCTCACACGGCACTTTATAGTCCACGTATATAATTTTTTCTAAGGCTCACCTATTAAGGATATTTGATTCCTTGACTTGGGGAAGGATTTTAGAAGGCACGCCTAACTCACTCAGTTCCAGAACTCAAACTAATCGTCTTGACTGACTTTAAATGACAAGAAAGCACTTCGCACTAAGAAATGGATAAGATTTTCCTATCTTCACAGTTGTATCCGCAAAAAAAAAAGATTGAAAAATCCCAGGGCCAGGGTACAAAGTATCCATCCACCTGCCGCTGAATGACGCTATTATTTATTAATTCTGGTCTGCAGATAGTAAGATCTAAAGACCCGCTTCCGACTAAAACTGCTAGCATGTTCATTTAATTAAAAATCCATGTATTCCCCGTCTGATTAGCCCATGCAAAAATAGCCAAAAGGACTGATAAAACTGATAGCCAGCTCGTATTATTTTGGATGTTTCTATAAATACAGGGCGGGGTAGAATCACCCCCTTAATGAATCATAGTACCCGCCTTTTTATCACTAAACCTTGACGATTTTTTTTGTTATTATTTTTTAAGCGGATCAAGCTGGAAAAGCTATAAACACGATCTATAACAATGTGGCAGCCATTCAGCTATCTCCACGAGCTTAACTAATGAGCACTTATGTCTAATTACACTTGCTGCCAATGTCGATTCTATCATTCTGCGTTGATCCGCTCCATAGAACAGTCACTCTTAGGTAACATTCACCTAATGACTGCCCATCCTAAACTACTACTAGAGGCTTACCAAAATCCGAAAGCAAACAGGGGAGCACCCGATAAGGCTGCCCTAATATCACCCGCCTTGTTTACACTCGCCTAATTGCAATCTCAAGTGATATACGGTGGCAATTACTATGCTGTTTCCCAGCAAAACACCACTGTGTTTTGTGAACTTTGACGTTCTCATTTGGTTTCCTATGATTTATTTGTGATTTATCTGAGATTTATCTGTGATTTATTTTTGATTTGCAGGTAAACTTTGAAGGCCACAGCCGAATTCCACTTTAATCATTAATTGACATTAATCGGATAATGATATCAGGTGAAATGTATATGCATTTCTACGTCTTGTCATAAACCTCTTCAGCATTTCTTAAGAGTCATTCGTTTTTGAGTATTGATATTGGTAGAAAATACTTCTTAAATAAGCCAATTTGGAAAAGGCTAAAATAACTCAATTCTAAAAGTAAAATTTGGTAATATTTTTACTCATTTAAAATTGTAAACTTGGCTACCTAAATAACTTCATAAATCACTCACAAATTATATACAATTTAACCGCTAATTGCACTTGATTTTGGCCCAATTTTATTGATGGCCCTAACCGAATTCCTAAATACATTAATCTCGATCGATCGATTGCTCCTATCAGAGAGTAATCAATTGGGAAATACTCTCGGATATATTACGCTTACGAGGCACTTACAGTATCACAGGCTGTGCCCGATCCGCTAATCACGGCTAACGTCATTACATCCAATAAAAATGGAAACCCGAAAACAATTAAAATCGAGTATACGCCGCGCGTTCGTTGACGGAGTTGTTTGTAGAGCGATTGGCGGACACAGAATAAAAGCGCGAATCTGGCCAGACATTCAATTTAAAACAAAAGTTAGCAGTGAGCCTCTATCTCGATCCCAAAGCTCTCGGAACTCGCTCGAGTACCGCCTTAGCCCCTCGATCTCCCCATTGAAATAACATTCGCACTTGGCAATGGCACTGGTTAAGCATGAACATTAACATTGAGTCAGACATTCGCCTGTATGTCCGGGGGTGAAACGGGGTTCACGGGTTGGTGGGTGTTCCACTCTAAACACAATGAAGTTTAGACTCTTTTATTGCAATTCCACAAACGCGGCCCAGACAGCAGAACGTGAGAAATAACTCAAAATCGGAGGCAGCCGACATAAGTCGGCCGATAAAGATGTCAGCGATCTTGTAGGCCAGTGCACACGCAGTACTTAGACATAGAGCGCTTATCACAAAGATAAACCCAGCATAAGGGGCTCTATTTACGTTACCAGTGGAGATTACCTAAAAAAAAGCTGGGTGCTAGTTAACCCTCTAGTGATTATTTTTAGCCATTAAGACGTACGGCTAAAACCGGAACCATAAAACGAAACATTCTTATGGAAACAATTAAGTAATCTTGTTTTCTAGATGATATTTAAAAATACATTAAAACAAAGTTACTTGTCGATTCAGTAGGGTTTTCAGGACTATTGATTTTTACTATTTTTATTAATAAAATAGAAAAGGCGCATAATTTTGTACTACAACATCGTATAAAAATCTAAAAATGCCAAAGAAGGACACTTAAGGCCTAAAGCTATTGGAGACTTAAAGCCACTTACGTTCTCTGGCGTCGCCATGGCAGATGGCAAGTAGTCTAGGAGAACAGCAGACCTTGCACCACGAACCTTTCACCCTGACCAAGCCGTGGGATGAACTGAACCGATCGGAGCCACGGATGGATCCGATGGTAAGCTCTTTTCGCGCAGCACTAGAAAACTGTGTCACCCTCAATTCGAACTTCCTTCGGCGAGGCAAAAGCCGAGCGGACCAGCCAACCCCAATATAATAATAATAAATCAGCACTCATCAGTGGCACAGAGGTGTCCCAAATGGGATTCGCTCATTGGTGCGCAATTCTTTGGGATTAAACCAACGCATCATAGTGCCTAAAACTGTTTAGAGCCTCAAATTGAGAATAACAAAGCAATTTTTCAATTGAGCTGCCACAAATTTACACGCTGATATGATATATGGGTGGGCAGAACCCGCTCTATATACGATGTGTATGGCTCTTCGAGTAATTTCAATCTGAAAGTAAAAGTTGTGGGGAAATTGGCGAGGCCAAAGGGCAGTCGACCACCTGACCCATTGGCTCAACATGGGGAAATGGAATTGTGAATATCAACATGGAGGTGCATGCAAATGGTGAAGTGGACCTGTGGACCAGCGGCACGTGTTCGCGCGGCGGTGTGACACCGAACAGGGCATAGCAAGTTCAGGGCGAAATCAATTTTCCCTTGCCCGTATTATGTGATAGCTCGCTTAACAGCTGTTAACTGTGATGCACTGGAAATAAATGTTAGATAATATTAACGTATTAAATTTATTTTAAATATTTTCAAAACTTATTTCTTAGGTAAGTTGTAAGAAAGCTCCTTTTCATTGGCAAATCTAAAACACTTTTTACTAATAAATAATAATTTTAAATTACGTTTTTCCTGAATGTGTCTTTGTGATACTAAAAACAATCAAATTATATATAATTAAGCAAAACAGAGTGCGTTAGTGTACTTTTACACCTAATCAAATGGATTTCGCAGGCAATTATCACACGGCAATCTCTATATTTATTCGCAAATGCGTTTGCCTTGCCTCATCAGATTGGAAATGTGTCATTTTCATAATGATATCTAAATACGAATGCTAAAACCTGAAAGCCTTTTTTCAGATACTCAATCAAATCAGATTTTACCTCGAAAACATAACGTCATTTTATATTTTCCTTGAACATCTGATTAAACTAGTCATATCAGACTCATATAAATCATATTTTATGATTATTTAGGTGCAAATTGCCAGCAATTTGGTTAATAAAATTAACACATCTTGCTTAATTGTCGCCATCCATTGATCGAAATCACTTAGCCAATAAGCGGTTAAACATTAGAGTGGATTCTCCAACGTCATTGGAAAGAAGAAATGCGCAAATAAAGTTAGCAAATTGGGCAACCAGACTACCTCTGACTTATCCAGCGTCATAGCCAAAGTCAAGATTGGCTAGACGAAAGATACGTCAGAGCCTGGTTAGATGACAACCGGTTTCTGTTGATATCCAATATATATCGGGTCGGGTAACCAAATCTCTGCTCCACTGAGGGATAACTGGGTAATTCCTAGGCACATGTGGCGTATGCGCAATGCTGGCAAACTAATGAAACGCAGGAAGGCACGCGGCCAGCGGATCGAAATTTCATTTGGCCAAGTTAACAGCCTGTCGCAGAACGATCCTCCCCATTCTCCGCTCCTCTCAGATCTGCACAAAAACCAGTTAACTGGCGCTGAGAAAGTGCATTAAGCCATCGATTCGTGCCCCCTCCTCGCAGCAAGAAAAAAACATGTTAATTGCCAGCCGATCGAAGTGTCTTGCACTGCCTGCAATGGACACAGTAGTTGTTACTGGTTACTGGTTCTTTAGCCGTCTTGCCATAAGCCAGACAATGCCCCGGCCGAATATTTGGCAACGTCTCTTGGCCAAGACATAAAAAGTGGCCCACTGATCATGGAGATGAGATGGGCGGGGACAGCTGAAAGGAGGCAGGAGCATCTGAAAGCTCAGGCCTTGATGATGGTTACATGAAAACACGTCCAGTGACAGTCGTTAAACGATCACAAAACTGTTAACCATCGATGTTTGGGAACAGGGAAAGCTGGTTAAGGAAGAGATTCCAGCTCCCTGTTGATATCAAAGGGATTGAACTTGATAAGCAGGTGGAAGTACTAAAGATTGTCCAAAGGCAAGTCATAAAACTTAAATTAGTATCTCAAATATTAAAAATTTATTTTCTAGTCTTAAATAAACTAGCGTCTAGGATAGGCAACACGGTAAATCAACAATGCTACTTATTACTGAGCCAAATTATTAACGCAAACTTGTTGGTAAATTAATTAGTGCTAGCTCTGAACAAAGATAAATAGTCTGGAATTCCGGGAATAATAATTATAAACGTGATCAGTAAATATTTAGTTTAAAAAATATTTGAAGTAAAGACAGTAAAAGAGCAGCTTTGATAGATGTACTAAGTACGAAGTGTAAAAAGTACTATTAACTTGTTTGATTTTCCATAAGAATCAAAAGGAAACGTTAAATAAATAAACAAGAGCATGCAACAAAATATAACCAAATACTTATAAACTAATGATGTAACTTTAAGATGACTAAATTATTGCAGATGATATTCGAATCCTCAGAGAGTTTAAGTAAGCAAACCTATGCTTATAGGGCAAACCTCTCCCCTTTAACCATTTGAAACCCCCTCCGTTACCACCGAAATCTCAGTGGGATTCTGCGACACTCGGCAAATGTGCGAGATGTTTCCCTGTGCGCCGCGCCGGGAGTGTCGTCTGTGTGAAAATCGGCTGCATGAGTATCCGAGTGTCGTTCAACGTTTCGCGCGATGCTTAAAACTGGTGACCCACGTTGGGTCTGATTTAGTCGTTAACGCGCGGCCAACACGATCACATCGCAGATCCGACCAACTATACAAGTTATATAGCATATATGTATATATAGTGCGCGGCGGTGCGGATTCTGTTTACCGTTGATCAGCGTTGATTTAGATTTATGTTTTGGTTTTTCGCCGTCTCTGTCAACGAGTGTTTTCGGTTAATTGCCAGCTGTTAAAAGGTTTTTTCAAGCATCAATTTTCTAGTTACCGATTTTACTTGGATATTACCAAAAAAAATATAGAAAATTGCATTCATTCCTGATTATAAATAATAAAAGTGTTTTATAGGCAACGGTAAGTGAGAGTCAAGTATTTATTTTTATTTAGTGAGCTTTATTTTTGGGCTAATTAGCCAGCGGAAGTGGCGAGGCGCAACTTTTGCAAATTAGTAAGTCGGGCATGAGTGCACAGATCGTTGAGTTCAGTTTAGCTAAGTTAAGTGAACTAACCCCCAATTAATTGCACTTAAATTTAGCCAGCGACGCGCATCAAATGCCTGACGCAAATTATCGATCGAGTGACCAAAAATAGCTCACGAAAAGTTCAAAGAACAATCTACTTTTTTGAGACTTAGGAAATTTTAAATATTTACAAAGAGCTTAAATACATTTATTAGCAAGCAGTACATCTATTTATATACTGAGATAAGATCTCGAGTATCTTAAGATAAGAATCTTAAGTCGTTTCACAATATTAACGAAGAAGTGAACCCATGATCATTGACAGACCTAATAATATACACCTTTGAGCCATTGCCAACAGCAATTTATATCTCAAAGATATAAATCATCGGTGAAATAATTTCAAGTCTTTGAACAATATTTATAATGCAGTGGTATTAATCCGCAGACTATTATTGTTGATTTAGCATGAGTGACTTTCGTGATAAGCAGCATAGAAATGTGATAAAGAACATGGCTTTCAGACAACATCACTCATACGTCAGGTTAGCCAAGCTGAAGTGTTGCCACACAAAGATCAGTGACTTCTCTGACATTTGCACACCCCTGAGTAATGGTTAAAAAAAAGATAACTTACCAAGGTATTCTTAAAGGTGATTACTAACTTGAAGTTGCCAATTTTATTTTTTATAAAAACTGTGATTAGCAGTGTTAGTAGTAGGTAGTGTTGCAGTTTGTAAGTGTCTTTAAACTTTACTGGCAAATGGAAAAACAAGAAAAAACTATGGTTGGGTGAATCTAAAGCTGCTTTAAATGCTTATATTTTTACAAATGATTTTCTGGAAGTTTTTAAGTTTTTTATAAGGCATATCTTAGGCTCAATATTTTACAGAAACATCTTTATGGGATTTATTTAAAAAAAAAGGTATTGTTAAAAAATCTAATTAATATATAAAATAAAAAAAATAAATCAAATAAATTTGAAAATTAATCAAACTAGCTTATAAGTCGCCACTTTATTTACAATTTTCTATCAAAGAAAAATGTACTCTGTAGAAATGGAATTATATCAACGTCTCCTGTTATCCCCCACCATACCGTATTATTAATTATCGCTTTGCGTGGAAAATTTCATTAAAAAACTGGCAATTGCAGTTGTGCTGCCACATTGATAGGCTTAAAGAAAAAAAAACAGTTGAACAAGTAAAATTTTCCACCTGCTCGGCATGTTGCGTTTGCCAAGAACTTTTCCACTCCAAAATTCAGTGCCAGAGGTTTGACTTAGTCTAAACATGGCTGAAAACTCCAGTTTCGAAAACGAAATGATAAAGCGGAGCAAGGCCGACAGCTTTTATAAGCCAGTTAGCCATTTAGAAGTCGTTTGGGCCAGGCCAAGATTCCACTACCAAACTATTAACCAGAAAGCCACCGCGGCCGCTGCTGCTGCTGACAATTGAAATTTGTATTCCGCGGCGGATTCAACGGAGTCAAGTGCTGCGAAAGCAGCTAAGGCCAAACGGACTGGCCTGGCTCATTGAACTTGGCTAACTCTCGAGAGTCTAGACGGCTAAAACCCACAATACCAGTGAGTAAATAAAAAGACAATAAAAAAAAAACAAAACAAAACCAAGAAATCAAAACAAAAAGCCGGGAGAGTCGCGTGCCGCTTTCAATTGGTATTCAACTGGCGTTCACGTGAACAAAATCCAAACCGATTCATGGGAAATTCTTGGCTCAACGAGGATTTCAAAAATATATTTTTAGACAGCTGCATGATGAGAGAAGCAAAAACAAATATATGGCAAATAGAAAGGAAAAGGCCCTCTAAATCATTGGCGGTCAAGTCAAAACAAATTGGCGCATTGCAAATCGGCAGAGTCGAATAAAATTAATTTATTAGCAAGATAAATGCCAACGGGTATGCCCAATCCAGTTAAAACCGCCTGCACTTCATTAGTAAAACAAACTAAAAGAGGTTTTGTTTTGTTTGGGCTGTTAGTTGAAATAAATTATGGAAATTATATTTCTGCGAATTCTGTTTTGCGTGGAGTCTAGCCTTTGTCTATTTTCGGTGGTGATACAATGGACTCGTAAAGCGTAAGCCGGAATTAGACTATTAGAAAGTTATCTAAAAGGCTATTAAGATATTGAAGAATTTCCCATTGTTATTATTATTATTTAATAAAGTGAGGTAAACCAGAATCGAATTTACTCTACTGCCTTGGAAGATCAAAGAATATTCCATAAATTCATATAAGATATAGTATTCCCCTTAGAAATACATTACTCATACGCCCAGCAATCGTCTTAACAGCTAAGTAAAGATTTTCTCTCAATAGAAAGCTTTTCTATAAGGTTTAATTTTCCCATAAAATGATTATAAATGCAAAAAAGCAATTATTTCACTCATAAATAACTAATTTTGCATAGTTTTTCCCATGTTTTCATATTACTCATGTATTCCCAAAAGTCAATTTAGTACAATCACTGTCAAGAGCTCCCCGGTGATCGGTTAATGACTTCCGCATATCTGAGACTTTGTAAGTGGTACAGAAAAGCCGCCGTACTTGAGATTATGCAGAGAGTCATACAGGTTATAGATCAGGTCTGGGTGGGTTCTGCAAGGCAGACGAACTCGAAGCCGTCTTGCATATCATATCATATCATAACATAATAATAATGACGACAATTGCAAGAGGCACGCTCGTAAAACGAAGACTGAGAACCGGAAAAGTTGGCGTAATTTGCCAAAATTTCCATATCTCTCGGTCAGCTTGAGATTATCTTAACTGGAAGCCGTAAAGTCTCAAATTGCCCGATGTCACACGAATACATATTTTCTAATTAAGCATGGGCTGAGATATGGTGACATTTAGGGGGAGGAGGGAAAGTAGAGACGGGCCGTTTAGGGCGGACAACAAAGTCCGATTCTACAGACAAGTGACACTAAAATTGGCCATTGTTGTGTGTTTCGTTCTATTTTAGCACGTCTCAAAACACCGCACGGAATGCCAGGTACTCGCAATACCCTAAAAATTCGGTATGGGGGAATGGACGCGATCGGGGCAACGCTTCGCTAGCTCTGAACTTGACATTGCCGAGGTCTGCTTTCAATTTAGAAATATGTCAGCGGCACAGACTATTTTCAGAGCATCGTGCACCGTGCACATCACGCACTTGTTGCGCCACAAATGCAGATGCACATGCACATGCAGTTACGGATGCAGATATAGATTTAGTTAAAGATTTTTAAGATCCACTGATGAAGATTGATCTCAAAGAGAACGACTCAAAGGTAGCCAGTTAATCGAAATGCAAAGAGTCACTACTGTAGAACGTGACTTTTCACAGACAACAAAGGGTTATAAAAAGGGCTGTGTTTGTTTTTTACAAAGAAAATATTCAAAGTATTTGTATATATTATAAATATATGAATTTTTAGCTGTTCATTTAAAACAAAAATTTTAGCAAAAGAGTCACTACTGTAGATGCATGTCTGCATGTCTGTTGACATCTCATTTAGAAAATAAGAATGTAAACCAATTATTAAGAAAATGCAAATAGCTTAGCCTAAAAAAATGTAGATAATTTAAATTTTCCTTTTTTGTGTTGATATAAAATGTTTGTTATTTAAATCTTGTTACCCATCAATCAAATTTTCGTATATTTAAATATGCTTTTAGTCATGACTAAGAATGGGCATAGCAATGCGGCTTACGTCGGCGACCATGCAGACAAATTGGAACTGGCCGAGAAGGGTCAGAAGAACAAGGCCATAGTGGCCAAGGATCCCGACTACAATCCCTACCATCATCGTGATGTGGAGCACCCCACAACGTAATTATTAATAAGATGTCCAAAGAAAGGATTCAAATAGTTACACAAATCTTGTACTTTCTAGGAACTCGGAGACTCTTTTTCATTTGTTAAAAGGTTCCTTGGGAACTGGTATACTGGCCATGCCAAATGCCTTCCGTAACTCTGGGTACATCACGGGATCCATTGGAACCATTGTCATTGGCTTTATTTGCACCTTTTGCATCCATCAGCTGGTCAAGGCGCAATATGAACTGTGTCGCAGAAAGAAGGTTGGTTAGAAGAAGATCCTGGAATTAAGTAATCGCGATTAATAGAATTTTCCCTATCACAGATGCCCAGCATGAACTATCCAATGGTGGCGGAAACAGCAATGGGCGAAGGACCCAAGTTCTTCCGTTTCTTTGCTCCATATATTGGCACAGTGGTCAATACTTTTCTGCTGATCTATCAACTGGGCACCTGCTGCGTGTACGTGGTTTTCGTGGCCTCCAACATCAAGTCCATTGTAGATGCAGTGGCTGATACAAATATCGATGTGCGACTCTGCATGATCATTATCCTCCTGCCACTGATCCTGATCAACTGGGTCCGCAATCTGAAGTATCTGGCTCCCTTTTCCACACTGGCCAACGCCATAACAATGGTCTCTTTTGGTATTATCTGCTACTATATCTTCCGGGAGCCACTCACCACAGAAGGCAAGGATGCCTTTGGAAAACCCTCGAATTTCCCGCTCTTCTTTGGCACAGTTTTGTTCGCCTTGGAGGCCATTGGTGTGATTCTGCCCTTGGAGAATGAGATGAAGACCCCGCAGAAGTTCGGTGGCAGCTGCGGAGTCCTCAACGTATCCATGGTCCTCATTGTGTTCCTCTATGTGGGCATGGGTCTCTTTGGTTATCTCAACTATGGATCCGCGGTGCTGGGTTCCATTACTCTAAACATGCCAGAGCATGAAGTGTAAGTTAACTCATCATTAATCTCCGGATTAGTTAGTATTATAAGGACTCCTGTTCCAGTCTCTCCATGTGCGTCAAGGGAATGCTGGCGTTCGCCATCTATATTACCCATGGACTCGCTTGCTATGTGGCAATTGATATTACCTGGAACGACTATGTGGCCAAGAGTCTGGGCTCCCAGCGAAATGCTTTGTTCTGGGAATATGCAGTCCGAACGGTCCTCGTCCTGATCACCTGTAAGTTCTAGTGTTAGAAAAATGTTATTTATGAATATTCAAAAGCAAAAAGCTAATCATTTTCAAACTTCTACCTCTCCGTAGTCCTCCTTGCCGTGGCCATTCCCAATCTGGAGCTGTTCATCTCTCTGTTTGGAGCTCTATGCTTGTCTGCCCTAGGTCTAGCTTTCCCGGCTCTCATCCAGATCTGTACGCATTGGTACCAGACCAAGGGAATCGGAAAGGCATGGCTAGTGTTAAGTGAGTATTTCTATAATTACCCTCTTAAGTTCATATACTAATCAAGAATTCCAACAGGCAACTTTGTGCTCATCATTGTGGGCATCCTAGGCCTAGTAATCGGCACGTATACCTCGCTCAAGGAGATCGTTTTGACCTTCTCCGAGTAGTCATAATATTTGTAAATCTAACTACGCCAGCGGGCATTCCAATTCAAGCGAAAGTATTATGAGCAATCGAAAGATATTGAAATCTGTAGACATTCGCAGCGCAGCACAAATGACAAGATACAGATGCAGATGCAACTAAGGATATTGTTACAGTTGAGCTGAGATCTGCTGTACATGTGTAAACTTCTACTCTGAGCTATTTGTTATGTGTATTTGTATAGAATTTATCAGATTTGTGATATTTTTAAGCATCATGCCCAAGAATCTGTAGAACAAGTGTGTGTATATCATATATCTCTTTATGTAGTAAATAACGTTTTGATAAGTAGTTTAGTGCCAAGTCACATCTTTATAAGTCATATTTAAAGTACGATAGCAGTTAACCACAATAATAAACATATTTTGCCATATTAAGATACGCCGTGTGGGATCTCTTGTGTGGCTATATAACACTTAAGTGCCTGACAAAGTCTTCTCACTCCATCCACCAGTTTTTCCTTTGGATAAAAAGCAATGGACAATCGGAAGAACTGCTTACCAGTTTGGCCATCAACTGAGAAGCGTGTTCCCGCTATAAAATATATCTTTTGGTGTTCTAGGCAGTACTTGAGAAACTCTCGGGAATCTAGGTGTTCGGGTATTCTTACCCAGATGAAATATCCCCCTGTAGGACTGACTAATTTACATCCCTCGGGCAACTCATCTCGAAGAACCTGGGTAGTGGCCAACATTCGTTTCTTGTAGGCTTCATAAAATACAGATATCTGCTCTTGAGCTAGCTTCAGCTCAAAGAGACTACCCACAATTCCAGACGTGTAGTTATTAAGGCATCCACCGCTGTTCACAAAACCACTTCCATCCAAGATTGGTTTAAGTCGCGGAGGCACCTCTAGCCAACCCAAGCGAACTCCAGGTCCTAGAATCTTCGAGAAACTACCATTCGAGATTACATGGCCTGCAAAGTCGGTATCATTTCTATCATCGTAGGACAACAAACGGGAGTGACTGGGCTTCTCGCCATAGTGTAGTATGTTGTATACATCATCGCACACCACCAGGAAGTCAAACTTGCGGGCCAGTTGCACGATTCCCCGACACACCTCTAAAATGTATATATGTAGGTTATTAAGATAAGATGATCAGTTTTCTAATAATTAACCCACCAGGCGAGAACAAAATCCCCGTTGGATTATGATACGTGGGTATGGTATAGTACATTCCCCAGAACTCCTTCTTCTCCGAAGTAAAACAATGTTTGGAAACCTGCTCTTCGAGATCTTTTAAGTCCACACCATCATCGTTTAACTTTACAGGAACTATGGTCAGAGTGCTAAAGTGCTTGATACTATCTAGGGCAATCATATAGGAGTACTCATCCACGAATACAAAACCCTGAAAGTCTATCATCGTGGAAAGCAGAAGGTGAAGGCCCTGGGTAGCTCCTGTGGTAATCAACAAATCAGCACTAAAACCAAAACCACAATGTTAATACGATAAGTGATAAAGCCACAATAACCCAATATTATTACCAGTTAACGGGACTTTCAAACATTTCGGTGAAATAATTGGAAATCTCTCGGCGCACCTCAAATGTACCACTTGTAGGTCCATATTGAAAAATCAGCGACTGGTTTTCCCGCTTTTCACGTTCCTAAAAAGAGAGCAGAGTAAGATAATCTGATAGAGCTGATTGCGTAAGAGATATATGTACCTACCAGGCAATGATCTGTGGCCTTTCTGAAGCTGTCGCAGTTGGCGCTCAGGAGATCTGTACCAGGAGCACCCACTCCGAGATTTAGGATATTCGGTTCGTATACATTCCAGTCGCCGCCGTCGAAAAGGTGCTTAAGCTTGCGATCTTGGTTGGTTTTTGACATGTTTAGCGTTCTGTTCCAGGCATACTAATGCCTTATCTGTGCGAGGGGTACTCGCATTTATGGAAAACAATGGGAAAACATCTAACTTTTTGGTGGTCGCCATGTTATACCTATCAGTACTAAAAGCTAGGGGTATGAGGTTTTCAAAGCAGATAAAATACTTTTCCACTTTTACCGAATAACACTTAAGCCTATGGTGTAAACATACATATATTATAACAAGTGAGGATCAAAAATAAGTTTACGAATTTAAACTGTTTTGAATTTAGTATTTCACAATACTTGCTTTTACTTTTAAAAATAAATAAAAATTGGTAAAAAAAAAATGAGGAACTAATAGCACCGTTACACAACCAACCCTTCATACAAACATTTGATTATCAAATTGGATAAACCCCATTCGAAAATCTAAATACACCTGTTATAAAATGCAATAAAAGCTAAGATTTATTTACTTAAAACGATTTAACCCTGAAAAGGAGAAAATGATTAGTTAAATAAAGGGTACATAGTGATCGAGACTATTTCTTATATACATTTCAAACACGTTTCGTAGTGAATTTTAAGAAGTCCAATAGAAAATGCTATTCACTGCGAAACACTATATCAGCTGATTAAAGCAATAACTTTGTTTTTGGAAAAGAAAACTCGGAAAATCGTAACTCAATAAAATAAACAATGGATAAACCTACAACCAGCGCTGCAGCTGTCACGGCTCAAGATCCCAATCATCTCCTAGACTCCCCACAACACGGTCCAACTTTGTCCAGCGCCTCCAGTTTCGAGGCTTTGACGCGACACGACCCAAATCTAAGTCGACTGGCCACAAAAATGTTTAACAAAACGGAGGAGTACATCACCCACGAACTTAATGCCCCTCTAGAGGATTACAAACTGCTGGAAGAGATGAACAAGGCTACAATTGCCAAGTACAAGGATATGCGGCAGATTGCAGAGAATCTGAACACGTCGACCAGTGAATTGAGGCTTAAGTTTCAGCAACTAGCTCCATTGATGCAGCAGATTGATGAGATTTCCGATACGGTCGACAAATTGGAAGCAGCGGCCTACAAACTAGATGCCTACAGCATAGCCCTAGAAAACCGCGTCAAGTGTGTACTCCAGAGAAAATCTGGAGGCGGCCAAGTGGCACAATAAGACTTTTCATATACAAAGGCTTTATGGTACATTTATTATGGTATATTTAATGTCAACCAAGTAATAGTTTAAATATAATCGCAATTACATTAAGGAATATTAGGGGAACTGCAATGGAAAGAGATTAAATGTAAAGAACCTGTCTATAAGGATTTCATAATTTCTTACTTTTGGCCACTGTGCGTATAGAACGGATGAGATTTAGCACCTGGTCCTTGGCCGTGGGTGCTCCAAAGTCTTGTTGGCCAGCCTGTCGTCCCCAGCCAACTGAAAGGTGTTCCAAAATTAAACATCGTGGCAATGGCAGCCAAATATCTAAGTTAAAACTTACACTTGGCCAGGAAACGCTCCTCGTGCAGAATACACACTGCATTCAGGCAGAGAAGGGAGGATTCGATCAGTGTCCACAGAGTAAACATATTTGAGCCAAGTTATTCTTATTTACATCAAAATAAACTTAAATCGCGAATAATTGTTGACGTCAGTGATGCCGAATCAGCATTCACCGCGAATGCAGTCACAGCTGATATGGTGAGCTCACTGTGAATGCCTAAATGTCATGATATATTTGCGCGGTAAAATAAAATTTAAACTTGTTTTCTTCTTTTATTTAATATAAACATTTAAACATGGCTTATTTATAACGCGTATTTTTATTGACCATAAGGCAAAACACCTAAGGCAGATTTCGACCAATCGTTGTCTGTAAAATACAAAAATAGTAATTTTTATCAATAGTTTATTTAAATATATTTAATTAATGGTAAAAACTTACCGCTCTCTAGCTTCCAAATGCCCAGATCAGAAGTGTGCGCCTTGTTAAAGCTGTTGTCTTTATTTTGCGATGCTGTTGCTACAAGCTTTTCCAAATAATCTAAGTCATATATCTCATCTGAGGAACTGTCTTCTTCAGAGGAACTGCATTGCTTGGAGGAACTCTCTTCCTCCATAGGTTCGTCCTGGGTCAACCCCTGTAACCGAACATCGCAAAGTTCGCCCAAACTCTCCAATTGTACCTTACTGAAAGGAGGATCTGCGAGCGGTAGTAATCTAAGAAGATAAGGTATTTAGTGCTAAACCAATAAAATTCAGAAAGTCAAGACTTACCCTTTAAGTATTGGCGCTGAGTATTTGCTAAAAGGAGCAACACGCTGCATAATAAACTCCCGCTCAAAAACCAAAGACCTTGACTTTTTGGGATTGTCCCCGAAAATAAGAGTAGTGGAAGGATCCACATTTGAATGAACTAGAAGACTGCGCAGTGTTTTCGAAATTTTATCCGTGTTGAGAGATGCAAAATCAACTGCTTTCAGTTTATCATTCTACGAAAAAGTAAAATATTTAGAAAATAACTTTCAAAAAACCCATCTTTTTACAAACCAAATCTAGTTCCTCTTTATACATGCGTTTCATGCGGAGCAACATTCCAAAGGATTCAATCATCTTCGAAGCCCAATAACCGGCCCCTAATCGCCTTTCCTCCGGTTCATTTTCGTTTTCCGTCAATTGAACTAACGCCACAAACACCTTTTCGATATACCCCTGAACTGCAAGTAGCCTAAAGAGGCCCTGAGTAGCTGCAATGAGGATATCCTCGTTGTCATCGATTTCTAGGCCAACTCCAAGGAAGTATTCCATTTTAAGCAGGCATCCTGTGTATATATCTAGCAAATCCTTCATAGAAGAAGACTCCCTTTTGATTAGCGCACTGAGATCTGTTACCACTGCATTAAGTATTTCCTTTGCGGTCTTTGCTTTTTTTGCGGATGAATAAACGCGAATCTTGTTGAATTCACTGCTGGATTTCAGTTTACTAATAGCTTTTAGTTTCTCTGCTCCCTTGAAATGGCATTCCAAAGTCAGATCGTAGATTTCTAGAAGAGCACTCACTGCCTTTTCGAACTTGAGTTTGTCTTTGCGTTTCAGTTTTCCAGCGTCCAAATTCGACATAGTTTCCTTATGGGGAAGCCAATAGTAAGTGCGCAGCCAATCCAGACAATGATCTGAGGTGCTTCTAAGCACCTCCACAGGTGGAAGCTCTTGTCCATGAGCGCAAAGATGCCGCAGATCCACGATGAACGACTGTAGTCCCAATTCCTTGGCCGTTTCATACATGCTAGACATGTTATAGCCCTGAATTATGGAGGACATGAAGTTGTAGAATCGCGTGAAGGCACTAGCATAAGCTTGCTGTATTTTAAAGTTTCCCTCCTTGTCATCCAATTGCGCCTCGACGAGCACCGAAGTTGCCAAAACAGCCGCTGGGCAAAGATTTCCCCTTCGCAGGCTCCAAATGCGGATTTTACTGAGTGCCTGACGACGACTAGCGGTCGTGGAGGTTTTTCCAAATAAAAAGTCATATGTCTCATTAAACTCCAGCCTAAAACGTTATAATTTAATATATAAACAAAAAATTATTTTATATCTACACACGTGTCTCGCCAAGGAGTGACCACAGTTCTCTGTTTTACTACTGGAGGCGGTTGAACGGGAACAGCTTTGGCTTTTTGCTGTTTTCCTTTTTCAGGGCTTTTCTTTTTCACTTCAGGCTTTTCCTTTTTTGCGGTACCCATGTCGGCTTATATTTTAAAAAACCAATCCGAAGCAAAACAAACCGCTAAGAGAAATGCAACAGTTTTACTAGTGATGTTGTTGTCAACTAATATATAGCTATTAATGAGTAGTCGTTTTAGGATGTGTAAATAATTTTTTTTATTATATATGCTGAGTAAATTTTATATAAGCTTTATTTATGCAAACAATTTTATTTTTATGATATTATTAGTTATATTTAGTTATTAATTGCTTTTTTACTTAGCTATTTTTATTCACGTATACGTTGTATAACACTGCCAATCAGCTGATCTCGCCAACAAGACGCAGCCGGTTCTGTGTGAATGGTCAAAAAAATTGGAGCCAAAAATAATACTTTCTTCTTAAATTGTTGAACTGTTTTTCGCGCCCCCCGCAATGACCACCTAAGTTTAACCCGAATTCCTGAAAGATCCTTTTTATTTCAAAAAGGCGGCACATGCATTTCGTTCAACATCCTATAATTATCAACAACAACAACGTGGTGGACATACTGCATCCGGAAAATATAGAATTCGATGGGCCGCCAGCGGCGCGAAAAATGATCATTGGCTCGTTCTCGATGTTCGTGATCTTCTCGTATTTGCAGTTGCTCTACATCCTGATAGCCATCTACCTGGCGCTCCATCACGCGCATATCTAGGTTGAAATCTATAAAGGATAATGTATCACTTTGTATCTGAGCAAACTTCGGAGCTACGGCTCTCTGTGGATGCGTTGGTCACCAGCCACGTGACGCAATATCTCAAAAGCTTCCAGTTGGATGCAGTACGGTTCCTTTACGATCGTCTGGTCAAACGGGAATTTTGCATCCTAAACGATGAAAGTGGACTTGGAAAATTGGCCACGGTGGCGGCACTTCTCAGTGCCTTAGATCCCGCCAAGAAAACCCTCATAGTACTCCAAAACGATGAGCAACTGCTTGCTGGTTGGCGGTTCCATTTGGACTTACTTACAGACCTGCAGGTGTACATAATTCAAGGAGTCCAGGGTAACGTCTTATACATATGTACATACTTATGCGTTTTAAACCTTTTCAAGGGAGGAGTAAATAAATGTAACGTTTTATGACGATTTTCCGTAAAAAGCTTCTGAATCACACCCATACTGAATATATGCATTTTTTTATATGTACTTATTTCGCAATAAAACGAAATATTTTTTTTTTAATTTAAAATTATGTATAACATAAAATAACAAAGAACTTAAAGAGACCTTTAAACACTTTTTCTTTTTGCTTCCAGACACCACAGATTCCCCACACAACATTTATCTGGCGAAGTGGAGCCAGTTACGGAGCATTGGAGATCTCAGTCGCCTCAAGTTCGACTACGTTATAGTAGACAATCGAGGGCACTCGCTGAACAACAGCTTCTGCACCTCCATGCTGCTGAAGCATTTCGAGGGACGCGTAAACATGCTTATCTCCAGTGTTGACATTACGGTGAGGCAATGCAATCATAATTTACTCGCATGGAGCATTAGTTCATTGGTTCTTTTTATCTGCAGTCCGACGTAAAGTTGCTGTACAATGTTTTGCGGTTGGGCGGACGGCTAGAGCATCAGTACCGTAGCTTTCAGAGCTTCGATCGCAAGTTTCACTTGCCAGATCCCAAGGAAGTATTCAGTAAGCGGATAGATCTCGAGGAATACTACAAGCAGCGAGGATTCCTCAGCGAGTACATCAAGTAGGTGACACAGTAACCTACAATCTTATCTATAGGGAACTCGTATCAGTTTTACTGAAGCATACAACTAGAAAAGAGATTAAAAGGAGAATATTATTTCCTATATTTCGATTGATTAAATAAAATATATTTTATTAATTTTAGGGATTTTCGTATACGTCGTTTCCGCCATCAATTCGACAAGAGCTTGCCACTCGTCGCTCCAGAGCAATACAAACACAATTTGAACCTGTGGTTGGCCTCAAAAAATAGCCAAAGCACACTTAGTGGTTCCTCAGAGGTGTGCTCCACAATCGCTTCCGTGGACAACAATCCGGATAAGCAGAACGAAACAGTACAGGCTGAAGAGACTGATAAGTTATCTGAGCACAGCGGGGATGAGGTAGTTGCTATGTCACCGCTGGTTTTTGAATCCTCTGACTCTGACATTGAACCCATAACAGTGGAACCTGCAGGCGACCAAAATCAAGTATTAGTGGTATCCAGTGACGATTGTGAGATCGTTACTCCTCCAAATACACCGCCTAATCGAACACCCTCTTCAAATGAATCGCCAAGAATAAAATCAAAGAGAAAATTCCGCAAGAAAAAGTCACCTCAGAAAAAAGCTGATCTCACTGATTCCGAGGAGGATGATGAAGTTTCTGAAATAGAGCTCAAAAAGAGAACTCGAGCGGCTACTGCTACTTTTACTCCGAAGACAAGAAAGCTTAATGTGCGACTATTAAGAGTTTCCATGGATAATTTGAGCACACCACCTCCTTCTGTAGCCGCTCCTGCGTTTGTTACGCCCAAAACGGAGCCCTCAACCAGAAGGAAAGCGCAGAGAAAACAGCCTGTGACTGCAATGGATCGTCCGGCTACGCGAGGGATGCAACGTTTAACGCGATCTGCTGAATCAAAATTAAACAGCAAATATTTAAACTGCCACTCACTGGATGACATCAAGCGGAGCAATTCGAAAAGAATAAAGTCTGAGGGGAATAACACGCCCAAAACTAGCAAACCCAGGCGAAAACAAGAGAACAATGTAAAACCTGCAGACGACCAGGAAACGAAGCAGAAAATTGTTGAAAAGCCTGCACATGAAACTCCCAAACGAAGGGCGGGACGCCCAAGGAAATGCAAATCAGAACCTAACACCATAAATAAACCTAGTACTAAGCCGGATCCCAAGCCCTTGCCTCCAACTCCCCAAGTGCTGAGCGGTAGTTCCTTGTCCTCAGAGTACATGCAATGTGCACAGCGAATACCAGATAATTTGGATAACGTAGAGTCACCCGCTTTTCGGGTGCCCTTCACTCCTCAGCAAACCCCTACGCTACTAACCTTGCCGTCTCCTTTTAATTTACTCAACGACTCAGAGGTAGTGGTCGTTCCGGCATCCAAAGAACAAGTTGAAACAGTGGTAATCAACAGCTCTCATGATGAGAGTTCGCCGCGGGATCCATCGCAGAGTCGTCGCACTAAGGTTTTAAAAAGGAAACGTAAACCAGAGCCGCCTGTGAGTTCTAGTTTTGGCGGGGGCTTCGGACTGCCACCGTCCAAAAGGTCTGCCAACAAATCTCCAGACCTGTTTAGCATCTCCTCGGAGCTCTCACAGATTCCTTTGGCACAACCACGACCCTCCTCTCCTTTTGAAGGCTTTAAGATATTCGGCTCTGAGGTGAAACAGTTCCAGCAACAGCATGCAATGTCAAATAATTTGTCGCCGAGAAAGAATCGCGACCGATCTTGTTTAGATATACTGGAGAAAATGTTTGAGCCGCGGCAGCAGCAGCAGCAGGCTAAAACTAGTCCCAAAGTCTTGCCCACCTTGCCACAGTCTGAAAAAGATGACGTAGCACCTGCCATCACCCAAAGAAGAAGAACTCTTTTGGAGGATGACTTCTTTGAAATCACAAATAATGGTCAATTTGGCAGTCGAATGAGATTGAACTCGTCTGGAGAGGTTTCACCCGTGCAACAAGATCAACAGTCCGCCAGGCCAACGCAGGCCAATAAAATCACAAAATACTTGATAGGTTCTGGGATTACCCAGGAGAAGACTCAACCTACTAGTGGAAATCGCAGCACCATTCTGACATCGATTCGGAAATCTCCGAAATCCCCAAAAAATGGAGGAAAACCAACACAGGCCACTAAGCTCACGCGGTGGTTTGGGTCTGTCTTCGGAGGAGGAGCTTCACAGACCAGCTCTGTGGAATCAGTTAGCGCGCCAAGTACACCGGTTACTCCATCTACGAGCGCAGCAGCCTGTCAAACGCGATCAGCAAGAAGTGGTGGAGCAGCAGGACCCACCAAAAGAAAGCGATTGGAACTGTTCAAATGACGAGCAGTATAAAAAATAAGTTAACTAAAGCCAAAACAGCAAGGCAAAGTCCTGCTTTTTGGATAAAGCCATATTTTCACGAAAATATTTCTGAAGTTTATATTTGATTAACAAAACCCGCAATCTAAAGAAATGTATCGTGAAAAAATAGCTAAAATATTACTAAATCAAAAGCAAAGCAATAGTTAACAGCATCTAAACTTGGAAAAAAGACTCCTTTAATAGGTTGTAATATCAGCATGGTGCAACTTTAGCCGTACATCGATCTTGAGACATTAACTAGCCAATTTAGTTAAATATCTATTATTTTTTTTGCTTATTTCGAAGATAACTTTAAAGTTTAAACCATCAAATTAAAAAGACATTGGACTTTATCGACTATTCATTCAGAACGTTATGTTATAAGTAATTAATTTTGGTAATTTTTCTAGTAAAATTAACTTATTAAAGCTTCGAATTTCATTTATTTTTCCCACTTTTAATTTTCTTCTCTGTGTCCTCATTTTATACGCCAGTAGTTAGGCGAGTTTTTAGTTAAATTATAACTATGTATACATTCAATATTGTATTTTACAATATTAAAGTAACGAAATAAATCGTTTTTTAATGACAAAGAAATTTTATTATGTTACAGATTTTACTATAACGAAATAAACCATTTTTAATATGAGAGTTTAGATTCAAAAACAAAACCTCATTTCTTGTGTTTCAATAAAAATTAAGGTTTATTTTAAAAGGTTATTAAATTTAATTTTTGCACAAATTCCATATTTAAAAACGTTTTTAAGCTCTTTGTTTTCCGAAAATAACTGTTAAGTTGTGCATCACCGCTTGGCGTTGGAATACCAGCTCCCGCCGGCACACGCTGCCCAGAAGAGGAGGACACTGGTACTGAACGTTCTCATGGGCCAAGGTATCTCCATTCGATTTACTGAATGTAAACTCACTCAATGATTGCACTGCAAAATGTATATAATATATAATTAGAAAGACTTTAAAATATCGACTAGTTCATCTTACAGCAGTAGAATCCGGCAAAGAAGCAAGTCTGATGGGTAGACTTGATGACATAGGCCACCGGAGTCACTCCGGGCATTGTTTTGGTGACCACATATTTGGCTGTAGCCGTATTTAACCAGTAGGGCCAATGGGAGAGTCTTTCTGTATATTCCACCGTATAGCGCCAGTCATGGGCGTGTCCGTGATCGGCTAGGATCTTAAAACTTATGCTGAATTAAAAACAATAATAAAATTTTATATCTTAAATAATTTATTGCGTGATTTCAACTTTTTATTATTTAATATTTAGAGCTATAAACTTTAGGCTTTCATAATATAGCTCCATATGTTTGACAAATACCTCAGATCTTTTGATGATCTATTTTCGTAATGTTAACTCACTCTTTTTGACTTTTACGAAAGATATTAAGTAAACTATATATAATATTAATTAGATTCATTCAAATCTGATTAATACTCACATTGTGGGATTTAGCAGCCGCATCTTATTAAAATCCGCCACATACTCCCAGACCTTTTCCGGTTGGCTCCGCTTGATAATGCCCTCGATCTGGTACTTTTGATAGCCGCTGGAGAAAACAAAAACATAGAGCAAAAGAGCAGCGCTGAGGAGGACTGATGCCCGCTTTATATTCCAAAGACGTGGACTATGCATTCTAAGGGCTCTGTTCTTGATGGATTCCCGACATCGACTGCCGATTATTCTGTGTATATGCGGACTTATTCGAATTTCAAATAAACATGTGCCGGAGAATTCACCACAAAGATTCGGAATACAGCCTCAAAGGGGAAATGAGCGGCAGTTCCATGGGCGAAAAGAGAAAGATAAACAAAAAGGGATCTTTAAGTACAGTGGCGTCTTCAAGTTAGATGGACTTCTTTCAATCTTTTTCTTTCGAAGAGTTTTCTCTTCTTAAGACCTATGGCTTCTTGAGGCAAATACTAGTTGATGATAAGAAAGGGTTTTCTGATAGAATTTTTGAATTACATATTTAATTGTTTATTGATATCAAGATCTATATGTTAAAAAGAGGTGACAAACTCAGAAATTGTTTGTAAAATACTATCTTTTAAATCTTATTTTATGATATAAACAAATCTCTTATTTTTAAAACCTTCAGTTAAAGTGCAGCCAAAGCATTCCCTATATTTACCAAGCCAAGCAGTTTAAAAATCTTTTCAGAGGTCAAAGCTCTATAGAGCCGGCCCCCGTTTCCTATTAACACCCCCATTCAACATCCAAAATAAAAAAATAATGTTTCCTAACACTGGCATTAGAAAGCTTTGGCGAATGGCGAAAGCTGCGTTAGCTTGTCCATATGATCGCCACTCTCCACTTAGTTTATAAACAACGTTCGCCGGGTGCGGTCAGAACCCGCGGAACCAAAGGTATAAGCAGCGTGCCCGTAAGCATATGTAATTGCTTATCACAGCGGACAGTCCGAAATCTGTATGCTTCACCACTCTGGCCACAATAGATCCCTTAACATCGCGTGCCCCCCGCAAATTGCCGGTTTACTGTTTACGTAAGCCGACTGAATTCGTTTAAAATTCATTTTAGCTGAGAGAACATCAATCAAAATAATAAAAAATGCGACTACTGGTCCGACACGCGATTCGATTGTTCGGTCAGGAGAATCGAGGAGGGGTTGCACCTGAGGTATCTCCAATTTGGAGAGGAGGATTTCGACTGAAGGCCACAACCGGTTCACTAAACCTGGCCACAGCAAGTGTTCAGCAATTGGAGCCACTAGAGAAACAGGTGGAGAGAAAGGTGAGTTCTCCATTGGGTTGTTGCAAAAGTTTTTATTTCACTAATCTAGAAATTACCTAGAATTCTCCACTGACGGATACGTTTGGCAGACACCATAGCTATCTCAGAATATCTCTAACCGAACGCTGCAACCTGCGATGTAAGTTACTCCGAGCCCCGAAACACCTACATATGTTTTCACCCTTATCAGTTTCACCCTGTTATTGCTCAAACCATTTGATAATACTTGCTATGAAGTGGATCCCAGCCTTGATTGAATAATGTGGCGAAATTCGTTTCTTAAACACGAACAGTTGCGGTAAACATAATAGTAATTTACCTCATATTTGACCTTCGTGTTAACAAATTAGTATAGATATTCTAATTTCATTTTTGGGATTCTATTGTACTTAACTCTTTTGGCGACAGCTTTCGCAACATTTTTGATTGAATTACTGATAGCAAACAACACTTGATAAATTATAGCTTAATGATCTTAAATTGGACTCCAGAAAGTTCTCTTCTTAATGTCAAAAGGGTATGTAATTGTAGTAACTTTCTGATTAAATTTCTTTTAAAATAATCATCATCCAGGTAGTTTCCTATGTAAACAATCATCATATCTAATAAACTCTCGTTTAAAACTATCTTACAAAAAATTAATAATTTTTAGGCGACTACTGTATGCCGGCTGAAGGAGTTCCCTTGCAGCCCAAAGGGAAACTCCTAACCACCGAGGAAATTCTCCGTTTGGCGCGTATTTTTGTAAAGCAAGGAGTGCGAAAGATCCGCTTGACTGGAGGAGAACCAACTGTAAGAAGGGATATAGTTGAGATAGTGGAACAAATGAAGGCTTTACCGGAACTAGAGCAAGTTGGAATAACCACCAATGGTCTAGTGCTAACTCGCCTACTGCTCCCGCTCCAAAGAGCTGGATTAGATTCCCTCAACATCAGCTTGGACACGTTGAAAAGGGATCGCTTTGAGAAAATCACCCGTAGAAAAGGTTGGGAGCGGGTAATAGCCGGTATCGATCTAGCCGTTCAGTTGGGCTATCGTCCCAAAATCAACTGTGTCCTTATGAGGGATTTCAATGAGGATGAAATCTGTGACTTTGTGGAATTTACCAAGGATCGTCCTGTGGATGTGCGATTTATAGAGTATATGCCTTTCTCCGGAAACAAATGGCATACAGAGAGGCTGATTTCGTACAAAGATACCCTGCAAACCATTCGTGAAAGGTGGCCGGATTTTGAGGCCTTACCTAATGGACCCAATGACACATCCAAAGCATATGCAGTACCGGGGTTTAAGGGCCAAGTGGGTTTCATCACATCCATGACCGAACACTTTTGTGGAACCTGCAACAGATTGCGACTCACGGCGGATGGTAATATCAAGGTGTGTTTGTTTGGCAACAAGGAGTTTTCGCTAAGAGACGCCATGCGAAATAAGAATATAACAGAGGAGCAGCTGGTGGATCTCATTGGGGCGGCAGTTCAGCGCAAGAAGAAACAGCATGCAGGTGAGTTACAATCCCAAATCAATCGTAGAAAATCTTCAGTCCTTGGTCCTCCTTCGTAGGCATGCTCAACCTGTCGCAGATGGAGAACCGGCCTATGATACTCATTGGCGGCTAGTAGACACACCACACAATCTCTCCTCTCTCCCGTTGCAGATGCTGCGCCCCTACTCCATCACCATAATCATCATTTTTTGTTTCACCAAGCATACTATCCCTCGAGACTACAGCTCCTAGTGCGGAACTACAGCCAACTGACCCATGTCAATGCAAAGGGAAAGGCTCAAATGGTGGATGTAGGCGCAAAGCCTTTGACCACGAGGTTAGCTCGTGCTGAGGCCACTGTCCAGGTCGGTGAGGAGATCACCCGGCTCATATCAGCCAATGAACTAGCCAAAGGAGATGTCCTGACCGTAGCCCAACTGGCTGGAATTACGGGAGCCAAGCGCACCTCCGACCTGATACCCCTGTGTCACAATATCAGCTTGTCCTCCGTGAAGGTGCAGGCTACTCTTCTCAAGAGCGAGCACTCAGTCCGTTTGGAGGCAACCGTTCGCTGCTCCGGCCAAACTGGAGTCGAGATGGAAGCACTTACCGCCGTTTCCGTGGCTGCCTTAACAGTCTACGATATGTGCAAGGCTGTTTCCCACGACATCTGTATCACCAACATCCGCCTGTTGAGCAAATCCGGTGGAAAAAGGGACTTTCGGCGGGAGGAGCCGGAAAAAGTACCAGAAGTTGAATAGGGGGATCTACTGACTGACCGAATTAGGTATAATACTATAATGGCCTAGCCATATTCAGGGGAATGGTAAATAGACGGTAGTCTAGTCTTAATAAATTAACTTATACAATTCCATTTTAAAAGTTTAAATTTAAAAGGCACAAGATTGACTACCAATGTAAACACTGTTTTAAAAATTTCTAATTTCTTGCAATTTTCTTTTCTACTTTTATATAAATAAAAGTGTTCAATTGGTATTAATATGCAAGTTTTAAATTTGATTTATAATATTGAGAAGTAAAGGTTCTACCATTTAATTTAGTATGTGAGTTAATCTCATAACGAGCGCTCTTCAATGAATCACAAGACACATGATTAATTTCATACTGAAGTTTAAGGTTTCGGTTCTCTTTAATTCGTGACCAGAGTGGGTTAAGTTTAAATGAGGAAATTTATGGATAATGTTGGTGTGAAGGTGCGATTGGGGGCGTGTCGCGAACTGCGCCTTATAGCTAGAAGTACATACAACATTAGAAGTATTCAATAAACGCGGATTATCGCTCGCAAATCCTGGCAGAGTTCCCTCTCAACATAGACACAATAAATACGGTGTGGTGAGGTAATCATTCGCTCCTAGTTGGACACCAAGACATTACGGTTCTCCGCCTTGCTTTCCGCATCCGCGTCCTTGGCTCCTTCGGCGCCCAGGTGCTCACCCCTGATCTTGATGTTGTGCTCCTCTTTGAACTTGTTCAACTCGATGCCTTTTTTGCTCAGGTCGACGCTGACCATGTCGATAGTTTTAGCTATGAAGTCCTTGTTCTCCACCAATTGCGGCAGCACATCCTTTACAGTTCGTTCGCACAGGACTCCGCCAATCTGACGAAAGCACTTGCGTTCCGGATCCGCCGCCTGCAGAGTTTCTATCACAGTTCTGGGAAGAATCATTGGTTACTTATGTGTCTTATTGTGTTTTCAAACATGCCCACCAGATGGTCAAACATCTTAGGGCCCCTGGTGACTCACTTGTGTTCCCTCAGATCCATTTCGAGCGTACTCAAACTGTTGGCCAAATTACGCTGATCATTGCGCAGCTGTTGGAACTGAGCCACAATGGCCTCCTGGCTGAGAGCCGGCTTTGCCGATTCGGTGCTCATCACAATGCTAGTTCCCTAAAATAACTTCTTCGAAATCTAGGCCTGGATATTCGCTCCAAATTCCCGAAAATCTGAGATTTTCTTTCAAAATAAGTCGGCGAACACGAGGGATAAGCAGAGAACGTCCTAATAAAACCAAAACGCCAAATCCCAGTATGACCGTATATGGTTTTTTTAAAATTTACCACAAATAAAATTACTTTATAGATGTCAGTTTTAGGTCTGTGTAATTTAACTAAATATTTATTATAACACGCTACTTTGAATCATATAAAAAAAATCGTATGCTTTTTGATTGTTTATATTTGCATATATTAATTTTGTCACCTGCAAAGATGCAGAATATGCAAATAATTTATAGTGCAATTCGTCACCTATATAATCGACTGTCAAAAAATGTAATCGATAAACGAAAAAACCATATGTTGTTACGTTTCGTGGCGAATGTCAAATTGGAATACACGTGCGAGTTGTTTCTACCGGAGTTTAATTTATTTAATGTTTTTTATTTAATAAATAGCTAAATAAAAACATGCCGGCATTAGTGGCAACAGGTGTGCAATTCGGGGGACCGCCTAAGAATAAGAAAATCGTGTTCGATGATTCTGGCGAGGTTGTTCCTAAACAAAACAAAAAGGATCACCCACATAAGCCAAAATTTCAAGGCAACGAACCGGTGAAAAAGCCACACAAAATAAAGTTTGGAGAGGATGGACAGGCTAAGGGTGGTAAACCCTTTAATAAAAACAACCAAAACCATAATGGCCAAAAGCCTGATCATTCAAATAAACCACAAAAGATTAAATTTGACGATGATGGCCAACAGGTAGCTCCGAAATCCTTTAACAAAAATCACCAAAATGGTCAAAATCCACAAAAAATTAAATTTGGCAAAGACGGAGAATCTGCACATCAAAAAGCATATAATAAAAAGCACCAGAAACATAATGTCCAAAATTCAGATTTTACCAATAAACCACAGAATATGAAGTTCAGTGAGAATGGCGAAGAAGTGTCTCAGAATTCCTTTAAAAACAATCCCGAACAGAACAAGAAACCTCAAAAAATTAAGTTTGGAGATGGTGAAGATTCCACCTCGGAGAACCCCAAAAAACCCCAACGTATCAAGTTCGATGAAGACGGGGCTAGTAAAAATGTCTCCGATAGCGATGGAGATAGTGATGACGAACTGGGACAGTCTTTTTCCAAAAAGCACAACAAATATCAATCTAAAATTGATGAGGATGAGGAGTCCCAAAAGAAATGGTATCATGTGGTAGGTTTATTTAAAAAAAATGACCAACATAGTCTTACTTTTGAATTTTATGTATTTCAGCATCCCGATTATCCATCTACCGATGAGGTTTTAGACATGAAGGAGAACGAGCAAATGGAGCTCTACAATCTCTGCAAGACTTCCTTTGAAGCAGAGAAGACAACATTTAATAAGCGTATGTATTACCAGATTTGTCTAAGTTTAGAAGGAAGGGATGTATTTAGTTAGCTAAATTAATGCTTTGTTTAACCTTTTAGGAAATCCATCGGATGCTCGGTGGTTACAAACTGCTCTGCACAAGGGTACGGCCAAGGATCGAGCCAATGCCGGCGCCCTGCTGGTAACAAGCAATCCATTGGGCAACCTGGAAGCTCTGACTACTTTGATTGGCTTTTGTAAGATCTCCAACAAGGCCAGCAATGATGTGATTACAGTTCTCACTGATTTGTGGCAGGAGGTGCTGCTGCCGCCTAACAGAAAGCTTCTGGCGGTGCACACACGAGGAGCTGATTGGAAAAAGTTAAAGAAGGACGAGAAAATGCGCAATGAGCAAAAGCGTCGCATCTACGCGTACTGGCATTTCGAGAGTGAGTTGAAGGACCAGTACCATGAATTCCTCAAGAACGTGATGCAAGGATTGCAGACAGGACAGGAGCACAATAAGAACTCTTCTATTGTGTCAGCAGCCAGATTGCTGGCCTATGCGCCCGAGAAGGAGCAGTTGCTGCTAACTATGCTTGTCAATAAGTTGGGTGATCCCATTGCAAAGATAGCCTCTAAGGCATTGCATCATCTTAGCGAGGTTGCCCAAAAACATCCCAACATGTGTGGCGTCATTGTATCCGAGGCAGAGAAGTTACTTTTTCGTAACAACATATCAGAGCGGGCGCAGCACTTTGCACTTTGCTTCCTGTCTAGCATAGCACCCTCCGGCCGGCCGGAAGTCTGTACTAAGCTAGTCAACATCTGCTTTGCCCTCTTCAAGGTTCTCGTCCAAAAGGGAGCCGTAAATAATAGGACAATGCAAGCCATTCTTCGGTGTCTACAAAAAGCTATCGTAGAGGCTCAACCAGCAAAGGATAGTAATGGAGAGTTGCTTACCAAGGAAATGCAGGACACTATCTACAGGTTGGTCCATTTGGCCGATATTAGGGTCGCTGTACAGACTCTTGGTTTGCTGCTGCAACTGGTGACTGTTAAGACAGAAAAATCGGATCGGTTCTATAATGCTCTTTATGTAAAATTGTTGGATTTGAACCTCATCAATGTTGGAAGTAAAACGGCAGCTCATCTACTGCATATCGTTCATCGTGCCATTCACATCGACAACCACGTTGCCAGGGCTCAGGCGTTTGTAAAGCGTCTTCTGCAGTTGACTCTCTACGCTCCTCCCCACATTGCTGCTGGTTGTTTAATAGTTATCCATAAGTTGCTGCGCATGCGTCGTGAGCTCATTGGTGGAACCGGAGCGTCCGAGGAGGTGGATGAAAGTTCCAAAGTAGTCCCATTAGTCACTGCTGATTTGGACAAGTTTGGCAGTGATGATGAGGAGGTATACAAGGATGTGAAAGAGGAAGATGTAAAAGACTCGAAACCATCGGAAGATAAAGTTGAGGGCGATGCCAAGCCAAAAGTGTCATCCTGGCATCATGCCACTGTAGCTGCCACAGAGTCTAAAGTTCGGGATATTGATTCCTGCAAGTACGATCCTTACCATCGGGTGCCCGCTTTTGCAGGAGCTGGTTATACACTCCGCCACGAACTGTTGCTGCTGCGTCAGCACTACCATCCCACTGTCCAGGTGTTCGCCGAGCAGATCCTACAGCGTGAGTAATCCTTATAATATCTTTTAAAATCAATATAAAACACATTACCTTACCTTAGAATCACGAATTGGTTACTATGGCGATCCGCTAAGAGATTTCGGTCTGCCGCACTTTTTGGAACGCTTTGCCTTTAAGAATCCGAAGAAGCTAGATGCTCCACACGCGGCGGAAAGTGCTACAGTGGCCCACAAACGATACATGGCTCACGGAGCACGTGGTAGACCAGTAAAGTCGCTGACTAAGACCAACTGCACAGAAGACGAGATGTTCATCTTCAACTTCCTGGAGCACAAGCGCAAGCAGGCGGAAATTGTGGCCCAAAACAAAAAACAAAAGGATGGAAAGAAGGAGAACGCGGACGACGGTGAGGATGGTGAGGCTGGAGAAGAGTATCTAAAAGAGGGCGAAGTAGACGACGATGAATTTGAGGCATATTTGGATGGGTACTTTGGCAAGAAGTTTAAGGATGGCGTAGACGAGGAACAGGATGAAGAGGAGCTGAACTTCCTTCAGGAGCTCGGCGGTGAGATGAAGAAGGACAAGTCCAAGGACAAGAAACAGAAGAAACAGGCTGACAAGGCGGAAGAGGATATGGATGAGATAGATGATGACTGGGGTGATGATGATTTAGGAGAAGATGAAGACGATGAAATGGAAGGCGCTGGAGATGATCAGTCTGGTGATGAAACGGGCTCAATCGATTTGGAGCCACTGGATGATGACGACGACGATGATGATGAAGGCTCAATATCTGAGGGCGCCCAAGACGACAGTGATTCAAGCGATGCCCCTGATAGTCCAGACGAAGACGAGGACGATGAAGACGAAGATGCACCACCCAGGTCCAAGAAATCCCGTAGAGAATCCTCTGGCATGGTGGGTGGACGAAGCTTTGCAAAAACACTTAAACAAAGTCATGGTAAGTTATTAATTAATTAATATATTGTAAAGCCTGTATTATCATTTATTTCTTTAAACAATTTAGATATGTCATCCCTGTTTGCGGCCGCCGATGACTTCTCTTCGCTGCTGGAAGAAACGGCTAAAGTCAAGGGTCAGGGAACCAGCAATGCCGTATTCAACAAGGACAAATCCTCCGATAAGCAATTAAAGTGGGAAGAAAAGCGGCGATCGAATACGAAAACCTACAAGGGCAAGAAATTTGGTGGCAAACCAACACAGAAAGCTGGCAAAAAGCGGAAACACTAAACTGAAATCGATTATCAAAACCCTAAAATATTTTAATGAATAGATGTGTAAATACACAAAAGCAAGATTAAATTCAATTTTGAATAAGTTTAAAAAATTCCATTGTGTTATGATTTGAAATGCTTTATTTTAACTGCATTTTGATATTTGTTTTATGTACAGACTTTGGTGACTTAATAGCTAACAACTTGTTTCAAATTCATCTGCATACCTCAATTAAACCGAAGCTAAACAATCGCTTTCGGTTGCTTGTCTAACATAACTATCCGTAATTCGTATAACGCTTTGGCCGAACTATAAAAATCGAGTTCAATACGATTTGATTGCTTTAATCTTACATTTAACTAGTTGTCCCCCATTGGTTGTTGCGTCCTTTTGTAGGTAGATTGGGCAGAGTCTATGGTCTATATTAGTTCCAGTGATCTTAAACTACGACGATTTGCCAATGATCGCGTCTATAAAAACTGATGCTAAATAGTTTTCTTAATCTGTTTATCGGTTTGCTTATAAAATGTAGGGTATGTTTAACTTTTCGTATTGCGACTTCTTGGAGTTTTTGGGTTTTACATTTGTGTGTGTTCTAAGGCAACTTGTTAAAAGGCAACTTTAATATAAATGTTATTTGTTTTATACTAAAATTTACACCATGATTTATAAACATCCATTTTGATCGACTCTACGGCAGATTTACACAGTTCGATATGTGAATTGGGTTTGTTTAGGTTTTCCACAAAAAAAAAATTAGCATAGAATAAAAAATATACAAATCAAGCGAGTTTAAAATAAGGTAATTGTTTTAATTTTATTTAGATTTCATCGATATCCATTGATTTAACATAAATAATTGCAGGTTTTGCGCCAAATTTAAAAAATAAACAATCAAAAATACTTAAAACAATTAAAAGCTGGTTTGCTATTAACAATTCTACGACTATTAACGTTTCTTGATCAGTTTCGTGTGCAAAAATAGCAATTTTTGGACCGCCTCGAAGAAAAACTTATCGGACGATTCTTATTTTTCCTTTTTAACTGAAATGATTTCAAAGGAATTATGATATTATTGCCAAGCAGAATCGGAATTAAATGAATTAGTTAATCCCGATGGAGCTTGGCAATAAACGATGGGGGAAAATTTGAGTTACTTCTGTACTTCTGTGAATGCTGCATTAGGAATTAAAAAAGATAACTTAACATAGAGCACAACTTAAAAGAAAGAAATATTTGTGTTAATGGGGGTTTCTATCGTTCTTCTCACTGGCTTAAAAATTAATTTTTTTCACTAAACTAATTGCAAAACGTTTTAATGAGTTTAGTGATTGCGTTATGTTGTCGATATCTGTTATTGTTTGTCTTAACCGCACTAAGATCATTGCAAAAAGTTGCCTTTGTATAGTTCCCGTTTTTTTTTTGTGTCTGACTTTTTACATTTAGGCTATTCAAATAATTAACTAGCACAACAAATTGCATATAGAATACACTTATAAGGACGTTGCGGTACACTCTCCTTGTATAATTTTATGTGTTAAGTTTTTATCGTTTCCCATGGTTGAATTAGTGATAAGTAAAATGAGTTCTGAACTTAGAGTAATGCATAACAATTTTTTAAATATTTATTGACAGGATCTTTGGTGCGTCTTGCGGATCCTTTAACTGCTGCTCTACATTGTTAGTGGGTGCGTTGCTGGGTGCAGAACACCAAGGGGTCTACACCCGCTGTTTTGGCCGGGGTCTGGTCGTCGTTGTTCTGGGGGGGCCATTGGGTCAATGTTTGTCGTCAGCTGTACATCCGTGGTCTTCTAAAGTCACCCTCCCACAGTAGCACCGCTCGCGGTTGCTCATCTCTCTCATTTAGCTGCTCGTCCATGATTTCCACCACCTCCAGATCATCGACGTCGTCATCCTCATGTCATTGGAACTGATATCGTTGCCGCAGCGCCCGGGCCCTCTCCGGTTGCACTCGCGTAGGTGGCCGCGGCACCTTGGGCTCCCGTTTTGTACCCTTCAATTGCCTCTTGGGCCGCGGGAAGATCAGCGGTTTTTCATAGGCATCGTCCAACTTTTCTAACTTTATGTTTGGCAAGCAATAAACGCGACGTGCTTTTTTGAACTTAATCTTAAGCACCTGCTGCACACCATTGATAAGCAGACAGAAGTGCCGCCAGCTAGCCCGGGCCTTTCGCCAGGAGTTTGCCGTTTTGCTAAAACCATGGAAACTCTCCTCATGCTTGGTGGTTCCGAACGACGGAGGTAATGTACGAACAACTCTCTGGGTTCTCTTCGGAATGCGGTTCACCACGATGTCAATGGGCGGTGGAAGTTCTTGCATGAGCAAGCGTAAGGACGCTTTGCTGTCCTCCAGAGCGGGAGCACCGAGTGATATCTGGCATTCAGATCGAAGTTGCTGGCGTGTTCTCGGCCGTTGGTTTGCTGGTACTAATTCGACACGATCTAAGACTGGAGCTGGTGGCGGTGGCATGTACTCCTGATCATCCTGTGTCAGAGACAGTTCGGAACATAACTCCACAAAACGCGCCAAAGGCGGCGCTTCCTCATCAAAGCCGCAGAAATCAGCTTGGATCTCGAAAATCGGGTCAAATCGTTCGTGCACTACTAGGTCTTCATCGTCAGAAGGAGGAACAATTGCGGCAGTCAAAGTGGGAGCTAACGTTTTAGATTCCACTGTGGGAGTAGCATCCGTGGATTCGCTGAGTTGGATTAAGCCCTCATCCTCTGGAGCCTTTTCGAATGTGGACTCTGGCCGTTCCTGCTCGATCGACATACCTAACGCCGGCTGCTCCATGGTGTCTTCGCTGAGGTCCACAACCATCTGCTGCTCTGCAGGTACAATAATGTCCACGTCTGGATCGTTGGTGCTGTAATGCAGCCATTCACTGTCAAGAATTTCTAGCAGTGTAGGTCGATTGGCCGGATCTCGCTGCAGGCACCAGCACACCAGCTGCCGGAACGCAGGACTTGCATTTTCCCAGCGCTTAGAGTGCTGGTTAAACGTCTCCCGACGAATGCGCTTGCGAATATCATGATGGGCAGATGGGGAGTGATCCACATCGTTCACATTCTGCCTGTAAGGTGCATGACCCACCAACATGGTATACAATGTCGCACCAAGACCGTAGATATCAACCGCTGGTGAATAAGTGACGAGATTCGAGTCCGCGAGCATTTCAGGAGGAGCATAGTCCAACGTGTAGCGCGGCTTGTCTTTCCAGCTCTGGAAACAGCTATTGTAACTGTGGGAGTACAAATAAAATCATCACCGGAAAATTACAATTAATATCAATTGCCTTACCAGGCATTGCCAAAGTCGACCAATTTGACGTGCTTATCCTCCCGGCTCTCAAACATTACGTTCTCAGGTTTCAGGTCACCGTGTATAAAATGCTTCGAATGGACGTGCCGCACGGCCATGACCAGCTGCAGGAAAATCTCCCGACACGAGTCCTCGTCCATGCGAATAGACGCGGTCAGTTCCTCGCCACACAGGTACTCCATAATAATCCACGTCTCGCACTTATCCCTAAACGTTCCATGGTAGCTCACAATATTTTTGTGGCCGGCTACGTCCAGAGCGCACGAGATCAGTGCATCAACCTCAGAGGGTCGGAACCTAGACAATGGTATGACCTTGGCCATAAACACCATCTCCGTGGAACTGTCGACTACAAAATGGCACGTGCCAAAGGCACCGCTTACGGTGCGGGTACCAAGCTCAAGGTCATCCGGGCGTGAAGGTATATTCTAAAAATAACAAAGAGAAAAACATAAGTCAAGGGCTATCATTATTTTAAATTAAACTCACCTGAAGTCCTGGATTACAGTATTGGATCTGGCAATGGTTATCCCGTCGCATCTGCTCTAAATGCTCGGGGGCCACGTACGTGTATCCGCGGAAAAGCTTGATTCGGCTGGGAGGGGCATCGCATTCGGGGTCTTCGGGCACCTGGTCTGTGAACTCGCTGCTGAAGTTCTGCACATCGTCCTCGGCTGTCAGGGTGGGCTTGTAGGGCGCCTTGCGCCGCTTGTTGCGCAGCTCCTGCCAGTTAATGCCATGAAAGAAGGGGTGATCCTTGATCTCGCTGGCTTCTCGATGATTGCCCCCCAGCCGACGCTTTGGGTTCTTCTCCAGCATCTTCAACACAAAGTCACGAGCGTTGGCGCTAAATGAGGATGGTATCAGAGGTTGTTCCTTCTGGATTCGTCTCGAAATCTCCGACTGTTGACTCTGTCCGTCGGATGTTGCGAACGGCGAAGCACCGGTAAGCAGTTCAAAGGTGAGCACACCCACTGACCACCAGTCCACGGCACTGTCGTGCCCGGGTGGTCCCGTCCGGATAATCTCCGGCGCCATGTATTCCAAGGTCCCGCAGAAACTGTGCGCCCGATATTCATTCTCCGCGGTTAGGATCTTCGAGAGCCCAAAATCGGATAAAACAATGTGCCCCTCGCCATCAAGCAAAATATTCTCCAACTTAATGTCTCGATAGATTATGCCAAGCTGATGCAACTGCTCCAGGGCCAGCACCACCTCGGCTATGTACACCCGCACACGGGATTCATCAAAGTGCTCCGCGTGGTAGAGATGCGTGAACAGTTCTCCGCCATTAGCAAAGTCTGAATTTTTAAGGATATTAACAGTTTAGTTTAATTTTTCGAATGTTATGTTAGCATCTTACCTAAGACGAGATAAAGCTTCGAAGAGGATTGAAAAGCATAGTGGAGACTCACGAGAAAGGGACTACGCTGAACGGCCTCCAATACCTGAAATTAAATAAACAAGTATTTTATACCAAACATTGATAACTCATATTAACCGCTATAATAGCCTCTTATCGATATTATCCGCCCCCATTTTTCCACTGCATTCGCTCATTCGCTTATCGCAAATCTTATTTTTTTTGTTTTGTTTTAAGCTTTGTTTACACAAATACAGCTTGAATAATATACATAAATTCAAATGTATAAGTATGGGTGTGTGTTTAGCTTTGCCTGTATTTATTTTGCAAATTAGTTGTTGTTGCATTTTAAGACTGATATTCCACGGAAGAACGAAAGAAAAGAAAAGCATGCAAGAAGAAAAGTGAAATCAAGTACTTTAACAATGAATTAATGAACCGAAATCGTCTTTCGCTCTTTTCTCTCAGATAAAAACTTTCACATTTTCTGCCTTGTTTACACTAACAATTGTGGTCAGAAAACTAGAACTAAGAAATCAAATATTAAGAAAAAACAAAATTTAACAACTTCAAAAAAAAAAAACAAATTATATATTAAAGATTTACATTTAAATAATTAAATAATATAATTATTTATTATGTCCTTTATTTCTTTTACATTTTTATAGTACAAAGAGGGTAAAATGTTGAATTGTGCTCCGCTTTTTTACCCCGACTGTTTATTATTCCTTTCTATTTTGGCTACCGCGAGGCAAGTTTTAGGCTTGTCGAAACGCAGATACCGGCGATGTTTGATAACTGGGTTAGTAGCACAGGTATTGTACCTTGAAAAAGTCAAGTGGGCGGAGGAGGTGTAAGAGAAAAGGGTAACAGAGAGACACAAAAATAGAGCATGAAAACAACCTAATAACAAGGCGCCCAATTGTAAATTTGTTTAAGCTATCTGCCGCTAATGCGCCTACACCTGTTTGCAGTTATTTAACGCATTTTGTTGTTTCTCCCTTTTCCGTTTCTATTTTCATTGATTTACTACGACTCTCTCGTTGCCAAAGAGAGAGAAAAAAGACGAAAAACCGGTTGCACTAGGCAGCTGCAACAACAACTTCCACTATTGATCTGAGCAAGAAGCTCTCTCCAGCTCTCCCGATTCCAGACACAAGAACAAATTTATAGGTAATTATTAAATTGATAATTATGGAAAACATGTCTATCTATAATGTGCTAAAAAGTGATTTTATGTAAATAGAAAATATTTTTTGGTTTAACATTTAAAGTTAAAAAATATTTTTTTTTACCTAAAGGGCTTTATATACAAATTAAAGATATATTTTTTTGTAGTGTATTCTCTCTTTATGACTCTCCAGTAGCTTTTTGCCGGTGCAACAAGAACAAGTTGCTATGTGGGTCACAAGAACATTTCTCTCCCTCTCTCCACCCACTTCCCTCTTTATGCTTTCCCGTTTACTGGCTTCTTCTTATTTCTTCTCCCCCAATTCGCTACTGGAAACTGTACGTGCGACTTTGAAGGTTGTCAAATCGCTCGACGGGTTTAATTTCAATAAGCTGCACTTTATTGTGGTCATTAAAGAGAAGAGGAATCCAAAGTAAAAGAAGTCTGGAAGCGATGTGATTGCAAAAACATCACGCAGCGGTAAAAAGGTAACGGTAAATAAAAGCAAAAAAAAAAAATATGTCCAAAAAAAACAAGTTGATTAAACACGTTTTCTTTACCGTCGTTCTGCTACTAAAAATGATTAAAAGGGTTTCTTAAGGTTACAGTAGAGGCAGAATTGACCATTATCTGTGTTTTGGTATTGGTTATAAAATAAGCGATTTAATAATACAATTTTTATATTTTCCACTTACCACTCGCTCCGTTTTGGTATGTTCAGCGGTTTTTCGCTTCTGGACTACGGTTATCTTATTGAGAACCTTCATTGCATACAATTTTCCGGCATCGTGTCTTGTTAGCTTGCGAACGAGAAAAACTCGTCCATAGGCTTTGAAAATAAATAGATAATACAAAGTCAATATTATACAGATCTAAATACTTATAGACCTATAACATTTTACTTACCACCTGTTCCAAGAACACGTATTATTTTGAAATCATTCAGACTGACGGCCTCATCACTGTACAATTTGACTACAAAAAAGTAAAAGAAAAGAAGCACACCCACACATTAGCATTGTAATCAATACAAAAACGAAAAAATATATTTACAAATTGCTCCTGAAACTAATCAATTTACCAATGCAAACCATGTTATTTGCCTTTTCTGGGAAAAGACGATAATGATAGTCTATGTAATACGTATGTATCGTAAGTAAGTGTAAATTGTTGGTGGGGGCGATAAAAATAGTTGCCTGCATTGTTTTACTTGACACATGTGAGACGAATTATCACATTTTATTTTTATCGCTCGTGCAGCACGTGCCAGACACTTGATTCCATTTTTAGAGGCGAAATCAACAAAGTGGAAATTACTCACATAAATACATTAATGGAGAGTTGGAAATGTTGGGTTTAACAGAAATTTAGTTGACCAAACACTTCTGCGCATTTGAAAATCCAAGGACAAAAGCAAGGTCCTTTTTTTTTACAATTTTTGGAAGGAGAGATTCTGTCTGCAGATACATATATATTTTAGGCTTCTTGGGGAGGCCATATGCCACATTGGCCGCAACGGTTCATTGGCCCAAATGTCTAGCCACGAGATTGCACAGTTTACGATTATTACACGGCCCAGACTACATTTGTAGGATTTAAAGGATAAACAGTAATGATTGATTAAATCAAATAAAATAGTGTTAAAGGTTATTACAATACTAGTGCAATATTCTGCGCTTTCAATCTCCTTTCTTTTCCCTCAGGTAAAATTACAGCTTTAATTATAGCAATTACTAAAATAGGCCTCAACTTCAAAAACAAAAACTTTCAACCTATTATCTAAGCTTCTTTTACTTCATTATCTAGCGAAGTGATATTACACGTTTGATAACCACTTTCTTTAAAACGAAGACATGATTAAAAGTTATACCTTTCTAATTGAAATCTAGGTAATAATAATAAACCTATAATTTTGGAGTGACCACTGTAATTCAATTTGACTCGCCATTACATAAAACGTCCCCAAGTGACTAATTTGTGTGTAGGAAAACACCATCCTTCGCTGTTGGAAATGAGTCACTCGAACCCATTTTAACCCAACGTCCTCTCATCCTCTAAAAGTCTGAAAGTATGACGAGTATAAATGAGAAATGTGGCTGACAAATGAGTCCTAGCCACAGCAGCAGCTTGTGAAATTGTCCTTGAACCTTAAAGGATATTTTTAAGAAGTTCAGTGCAGCGAATACAAAGTATAAAGTTGTTACAATTTAACCAACATTATTTCAGCATTACAATCTATCTGCGTGCATTCAACCCTCGTGCAACGGAGCAATCAAAAATTTCGAATGCTTGTGAAATCAAGAAACACTGACACAAACTTCAGCAGGGGTTAATGGTATCGAGAGTTGGTCGACCGAACCTGTTGTATTATTTGAAAATACAAGTTGCTAACAGCAAGTAAATGTAATTTACGCGAAACACCAGCAAAACGCACATGATGACGCGTGCCGAAATTCTATAAGGGGGTGCAATGAACTTAGGACTTCAAGTGGGTGGCGAATTATGGCAAGCAACTTTTTGCTGGAATTATTGATTCAACAAGAGAAAAAGCTGAAAAGATGGTGTAAAAACTGTATACCTGTCAAGGGAAAACATTCCTTGGGTGGACGGCTGGTATCTTTATACACTATGCACCCAAACTATTGGGTCATTCTGTGGTTAACAAGGAAACAAGATTTCTTGTAAACAATAATCTATAAATCAATAACGTATAATTCTAAGTCACAGAAACAAGCTTTCCTCTGCTGTTTGAACATTTAAAAGGGTAACTAAAACTATATTTTCTTATATATACATATATTCTAAGTTATTACATTATTAGAATATTAAAATTAAACAAACTGCCGTATTATTCTCCTTTTTACGCATTCTACTTATACCGGATTCCTCTTAACCAATAACTATTTAAAGTTCATGATACAAACTAACATAAATATTAAAAGATTAATTATAAATTCGTTTTAAAATCGAATTATTATAAAAGGCACATCGTTAAGAGTATTGATAGCTGAATGATTACAATAATTTCCTAAATTTAAGCATTTTCATTGGGTCATCGGTTATTGTTTTCATTGAAATATTGATAAACTGTTCCATTTAAATTTAATTATATAATAAAAATTCCCAGTAATTCGATTTAATTACAATTTCATCTACATTGTTTGATATTATAATGAACATTTTTAAAGCTAAGCTTTGTTTTATATAAAATATGAAACATTTTTGACATTTTTGAAGGTAAATATGAATTTTACTTAGGTATTTTTATTTATTTTAAACCGACCTGTTTGAACGCATATGACGTCGGGCCAATAAATTGGCCTTGATATGCATTATATTCTCTTGCCAGGTTCTTAAACCGAAAACCGCACAAAAAATTTATTTCTCGCTGTGACTAGGCAAAGTTTAATGAACGCAACCCGAAAGAATATGAATAATACAAACCGAAACAAGTGGAGAATTTTCTGATAGCAACATTTTCGTTTTTCTTTTTTTAAACTTCTCAGTGCCAACCGCAAGTTGTCGCACGAGAATTGTTTAACTTACTTTTAGTAATTAGTTTTAACACTACTGTACGGAGAATATAATTCTCCATTCTGATGGGTTAACAACTACACAGAAAAAATGAGGGGAAAAACTCTAAAGTATGTCCAAAACTATTTTCATTTTGGAAAGAATCGTAGTTTAATTGGCAAAATATAACTTTTCCCTTGAGATTCTACAATTTAAGAGCATTTGTCAACAAATTGATCATTAGCCATTGTATTTCCCTCAGTGTCATATAATTTTAGAAAAGGGAGGGGGCGACAAAATAGCACAGCTGGCCCCGCCCCGTTGCCGTGACTGTGTTCTTGTGATAATTAAACACCAAACGGCAAACGTAGCTCACCTATCAATTTGCAGGCAATTATCCCAGAGGCTAACTCGTTCCTACATCTATATTATACATATGTACACAGATATGCTAGATGTTCGTCGAGTTGCATTGTCAAGTTCAAGTAAACGAATACCTGCCTACAAACAACAACCAACCGTTTATGCAAACAAGCATGTTTGTGAATACAGCAAACGCGTACAAACATTGATGCAAGTAGGTACATACATACGTACGGACATGGTCACGACTGCACGGCGATGTCAAAAAACAGCACAGTGTATCGAAACATAAATAACATATTCGAATTTTTCGTATTTATTGATTGTGAAAGAAGATTGTTTGTTTACAAGGCAAGGCATTTAGAAAGCGCATTAAAAGAAATTAGGACCATTGGAATTTCTAATGTATTAGTAAAAAAATTTTACCAAAGGAACGAGATTTTTTGCTGTGCTAGTACCACAAAAGGTGTTACTTTCCACACACTCTTCTTTCAAGAGCATTGTAATAAAAGGGAAAAAACTATATGTAAATCCACTTTACCTATAAAGTTCAACAGAATGGTGTTAAATCTAACACATAGCACATGCAAATTGCACCATCATTAAAGGGAATTTGTCCCACTGTTATCCAATGAGTCTTTCGGGTGGTGGATATTGTGTCTGCTTGATGTACATAGTGTGGTGAGAGGTGAGTATGCACGCGGGGTGGCGGTTGGGTGAATTCGGGGGAGGTCAGTAGTTTTGGATTTGGCCCGAAGACCGAACAAAGCCGGGTTGAGTTTTCTGGGTAATCGTGTCAAGGTTAAATGCATGTGCTCGACTTTCGAAAGGACGCCAGAGACGGCACATCTGGCATTGACCAAATGTCAGCCACTCTGCCTCCTTCTCAATCAAGCCTTGAGACATCCCCGGTTAATGTTATAAATTATTCCACCCCATTGTACAACAACTACTTTCTTTGATATTAGAAATTTTAACTGCCTTTCAATTGTTTTTTTTTAAACGCAATAATCACACAATTCTTAGGCATCATTATTATATTATTATTATTATTAACTATGCTTAGTTAATAACTAAGTAAAAAAAACTTCGGCTAAGCTAAGAAGTGACATTTTTGCAGAAGGTTATCTGCCTTACTTCATTAGTTTTCGATATTTTATAGGTACGAAACTTGACCTGCCCTGCGGTAAACATATTGTTGTCTAGTTTTCGTTTGCTTTGGTTGGTTCTATCTTTTTTTTATCACTATCACTTAAAGAGAATAGCCTACGTTCAAAACACTCACCATAGGATCGCAGATCGGTGACAGTTTCCAAGTCTCGTTGATGGGACTCATTGTCGAGATCCAGGGGTGTACTGTTGCTGGTGGGCATGGCGTAGGATGGCGTGGCCGATGATGAGGCCATCGATGCTGCTGCTGCTGCTGCTGCGGCCGCCGCTGCTGCAGCAGCATTGTTGGACTTCGTCTTAGACTTTGTTGGGCTCGATTCATCAATCCCGTTTCCCTCCTCCTCCTCTACTTCCTGATCTGAAAAGTCCCGCTCCGGATCCCGTCCGTCATAGCTTTCTGCATCCGAAATACAAACAATTTCCGCCACATTTGGAGTTGGCGGCGATGGAGGTGTTGGCGGTGATATGGTCTCACGATAATTATAATCCCTTGCAGATGCTGATGTGGTCTTGCTGTTGCTGTTGTTGTACTGACCATTGGTGACACTGATGCTGTTGTTGTTGTTATTATTATTGTTATATATCAATGATTTGCCAGATCCGGAACCAGAATCCTCCTGATTCGTTTTGGACTTTTTACCATTGGTCAACGTTTTGGATTTACTATTCTTCCGCTTTTTGCCATTGCCATTGGCCACGACGTTACCATTTAGATGATTCCGCCCCACCTGATCCTGTTCCTCGACCGATGGCGACCCCAATTCGAGGGGATTCTGTTGATTTTTGCGGCGCGATTTGCTTGTGCCGCTGCTCAAGATCTCGTAATGTTGCTTCTGCAGACGACTCATGGCTAAGTTTTCCCTATTTTCCTTTTTCCGAAATCTTAAGTTTTTTTTTTTAAATTATTCTACGTATTCCTTACGTAAAAAACAATTAATAAAAAAAACTAAAAAAGACCAGTGACTGATCGTGGCGCATTGTTAAGCTGGAAAGAAGTAAAAAGATTTCAATTTTAGTACACTTTAAACATAATGGAATTATAGACAGTTAAAAGAACTGCCATTCCATCATTCCCTCTTTAATTTCATTTCTTTAAAGTAAACTACTATGTTTTCTTTAATAACATTAAAACCCTTGAATATATAAAAATTAGCTGTCGATTAAAAGGAAAACTATTATTTTCTGTAAGAATATTAGGAATTTTTAAATTTTTTTTTTATTTTATTCTAACGAATTTATTTAACTTTTTTTGACATTTAACTACTTGATAGTATTTTTTTCAGCTACAAAGAATCCGATTAGACTATAGCATTTTCAAAAAATTATTGCTATGAACATTGCTATGTTTCTTATTGTGTTCCATTTAGGAAATGTTTACCGTACCCTCCACGTTATTGCCTATTTCTTCTTCCACAATATGGTACAGTTTCAGTACAGGCGGTAACACTTTCCCCGCTGCTAGCATGCAATTCGGAAATTCTATTTCAAATAGAACAAATACGTACATCTTCGACTCACCTCGCGAGTGAAAACAATCCCAATATTATAATGCAGAGGTAGGAATCAAAATCCAAATCCGTGTGTGTTTGTGTGTACGGACGGAGAGGGGGAAAGTGTTGGATTATGCGTGGGGCGGCTACGATGTGCAACACTGAACGTTTCGATGATAATGCGGACCGATTTTTTCAGCACTGGCGTTGGCTTAAATATTATTATTCAACCAATTTTGATTGTGGTTTCTTCACCGTTTCTTTATTATATTCTGTGATTATCACAATCTTTATCAGTCGCGCGTTTTGCACAGCCAGTTAGGTTTTTTTCTTCTTTCTATCTTTCTCACTTCACCGTTCTCCTTTCCTACTACTACGTACACACATATGCACACTCACACGCTGGCACTTTCTGTATCGGCGACTGCGTTTTTAAAGCGTTTTTGTTTTCGTCTGCAGATTCCGCTCCTCGGCGACTGTTGCTCCTATAATTTCCTATAGATTTTTCAAATTCCCTGCGTACTATTTGTACTTATGTGTCACTGAGTAATAGATTATATTTTTTTTTATATTAAAAATGGTTGTTTTTTTGGTTGTATGTTACACGCGAAGGTTTTTACCGCCGCTTTCTACTCGTTCACGCACACACACACTGAAGCGCGGGACGCTCTTCGCCATCTGCTTTGCTCTCATTCGCGAACACTTATTAGCAACGGGACAGGCCACCTTGAGTGCAATCGCAGCGATTTCGATTCGATCGAATTTGATCGACTTTTTATTTATATAGTAATGTGATATTTGTAATCATAGCCGAGGGTTTCACACGTTTAACACCGGATTGGTGGCTATTTGGAATTTGAACACACAGCACACGAACCGTACGCAGAAATTTTCCCTTGCTTTTGTGTCATTTGCAGTGTGACCAAGGAAAGCAAAAAGTGAAGGAAAATATACCACATATTTTAAATATACCATATACCGTATATACCATTAAATTTTTTTGTTTGTCATTTATTTAGTCTAGTGAAATCCTATTTTTATTTAATTTCCGCATTGCATTCGAAAATTTTTTAATGATTCTATTGGAGCATGTTTTATTAAATATGTGCAACATACACATAAATGTTAAATATGTTTTTAAAATTGTTCTTTGAAATATACCAAAGAAAAAATATACCCTAAACTGCTACTTTTGCTTTCGCTATCGGCAGTGCTTGCTAATGTTAAGGGATGGCGAAAACTATCGTTATTAAATTTTTTGATTATAAAATACAATTTAAAACTTAGTTTTGTTAACAAAACCTTTACAAAATGTTCAAATATTGAAGAATATATTTTTTAATACTTAAATATATACACATAAATTTTAGTTTTTTCGTTTTCAAGTTTTTAACCAACGACCCAACTTTACAAAATTAAAACTTATTTCTATGTCTTTATTGAACTGATGTGTAATTATTAAAAACATATCTTAAAATGAAACCATAATATTTGACAAATTCTTTCTTTCCAAATCCGGTACTGTACAGCCATCTTTTGGATACCCAACAGGCAATAGAATAAGTAATTTTTCATTTACGGGTCGCTTAAGGAGAGATCTCAAGGCATGGCCGCAGTTTAAAGGAGTGGTGACCAGGGACGAAAGCCCTGCAGCTTGAAGGGAGCACAAGAGGATTCCAGCCGATATTGAAGTGGATATCTCATTGTAGTAGTGTCTCTTTCGCCTTCCATCATTCAAAAGACCGTAGGTCTGCTTGAAGATCAATATGAGATAAGGTGCATCTGTAAGATACTCCTTGACATGGTTGGTTTGCAGTGGCCGAAGATCAGTGACCCACTGAGGATGCATTCGCTGGCTGTAATTGACGAGTTCCTCCTGCACCACAGCTTGGAACTACTGATCAATTTGTCCAGCTCCATGGCACTCCAATATGTAACTGATTTTGCGTCGGAAAGAAAGTGGTTTCTGTTGCTCGAAAAGCTTATCTGTTGACTAAGTGGGTCAGGGTTATTGTTGATAGCGGTGGATGGGTTCTGGCTGTAGATCAGTTATTGTGTCGGCAGCAGTACTGGCACTTGTGGTGGTTACAAATTCTCGAGGGTCCTTGTTCCTGACCGTTTTTATCCGATTTGCACTTTTGATTTTTAGTCATAAGATTCGGTTCCAAACAAAGTCGTTTTTGGGGCGGAATCGGTCGTTTGTTATTATGTTGTGGTATAGCTTTCTGATGAACCAGCTGTCGCTTGTGGACTTCCCTCAATATCTCTATAATCCGCCACTTGGCATCGAAGTAAATGAAATCCGGGGCAGTAGTTAGTTCCGTACGTATCATATCGCATAGCATCTGTACCTGTTGATTATTATGAAATTGGCTAATGGTCTTATTTTCAATCATGACAACTGGTTCTGGAGAGGATTCTGTGAGTTCTGCCCTATATCCGGACACACAAGGTGCACATGGTAAGGGGCTCTGAGAAGATTTTGATACTGCTTCTTGACATTGCGGCACACAAGGCGAGTTTTCCGGTCGCCAGGGACAGGCAGAAGGTTTTTGACTAGATTGTGATATTGTTTCCCGATTTTCTGGCGAGGATAAGTCGGTGGTTGTTAAGTCCTTCTCATTGGCATAGTACGAAGATTGAGTAGAGATCTTGGAACTTAATTTATTTTGACTGTTATCAGCTTCACTGCTTTTTAAAGACTTCTGCTGCAAAGAAGGCGAAAATTTAACTTTCGTTTCCTGATCCTCTTCCTCTTTGAGTTCTTGCTCATCATGTTCCTTCATCTTTTCCATATCGTTATTCTGTTCTTTCATCTTTTCCATATCGTTATTCTGTTCTTTCATCTTTTCTATATCGTTATTCTGTTCTTTCATCTTTTCAATATCGTTATTCTTTTGACCATTGCCAGTTTCTTTCCCCTGATTCCTCGGCTCTGTGACCTCTTCCTGCTGATCCACTGTTTTCACCTCCTTTTTTTCCCCATTCTTGTTAGTTTTCTTTAATCTTTTCAGCATGAGATTTCCGGGAAAAGCTGACAAAGGAAAACCAGTAAAGTTGGTAAGTTTATGGCACAGCAATTCCGTGGTGGCCATTTGGTTTTTTAAATCCGTAGAGGGAAGTTTTGCCGTGGACAGCAAACTAGGTCCACTGCTTGGAAGATCTTTATCAAAATCAATACAAAGATGCGGCACCAGGAAAAGGAATTCGTTGTAGTACCGAATCGAAGGGGTTAATTTTTCTCCGTAATTTCTCCGTGCTTTTTCGATAATAGTATATTCCCGTTCGAAAAGAATCCTTAATTGTTCAATACAGGACCTTAGCTCCAAGCTGCTTCTGCCAGGAAAAGATCGCATCATGTCATTGAAGCAATCCTCATCAATCTCTTTGTTGCCATAGTAAAGGTTCTTTGGGTTATACAGGCTGTCATGTTTGCAGTATAGACGAATTAACTTCCTGACATCCGGCTCCTCCAGTGGCATGTGGTTAACATTTAATTGATCACGTTTCTTTATTTTATTATCCCTCTTGCGGAACAAAAACGAAAGGAATCCTTTCGATTTTTTGGGTTTCTTAATGGCATTGGGGATTATAGGGGAGGTTAGTTCGCCTATCCCTGGCTTAACGACTCCTACCGACTGGCTGGCGCTGGAGCTGATCCTGGAGGAGCGGATACGCATTGGCGTCATTAAGCAACTCGAAGCGGAACGCTTGAAGCAGCAGCGCCTGTGTTTTAGTTCCATCTTCGGCGATCTGGCGCTTCAGGAGAGTTACATTCACGTTGGCGTCCTCTACTACAGGCTGAAAGTTCTTTAAGGGCAACAGCATTATTACTTAACTAAATTTTGTATCATTATTTAGAACTGAATATATTTTTTTGTTTTTTGGTTCAATAGGAGTGTCAGACTGTGTCACTGTTGTCAATGGGATGGATACTACTTTAAGTTTAGTTTTGATTATTTTCAATCATTTTCAAGCATTTTCTCTATATAAAAATATCCCTATAAGGTGTTATTAATTTTAAAAAAGTTTTCACAATAAAAAGCTTTAAATTTAAAGCGCTTTTAAGGCGCTATTGGATCAGCTGTTTCTTTCTGTATTTTACAACACTATCTCAAAGAGAGAGTGTAGGAGAGCGAGTGAGAGCAAGCCTTGGCCTTACAGCGAAAGAGCTAGCGTGAGACCAAAACAACCAAAATAAGTTACGTGAAATTATAAATAAAAAATAAGGAAATAATCGTTCAGCGCTCGACTAGCACGAAACTACAAATCAACGCTCCAAAAAACTGACAACATATTACAATTTTCGCCTCGTGCCATGTGAGCAACTTCAAATTGAAATCGTACCGGATCGGAAATCAGTGTGTGTGCGGGTGGTGTGCTAATTAGCGGAAGACGGCAATTTATTGAACGCGAGAGAAACAAAAAAATCCCCACAATATAACTTCTATTTCGACACGAAACCGAAACATCAAATTTTAAATCCATCGGATTGTGCATCAAATGAATGTGCGAAAAGTGCTATAAATCAATGCTTTTGGCCGAAGCGGAAGAAGCAGAGCAACGGAATCAGCCCCAAAACAAAAACAAAGAGAACGAGTTCTAACGGGACACCCAAAACTAATTGGCACTACAAGATTTTCTCGCCCGTTCTAGTCCTAGTTTAATATCTAAAAAAAATGGACGAGGTCTTCAGCCTGCACATGGAGAAATTGGACGTTTACGACGGTATGTGTTTTCCCGGAAATCCTACTTAAAAGTAGTTACTAGTGTTTATGTAGATGTTTCAGTAGGAATTCTTTGCGTTTTGTTTATTTCTCATAAATAATGAAACAATATGTGTAATTTAAAATTCTTATGACCCTGCATGAGTAAAACTGACATGAACATATGCACAATTTCAAAAACATGTAATCTCACATTATTTCCTTAAATTTGCAAATGAATACTAAGTTGACTAAGGCTTTTGTTTTGGTTCTAAATCATCCAATGTAGTGAACGTTATTGATTTTTTTTAAACAAGTCATTTCTTATGTAAAAAGGTTTTTCTCTTCAATAAAATAAGTAGCAAAATCGAGAGCTTTTTAAATTCATGTTTACAGATAAATTATTACTACTTTATTATATGCGATTATACAAATTTTAATATGTTTAAAATTAATTTTACACATTTGCCATTATATTTTTCAATGCTTTATGATATTCAAGTTGAATGTACATATTCTAACAATGAAAACTTTACTCATAAGTTAGTCATCCAAAAAAGTAGTTCAGAATTTGTGATAGAATTCGAGAAATTAAACAAAGATAAAAGAAATGGTATAATAAACATGGTGAATGCGATTAAATCAATCTTAAAAGTAGGTAAATATTATAATGTAGATCAGGAGCAGCTCCTCGTTAGTCATTGTCATCTGGATCGGGACCAGCTAGAATCTCCTGGATGATGCGATGGCCGTCCTCCGTTTTCTCGCCCTGAATTATCAGATCCCTTAAAGTGGATATATGTTTCTCGCCCTGCTCTATTTTGACTTTTAGGGCGTCATTTTGCTTCCTCAACTCGTCGATGCGTTTCTTCCGTTCCTCAGCCGATTTCTTAGTCTTTTCGCGTGTGCGCTGTACAGCCTGTTTCGAGAATAATAATAAATCAATAGTGTTAGCATCTATTTTTGGGGACTTCTGGGGGCCACTTAGCTACATGTTTCCCAATCTCTATATAAACATACCATGCATGCTCTCTGTTTACACCCGAAACTTACCTCATTGTTTTTCTTTCTTTTTTCTTGGTACGCTGGATCATCTGAACGCGGACTCAATGGGGAATCGCTATTTTTGCTGGTCGACGCCGAACTTGCAGTTCTCCTCTTGGCCGGCATTCTGTCCGTGATAATTCTAATCTGTATTTAGTTAAAATTTGATTTGAAGTCAACACAAAATGAAGCAGAAAACACAGCAGCGACGTAGATTGTTTTGTTGTGAAATTACACGAAAAATAACAGCTGTTTTTGCAGTGTTGCAAAGTGCGCTGTGTACACTGCCCGACAATGATAAGATTTGCGGTATTATTAAATTAATTTAAAAAAAAACTAGTAAATTTAAATTTACCCATAAATAGCCTTGGAATGTCAATCAAAAATTGTCAACAATTTGACACTATTTGGTTTGCTCAGAATTTTGTTTTAATATTTATCAACTGTTTATACAATTTATTTGTAAAGACTGATTTCATATACGTAGTTGTAGTCTAAAGCAATAAAATTAAATGAAATGTAATACGTAATAGTCAATAAATGATTTGAATAAGAAAAAGTTTAAATTAGCAACGTGTTTTTCCACACTATAAGCCAAACAAATATATCGATAACGATAGGCCTAGATAAATACCGCCTACCGATATCGAAGAATATCGCCCGGTAGGTTAGCAAATTTTTGCACATAAAGTTTGGCAATATGTCCTCTCCAGCGCCAAAGTCACCCGAGCTCTCGGATAAAAGCAAGAAATATGACAGGCAAATCAGGTTAGTTCTTTATAATTCATAATAGATGTTTTATTACCTTAATGGATACCATTTAGGCTGTGGGGCGAACATGGGCAGACACTTTTAGAGGCTGCGACTATTTGTTTGGTCAATGTTACGGCCGTGGGCTGTGAAACTGCCAAAGGATTGGTACTACCCGGTATCGGTGGCTTTACTGTGGCTGATGGCACTACCGTCAAGGAGGAGGATCTGGGCAACAAGTCGGTAGTAGCTCCCATAACCCAAGAATACTACTAAAATTCGTTTACCATCCTAGTTTCTTTTTGGATCAGAGCTATCTGGGCAAATCCAAAGCTTTGGCTTGTATGCAACTACTTCAGGAACTCAATCCGGATGTGAATGGCGACTATGTGGAGGAGAGTGCAGACTATATTTTAGCCAATAGACCCAACTTCTTTGACGGCTTTGATTTGGTAATTGCATCTAATCTGAATGAGAAGACTTTATTGCATTTGGCTGAACGTTTGTGGGAAGTGAATGTGCCCCTGATATACTGCCGTTCGCTGGGCATGTTAGGCACCATAAGACTGCAAATTCGAGAGCATTGTATCGTGGAGGCGCATCCGGATAACAGACAGTTTGATCTGCGTCTAGAGCACCCATTCGATGCTCTGCGAGAGCACCTCGAAGGCACCGAAGTGACCAGTAAAGTTCCTTGGCTACTGGTCCTCCACAAATACCTGAATGTCTGGCAGAAGCAACAATCGGACGGTGCTCAGACCCCCAGAAATTATAAGGAGAAGAACCAATTGAGGGAGACCATTAGGGAAGAAATGAAGGCAGAAGAGGAAAATTACGAAGAGGCCATAAAGGCAGTCAATACAGCATTTGGTGCGGGACAGGTTCCCAAGGGTCTTAAAGGCATATTCGAGGACGATGCATGTGAACAGTTAAACAAGAAGGTTTCGTATTTCCTCACGTTAAATATTTACAAAATATTTTATATTAATCAATTTGTATTTCACCTTTAGAGCAATGTCTTCTGGATCATGGCCAAAGCTCTAAAGCATTTTGTGATACATGAGAACGAGGGTCATCTGCCGCTGCCTGGTGTTTTACCGGACATGACGGCCAACACGGATTCTTATATCGCCCTTCAGCACATCTACCGTCAACAGGCGCTGCAAGACGCCGACCAGGTATACCATAAGTGCCAGGAATACTTAAAACAGCTCGGCCTCCCCGCCGATAGCATTGATGAGAGGAGTGTGCGTCTGATTTGCCGAGAAGCAGCCGGACTATCGGTCATAAGAGGCACACGAATAGCAGAGGAATACGAAAAGAGCAGTCGCCTGCTGTTATTAGGTGAGGGTGTGCTCATGCTTTAGAACATAATTTAATACTTACTCCTACTTTGCCTTCCAGTTGAGGACAACGAGCTGCAGGGCGATCTAACATCTTACAACTTTGCGCTGCGTGCTTACGAGAGATTTCTCAGTGAGTGTGGCAACATTCCCGGCGAATGTATCGTAGAGCAGGACATTGGACGCTTGAAGAGCATTGCCGCCAAGATGCTTAGCGACTTGGGCATGCACGCCAGCATCAGCGACGATGTGCTGCACGAGATTTGTCGATATGGCGGCGCCGAGTTGCATGCAGTGTCCGCTTTTATAGGTAAATAGTCTCCATGATTTAGGAGTAATGCGACATTATCTTTTGTTTAAACTTTTCAGGTGGCTGTGCTGCCCAAGAAGTGATCAAGATCATTACCAAACAATACAAGCCCATCGATAATACTTTTATATACAACGCTATAACTACAGAGAGTGTCACGTTGAAGCTATAAATAAATCATATTTTCATAGAATCTTATTGTTAACATTTTAAATTTGTTTCAATTGGTTTTCTTAGAGACTTTTGGTATCCTATATTTTTGGACATAGAATTTTCCGAACATAAACAGAAAAGGCACCATATAGGCGCCTCCAATTGGAGTTAGCCAGCTTCCGTACTCGCAGTCTTGCAGGACTATCTGAGTTGCCCACAACAAGACGATTGTAAACTGCAGAAGCTGGAGGCCAGTTAAGTAACTCTTCCACCAAAGGAACTTCTGAGTACGTGGACCCAGTACACTCAAGGCATAGTAGCCGTACATAATGACGTGAACGAAGGAGTTTATCATGGTTGGTACATAAACTGCATTGGAAAAAAGGGATTACTTTTGGGAAACTAGGATTTGAATAAGGATACTCTCACCTGAACCCGTTGGCAACCACTTGATAAATATCCAGCAGAAGGCAAACATAGTGCTGTGGTGGTACACATGCAGAAAGCTTAGCTGGGTCCACTTGTGGCGCAGGATAAAGAAAGCCGTGTCAGCGAATTCCATTATTTTTGAGATGTAAAACCACCAAAAGGCCGCGGCTATCTGATTTACAAATTGATTTGATAGTACACTTTCACTTAGGCTTTCTGAACTTACCCGCATTTCATGTGGACTATAGCTCACCCGACACGGCTGACACCCGATGCTATAGTCTAATGCCCTTGAGGCCGAGAAGAGTTCCAGACAGATATAGCCATTTAGAAAGACCATGGCTGAACTATGACAGAACAGTGGAACTCTCAACTGCAACGGCTTGTACCTAAGAGTCCGGAATGGCCAGTGCACGTTTGTAAAGACTTGCTAGCTGGATGGATGAATGGATGACCACGACCTCACCTGGCTGCCCATTTGGGCCCGTAGCGAACCATAAGTAAATAGAGTGCCAATAGAGCGGAAACATTCCAAGGCGACTCAACTAGTGGCCAATTCCTCGTCCGCTCATCTGCCAAATCCGCAAACGGATACGAATAGCTTTCAGTTTTCGTATCATTTCCAGTTGATGCCATCGAATATGTGCTCCAGAATCGACTGACTAAGCCGTACTCAAAACATTTGGCTCTTATATACCTATTTTGACCATGATGGCTCCGCTGATGCGTTGATATTTTTCATCCAAATTGAATTAGTTGTCGCTGGAGCATAAACGTTGAGAGAGGTCTGGGTTTTACCTTTGAGATGTTCACTTTATGACTATTAATTGGTGTCGAAAGTCAAAATTTAATTTTCTGTGTGAGATTTTATTGCAATTTATATATACATATGTATATATGTATATGTATATATATTAAGGATCAGAAGTTAGCATTATACAAATATGCGTTAGCGATGCTTAACTCATATAACTAATTAGTGGTCAATTATTATAAGCAATCTTTAGCTTCATAATATCCCAATTTCGGTTAAGTTTAATCTTTGTTAGGCCAAAATTGATTCTCCTAAGAATTATTTAAGTTAATGTTTGCTCAAAATGGAGAAGGAAACCTTTTGAAAAAACCAGTAATTTGAAACGCATATTTTTTGAAAGCGGAATTTATTTTATAGTTGAAAACATTTCATGTTTCAAAGCTTAGTAGCGCCTGAAGCGGCGCTCACGAACACGGTAACGCCTCGAAGAACGACCGCTATCGCTACTGCGGTTCCTGCGGCGACGATTATCTCTCTCCCTTCTCCGATCCCTTCGATCTTCACGGATGTGGAACCTCCTGCGGTGCCTGCAACGCTTCTTCGACTTCTCTGTGGTTGTGGTGGTGGTGTCCTCCGTGGTAGTTGTGGTTGTAGTGGTGGTAGTTGTGGTGGTCGCAGTGTCGGTCGAGGTAGAGTTACTACTTGCCTGCGATGACAAGGCAACTAGAGTGGCCAGGATGACCAGGGATAGCAGAAATATGGGGCGCATGGCTACTTCTCTTGAGGATTGGGCTTTGGATTCTGATACTACCACCCACTGGACCAAGCTATTTATAGTTAAGGCATTTGGCCGGATCTTGATTGTTCGCAGACCAAATATTTAACTTTCTCTGGGTTTTCCCAGCTCTGAATAATTGCGAGATTTAAGCTGCAGTTGTTCTTTTATTGTTAAAGCATAAGATAAATAAAGAGAGAGAGAAAGCTAAGAACATGCCTATCTAATAATAATCTTTTCATGTACGTAGATATATTTAGCTCTTGGAAAAGTACTAAGAAAATTAAATAACAGTTAGAGGAGTTATTATGCACTGAACTCAAAAACATCCTTATCAATCAAAAGTGAATATAAAAAATCTCCATTTGTAAATACATCTGATTATAGACTTAAGCCCAGAATATTCCCATCATATGTATAACAAGCTCGTTAGATAGTGATTCGCCTATCTAACCAAAAACCATCCAGCGATGCAGTGCATCCATTAAAATTTAAAAACACATTCTAAAGAAATCAAAAACGACCTATAGTTAGACTTGAATTAAACTTAAACAGGCTTACTTATTAGCTAAAAATTTTTTAATTATAGCCACATTTAAGTACAGGAAGTATGTTAATATGCTAAGACTAAACAAACAAACCTAACTTCTGTTTAATTTTTAAAAGCTGGTATGTACTATTGTAGATATTTACCTAACTGAGTGCAAGTTGGCAACAACTTTTGTCTTTTTCAAATGGTTTAATTTTATTATACGAGGTGTGTTCAAAAAGTAAGGTGACTTTTCAAATTTCTCGGGCAACATATTTTCGATTATCGTTTTTTTTGTTTTGTTATATTGGTACACTCTTCCCTAACATCTGTACCAAGTTTCAATGGAACATCCTCTTTTGTTTGGTTGTGAGAGGCGTAAAGTTACAAGTTGTTTTGCGAGCTCGGCGATTTTTTGCTATCGAAAAATATGGATCAAAGGATTTGCATCAAATTTTGTGTAAAAAATAAAATTAAGTGCTCTGAAACACTTGAAATGTTGACAGTGGCATACGGTGAAACTGTTCTGAGTAAAAAAAATGTGTACAAGTGGTACAAACTCTTCCAAGATGGCCGGGAAGATGCCAATGACCAGCCTCGCTCTGGACGCCCAAGCACGTCAACAACTGATGAAAACGTTCAAGCAGTGACGAAAATTGTTTTGGAAAATCGTCGAATCACTATCAGAGAAGTTGCTGAAGATGTCGGTATATCGCTTGGCTCGTGCCATGAAATTTTTTCAAACGTTTTGGGTATGAGTCGTGTGTCAGCGAAGTTTGTTCCGAAATTGCTGAATTTTGAGCAAAAGAACCGTCGCATGAGCATCGCTCAAGAGCTGTTGAATGACGTCAACGACGACCCAGATTTACTCAAAAGGGTCATAACTGGTGACGAATCATGGGTATATGGTTATGATATCGAAACCAAAGCCCAATCGTCCCAATGGAAGAGCCCAGACGAGCCAAGACCGAAAAAAGCAAAAAATCGCCGAGCTCGCAAAACAACTTGTAACTTTACGCCTCTCACAACCAAACAAAAGAGGATGTTCCATTGAAACTTGGTACAGATGTTAGGGAAGAGTGTACCAATATAACAAAACAAAAAAAACGATAATCGAAAATATGTTGCCCGAGAAATTTGAAAAGTCACCTTACTTTTTGAACACACCTCGTATAAGCTTGGTATTAGGATGAAATAAAAAGTATGTATGTAAACCCCTACAAGTTATATTAAAATTGAATATTACAGTAAAACACAAGAGGAGAATAGATCAAAATTGATCTCCATATTTTAGTTTACATTGTGTACTCATCAACTCTTCTATTATTTTTTCTTAAGGATTAGTCAACATTTTCGACAACTATCAAAAGTAACAACATAATTCATCTTGATCACAAAAAAAATGATTTAACAAATCTTCCAATAGTGAAAAAAAAAAAAATATGGCTTTAAAAATTGATAAAAATGTGCCCTACATTTTTGGACGGTATTTTGGAATAAACTTATCGTGCCAACTTACAGACCGTCCATTTAGTGCCGACTATTATTCTCCTAACAATATTATTATATTTAGTTGTTTCTATTTTAACAAGTTTATTTAAATTTTAGAAAGTAAGCTCAACGCAGACAAAATAAATAAAAGAGACTTCTATTTAATTTTCTTAAAGCAAGAACATTATTTGATTAACCGAGTGCTAAAGTAAGTTTAGTTTAACAAAACAGTTAACATAATTCCAGTTACTGTATAAATAGAAAAGAAAATAAAATTTCTAAATCTTTATCAAATTTGCACTACAAAAATTTCAGCCCCAACGATGGAATAGGAAGTTTTAGATGTTTCTCCTAGAAGTATTTTTTCGATGTAACATGTATAAATTTTCTGATACATTTTCTGTTACTTTTAATTTTTCTTACATTATGTTCGCAGCTTTTAATAAGGACTACGCTGACTTTTTTATCAGTTTTTTTATTTATTTTGCAAAGAAATTCGTATCTAGATCCTTAGAAGCGGTTAAAACGGCGAAAGCCACGGCGACCGACACGGCGTTCACGAATGCGATAGCGCCTGACGACACGACCACCATCGTCATTTCTTTCGCCATCGGCATCGTCATCGCGGTACCTGCGGCGCCTCTCTCCTTCTCCACGTCGGATGATGATGACCCTCCTCCTGCGGTGCCTGCGGTGTCTGCGACGATGCCTCTTCTTGGTCTCCTCAGTGGTGGTGGTAGTAGTGGTGGAGGCTGTTGTGGTAGTGGTGTTAGATGTCGTGGTATCAGATGAAGAGGAGCTCGTCGGGGAGGTAGAGCTTGTGGGCGAGGTCGAGGATGTCGGCGATGTCGAGGATGTCGGCGAGGTGGTATCTGCCTGTAATGCCAGGACAACCAAATTGGCCAGGACGACCAGGGATAGCGCAAAAATTGGACGCATGGCGACTTCTACTTCTGTTCTTGGGATTCTGATAATACCAACCACCGGATCCACGTATTTATAGTTAAGCCGTCATGAAGCATCTAAAACTCCTTCCAGATCTTTAACTGTTTGCAGATCAAATATGTAAAGTACTCTGGATTTTCCCATCACTAGAATATGTCATGATTACAGCTGTTATTGTTCAACTATAATAGGTATTGTCATAACAAAAGAGAAATAGAGTGACGCATATTTCTTTTCATAAATATAATAGATCTTTCCCTCAAATAAGACCAGTTTTGAAACCACGTCTTTGCTAATTATAGAAAGTTTTCCTGAGGAAAACTTTATTTTCTTTCGTCTACCGTATCCTGTGTAGAAGGTTTCTAATTATTGTAATGCAAATCAATCCCTATATCCTTCAGTACATTATTTTAGGGAGTATAGATTGTACTTTATCTGGTTGTAAACCATGTTAATGTTAATGTTAAAAAGTGAAAGTCCGAAAGTGATATTATTGTACCCATAGTAATACAAGTTTTTCTTTAATTATTCTACTTTTATTAACTTTTATTTGAAATAGTCTAATTAAAGTAAGCCCAACTGAAATACTAAACAATAGCCGAAATTCTGTTAAGTTCGTTGAAGCGTGTACATATTTGCCTAACTGAGTACTATGTTAACACTCTGACTACTGCTGTTTAGTTAGACAAAAGAATTCGAGTCAATAGATGGTACGAGACAAAAAAAATAAAATTTCTTATTAATCAAGCCCTGAGAGAAAATAACAAACTTAGCCCAAATCTTGGAATTAAACTGTTTAAAAATCAGAAAATTTTCCACTCCCTTGGCGCAATTTGATAGCATTTCAGCGTGTTAGCTTGGACTATAAAAGGGAGAGGAACAGATTTAGTATCACGCATTACCTCTGGTAACTCCGATAGAATCAGTTACAAAATGAAGCTCCTCGCCCTTACTTTGGTTGTTGTGGCCATCTGTCTGTACTCGGTTGATTGCGCTACTACGGACACCGACACATCTTCCAGTGGTTCTGGCAGTGATACTAGCAGTTCTAGCAACAGTGACGAATCATCATCATCAGAGGACACAACGACTACCACTACCACCACCACCACCACCACAGCCACCCCCGAGAAGGCCCATCGCCACAAGGCCCATCGCCACAGACGCCGCATCATCAGGAGAATCATCCGCAGGCGCGAAGGCGAGCGTAGACGTCGTGGTTAAGCAAGAAGAAATTTGCTAAATAAATTGTTTTGAGCAAAGAAAACAGCTTTTGGATTATATTATTTCTCATATTGGATGGCCAGATACCACTTCCTTCTCGAATTTTTAATGTTTTTTTACTTCAAATTATTAACATATGAAATGGAAATATATATATATTTTACGATCTAATAAAGGGTTTATATTTTTCAAGAGTAAAACTTTAACTTTTCGTTTTTCCTTGTTTCAATAGTTGTGAGTGTATTTTTTAGTGTGCTTTTGTGTGAACGGTAGAGGGTTCCATTATCAACTCTATGAACTATTTAAATTCTTGATCAGGATCACCAGTTATACGATCCGTTCACGGTCGTCATGGACACGTCCATCCTAACGATCGCAATCCGCGGAAGTCTTTGGCTCCGACAATATTAATGTTAGATTTTCTTCAACAGGAATGTCATTATTTAGTTGTATTTAATATTCGTTTTTTTTTTCTACGAAAATGATATTATTGTATCCATAGTAATACAAGTTTTTCTTTTATTATTCTACTTTTATTAACTTTTATTTTAAATAGTCTAATTAAAGTAAGCCCAACTGAAATACTAAACAATAGCCGAAATTCTGTTAAGTTTGTTGAAGCGTGTACATATTTGCCTAACTGAGTACTATGTTAACACTCTGACTACTGCTGTTTAGTTAGACAATAGAACTCAAGTCAATATATGGTATGAGACAGAAAATAAAAATAAAATTTCTTATTAAACAAGCCCTGAGAGAAAATAACAAACTTAGCCCAACTGCTGGAATTAGACTGTTGTAGTGGTATTTTTAAATATCGGTTTAAAAATCTTAAAATTTTCCACTCCCTTGACGCAATTTGTTAGCATTTCAGCGTGTTAGCTTGGACTATAAAAGGGAGAGGAACAGATTTAATACCACACATTACCTCTGGTAACTCCGATCGAATCAGTTACAAAATGAAGCTCCTCGCCCTTACTTTGGTTGTTGTGGCCATCTGCCTGTACTCGGTTGATTGCGCTACTACGGACACCGACACATCTACTAGCAGTGGTTCTGCAAGTGGTTCTGCCAGTGGTTCTGCCAGTGGTTCTGGCGGTTCTAGTGACGAATCATCAGATGACACAACAACTACCACTACCACCACCACCACCACCACCACAGCCACCCCAGAGACAGAAAAGAAGCATAAGGCCCGTCGCCACAGACACCGCATCATCAGGAGAATCATCCGCAGGCGCGAAGGCGAGCGTAGACGTCGTGGTTAAGCGTAGACGTCGTGGTTCTGAGCAAAGAAAACAGCTTTTGGATTATATTATTTCTCATATTGGATGGCCAGATACCACTTCCTTCTCTAATTTTTAATGTTTCTTAAAATTAAAAGGATTAACATATGAAAGGGAAATATATGTATTCTACGATCTAATAAAGAGTTCCTATTTTTCAAGAGTAGCACTTTAACTTTTCGTTTTTCGTTGTTTCAATAGTGTATTTCTTAGGGTGTTTTTCATATTTGTGCGTTAAAGGTAAAGGGATCCATTATCAACCCTATGAACTATTTAAATTCTTGATAAGGATCACCAGTTATAAGATCCGTTCACGGTTGTCGTGGACACGTCCATCCTAACGATCACAATCCACGGAAGTCTTAGTCTCCGACAACATTAATGTTAGAGTTTCTTTAACAGGAATATCATTATTTATTTATTATAGTAGAAATAACGAAATAAAAGTTTTTAGACACAGTAAATAACAATTTCTTAATATATAATTCCAGCAAAACATGGCTATACTATATCTGTAAATGCTTTTACATTACTTTTTATGTTACTGTTATGCTTATGTTAAGTTAAATAATAACGAGTACTTTACAGTCGCGGCACTCGACTGCGGCGATTCTCCTTGCTTATTTTGAAGTAGATCACAGTCGCCTCAAAAACTGCGCGATGGTTCGTTTAACGTTCTTAAACTTCGAATTAAATTACTGAATGCCTTTTATAAACTCTGAATAAAAAAATTGAAGTTTGTCAACACAAGAAAAGTATAAAAAAGAACATAATCATTAACTTAAAATAAGAACTTGTGTACAAACAAAAGATATGCACTCTATTTCTTTTGTGTTAAAACAATATCAAATTTAACTGAGCAAAAACAGCTTTAAATAAAGATAATCCAAAGTTGGGAAAATCCAAAATGCCTAACATATTTGATCTGCAAACAGCCGAAGATCTGTTAGTAGCTTCAGATGCTTCGGATGGCTCAACTATAAATAGGTGGATCCGGTAGCTGGTAGAATCAGAATCCCAAGCCCAGCTAAATTGAAGTCATCATGCGTCCCATTCTTGCGCTAAGCCTGGTCGTTTTGGCCACTCTGGTTGTCCTGTCTTCGCAGGCCAGTACACCCGCATCCCCAACGAGCTCCACCCCGCCAGCGAGCTCCACCTCACCAACGAGCTCCACATCCCCAACGAGCTCTACTTCTCCCACCAGCTCCACCTCCCCGTCCAGCTCTAGTACATCCGATACCTCAAGTGCCACGACAGCCGCCACCACCACCACCACCACCACAGCCGCCACCACCGATAAGTCCAAAAAGAAGCGCCACAGGCATCGCAGAAGGTTCATTATCCATCGTCGTTTCGGAGGAGATAGGCGCCGTAGAAACCGCGATGGGGATAACGATGGCGGTCGTGTAGTCAGGCGCTACCGCGTGCGTGAACGCCGTTTCGGTCGCCGCTTTGCCCGTTTCTAGGGATCCCTAACCACGACTTTCAATAAAAAATAAAAAGCGACTTCAGAAAAACTTGTGCATTTTTTAGTTAAAGCAATTAACTAGTACTTACATATATAAGAGCTACAAGTTCGCATTAGTACTCTTCAAAGTTAAACTGAAGCATCCACCTAAAAAATTGAAAAATTTTCAAACTTCTGAAAAAGAAAGTGTTAAGAGTTAAGGAATGCAATACTTGAAAATGGATCTAAATTTATTATTGAGTTTAATTTTTAACAACAGATCTTAAAAGTGTTAGTATTACTAATAATGCTTATTAGTGTTTGATTTCTAGAATGGAGGATTATCGATGCCGCACTCGTCGGGCTTCTTAAAGACGAGTGCATATGTGAGGACGGGATGAACATTGCTGTCTTCAGAGGCTGTTGAAAGGAGCGAGTGCGTCGAAGGACTCTCCATAAAGAGCATCTCTGCATCAAACCGACTCCAGCGGCCCTGTTTCAACTGGTCCTTAACGTACTTCAGCTGGGTGTTTATCTACGAAAATTTGTGGTTTTTATGAGAAAAGCTTAGTACTTATTAGGTTTTCCTTAAGCTTACCATAGGTACTAGAAGTGGGTTCTGTCCACAGTTAAACAAATCTGCCACAAATTTTCGGAGATTTTCAGGCTTTGGCTTTGCATTGAGGGCCTGGTGCAGAATTACCCGAATGATGGCCCGTATCTAATGGCACTCGGATCAGTGGATAAGTTTTAAAAATAGGGTTTAAGTATGTGGATATTGCTTACTTCTGGATGTTGACAGAGATATTCCCAGTTTCCAATGCGAAGCTGTTTTTGGATGCGCGATATAGAATGGTAGTGCTTTATATCCGTCGAATTCCATTTCCCCAGATCCCAGATCTTCGTAAAACATTGATTATTCCCGTTCGACATTTTTCTTATCAAACTTTTTTTACACGGAAATTTTAAAGTGACTATAAAAATTTAAAAAAGAAACTATAAGCAATGGAAGGTTGTTGAGGTTGCTTAGCTTTAAAGTTTAAATTAGAATATGATTTTTTAATGTTATTATTATTACAAAATGTTTTAAACAAAAACTAAAAAGTTTATTTAAATTGCCGCCAAAAGTTCTCCATACATTTCGTTGTCTTCTTGGAAAAACCAACAAATGGTCACACTGCCCGAACCAAAGAAAATTTTTGACGAAGATTGTTAGAGATTTCCGTTTTTAATTAACAATGATGAATTAATTAGCGCAGTAACTAGGACAAGTTGTAACTTCAGTCATTTTTACTTCTTCACGTCAATAGGAAGCGATGGTAATATAAATGAAGTCGAGTGGACAATGCCTTTTTGAAAGGGAAAAACTGGCCATTCGACCGGCTTGCCCGGAAAAATTAAGAGTCCGTCGTAATAATGGACCAAAAATAGACCGGAGCGCAGGGACCCAAAAATAGCCACGACATGTGCTACCAAACGCAAACTCTTCTTGTCCCATTGCAGGCTGTGCTGGGCGCCCAATTGGTCATCACTTTGGTGATGGTCAGCGTCATCCAGAAGCTGAGCCCCCATTACTCCTTCGCCAAATGGATTCTCTGCCGCACCGGCCTGCATCGATACCTACATCCCACCGACGACGAGTTGCGATCCCGTGGCGGGGTGCCCAAGGAGAAGCCACCAAAAGGTGGTCGGAATAAACAGGCAAATGGGACTGGTGGATCGGGCGCACAGTTTCACATACCGCGCAGCATCGAAGTGGAGCTGCTAACATCACCGGTCCTTGAACGCGATGTCATCCATCTGCGATACTTTACCGAGTACCAATGGCTTCTGGACTTTAGCGTCTATACAGGAATAGTATACGTGATATCTGAGGTGGGTAAATATAATAAAGCCACAATACAGTGTTATTGGAAATTCTTCATAAATCTGTTGCGATATAAAGCAAAAGATTCCATACAAGTGGTAGAACGTAGTCAATGTCATTTGTTTCTATCCACAGTTGTTCCACTTTTATTACCCGCTGCGACAAGAGATTAATCTGAGCATGGTGTGGTGCCTGCTGGTCATCTTCTTTGCCCTAAAGCTTCTCTCTTCGCTTACGGTGCTCTACTTCCAGAGCGAGGAGTCTATAGGAGAGAGGTCGATGGTAATCGTGGCCTGTCTTGTTTACCTGTTAGTGGCCATGGTCGTTTTGATCGTGGACGAGCGCATCCTGGAGACGGGTCTGGAGGATGCCTATGCGAGTTTTAATGCTAGCGCTTCCAAGTTCCTCACCGAGCAGGGCCTGCCATCGTCGTGAGTGTTTCAATCTAATTACGCCAAGTAATTCGCTGACCTTTTTTTTTTTTTATCAATTTCTTAGTGGTCCTGCCTCCAAGATCGTGGTCAAATTCTTTTTGGCAATGGGATGCGGACTGCTCGGCTCGCTGTTTACTTTCCCCGGCTTGCGGATGGCCAAGATGCACTGGGACTCACTAAACTACTGCCGTGGCAATCGGATGCTGCAAGTTCTCCTAAATCTTAGCTTTGTGCTGCCCTTCATCCTGGTCATTCTGTGGATTCGCCCCATCAGCCGTGACTACCTGACGGTGCGTGTCTTCCAGGGAATGCAACAGCCATTGTAAGCAAGAGTGTTAACTCTACCAGCTTTCACATTTTTATGCCTTGTCTTACTCTTCATTTCTGCAGACTAAAGCCGCACGTTTTTGAGACTCTCCGCCTGCTGCTAGTGATCCTTGTGGTTGTTGTCCGTTTTGCTCTGATGCCTATATATCTGCAATCGTACCTGAATCTGGCCCATGACAAGATCCTAGATCTACGAAAGGAGGCCGGCCGGATCACCAATGTAGAGTTTAAGCAGAAGGTAAGATTTATTACAATTTCTTATGGAGTTACATCATCGCTTTATCTCATTTGTAGATCTCGTCGATTTTCTATTATCTGTGTGTTGTGACCCTGCAATTTGCTGCACCTCTGATTCTATGCCTTTATCTCACACTAATGTACAAGAGCCTGGGCGGTTTCAGTTGGGCAGGCATTTTTCGGGAAAGCGTTGTCCTGCAGCACGAGTGTGCGGCCAGCGAAGTGGAGCCAGTTGGTGGTGTCGGGCCCCAAGGAGATGGTGATTTCAATATACTTGAATCGGCACAATCGCTGCAGGCGTCATTCAGTAGCCTAAAAAATGTGAGACTAATTTATATTCTACTCCATTCTACTTCTCATATTCCTTTATATTTACAGGTCTTCTCCACAGAGGTTTACAAGGGCTTTCTGGGCTTTGCAACCTGGTGGAGCTACTTCACGCTGTTCGCCACTTCTTCGCTGGGTATTGTCTACCAGTCATATTTCAACAAGACCTAAGGCCATATATTTATACACCTTGAATCCTTTAAGTAATATGACTATTCTTTTGTAGTCTATTTGCATCGCACATGGAACTAATATAGTTTTCTACACATGTGGCAAATATAGGTTTTCACCATGTTTTGTAAATAATATAAGTTTTCTTATTGTTTATAAAGTGCGTAATAAAGACTTACCAAGCTGCCCTAAGAGTAACCAAAGTCAATAACACAGAATTTAAAAATATTCTTATTACACTTTAAAACAAAAACATTGCGTTTGGGTTATAGGCCAATTTGAAAACACCAATTTATTGAACCTTTAAGGTTGCGTATTAACCTAACAGACCACAGGTTATATATAGGTAGAAATATATCGTTTGCATAAATCCAGTTAGTAGTGCTAAATAGAGTAGATCAGCACAAAGGCCGATTTTGGAATTGTTTACTTCTTAGATTTTGGCAATGCCAATAACGCCGCAGCCAATGCGAGCACCAGCGTTGCCCGTAGACTTGCTCAGCTCGTGTCCACCCTTGCCGAGATCATCGGCATCGGCGTGGACCACCACAGTGCGTCCAATGATGCTGTCAGCGCCGAAGAGTGTGATCTTGGAATCTGTAATGCTGACCTTTGTGGGGCAGTCTCCGGTGGCCTCAATGTTGCCCAGATCGCCCAGGTGGCGGTTTTCGTCGACGGGGGCACCGTGCTCCTTGCCGTACGGATTAAAATGCGGTCCCGACGACATGCACCCATTGGTGTTGTCCCCGAATTCATGCACATGGAATCCGTGCAGGCCCTTGGCCAGACCGCACACCTCGCCGGTGACCGTTACGGGAGCCTCGCTGCTCTAGAGTGACAAAGGGAAGGGTGTTAAATTAGTTAAACAGACAAGATAACGTTAGCCTCCTGATAACGAAGAAGTGGCGTTTAATCATGACTTGTCCCAACAGAAGCATACAATTTTTGGGACCCACAATATTGATTGGGTACTAACATGGGAGGCTAACTTAAAGCAGAAGATAAGATGAAAACTCACAGTTGCACACATAATAGATACAAATCAAGAGAACTTGAAAAAACTTTCTAAAAATTCTAAAAATTAAAAATATGAATATTTTTGTTCTGAGGATAATTCTAAAAAAATTTACATATGTTATATTTAACCCCCATAAAGCCTTAAAAATCACTCTCATTTGTATGACCCCTGCTGTAAGTACTTGGCTGCACACATGTGCTTGTCGTTGTTGAGCTTATATAACTGTGCGTTTGTTAGGTGACAATGCAAAAATTAGTAATCTGACTTAATTGAAATTCTCGAAAGTTTTTCAAGCACCTTAAATAAAATGGAAAAGGAGAAATGAGGGGAGAGCCGGCAATTTGACCTTTAGAACTTGTTTTTCCAGCAATTTTTCTTAGAAGCAACATCAAAATATTGTTGATTCTCACCTGCTGTTCAAAGAAAACAGTGCCTTTGGCATCGCCATTAATTACGCAGACGGCTTTAACAACCATTTTGACAATTTAATATATTTATCAAAACGAAAAAACTTGCGAACTTTCCAGGTATCTCGTACAGTGTGACCGTCGTAGGGAAGGTTAGAAAGACAGCGCGGTCTTTTGCAGTTACTGCGTTTATGCGAAGACGAATTCCAAAATACTTTAAAAATGTAATATCAAAAAAATTGTATTGTATAAAAATATGGAAATGATATTTAATACATGGATTTTATATCCATTCTCAGAAGATTGTGAGCGGTGATTATCAGCATTGAAGCACCCAGCTACAAAATATCGTTAAAGTATAAAAATAACTAATATTCTAATATATGGACAAAAAAAATCGATTTTCCGATAAATTTATATTTGTTAAGCTTACAACAACAACGCATAATTCAAGGGTGATTTTTCTATTGAAGATCTTTTTTTTTTTGGTATAACAACAATGGCTATAATACGTTGAGAACAATAATGAACAAATAACATAAATACATAGCAGGAAGGAATTAACATATTTTTAAAACTAGATAACTAGAAATCAATACTAAATACTAATACGTCCTCGGCTGGATGCCTTCGCTTTAGACGTCTTCTAAAGTTGCGTTAGCCAGGGAAGAAGCTAAGTGGTTGGTGTGAGCTGTGAGACGATCGTTGCACCGACTCGAGGGGCTGTTTATCTGTTCTCTAAAAGAGGGAATGTGGAGGTCATCTGCTAGGGCTTTGTTTCAATCGAAGATCTAAACTAAATAAAACAATAAGTTATCTATAACTATGGTGAATTGGTAAGGAATCGTTAACCTGAAACATTATTATCTCATATATGAAATATTTTACAAAGGCTGGCAACTTACATGTAAAAAAAATTACGGAGGACGATGATTTGACTGACTGCTGGGTAATTGTTGGATCGCGCCGATTCCCGTGTCACAAGGTTGGTGATACTTCCGGTTAGCCAAATTAATACAGTGTGTCTAGAAAGTCTTAAATATTGTGCATTATATTTGCTACATTTAGCTATTTAATACTTACTATTCAGTATAGCAACGCATATTAAAGATTACCGAACGATTTTTTGCCTCTCAATTGCTATACCAAGGAGGATATCCTTAAGCTTTTGGAGTGCGCCAACATTTGGACGGTCGAATCGCTAGGGGTGGCATGCAAGGAGGTCTTAATAAATAGACTGGCGTACTTGCTATTATATTTTCAGGATGTACACCACGTATTCGAAATGGAACTTATTAAAGCGATTTCCGATCAACAACAGATTTAAGTGTACTGAAACTACGGATATGGTTTATGAATTGGGATCGGATGTATTCAGGGAGTTTTTTAAAGGTCATGGTTGGAGCATTGACAGAAAGATCGCGATTTTATATGGTGGAGCAGTATGCGGCCGACCCTAATTTAATTCTCATCAAAGACTCTGTTGAATGGGTCTTTAACAAATGCCTCATACCAACCGAGAAAAATGAAGTTGAAAAGAAGTTCAATCGTATGTACCAAATAGCTTGTATTAAAGAACCTATACGCGTCGTTTGGATATGAATAAAACAAGAAACTGTACATTTGATTTTTTTTTTAATACACTTTGTCCAAACACTTAAATGGGATTTTCTTCATTAATAAGAAATAATGTGCTATCATTTCAATCTTTATATATCGTTATTGTATCCGTAAATTTGTAGATATTACTTATTAATTTTCATCATTTTTTGTTTTTGTTTGTATTTTTATGTTTTGTATATATTTATATATATATATATATATATAGATAAATATATATATATATTATATTTAAATCGATATAGGTAAAGGTATGTAGATAGGTAATATTATTCATTCGCCTGTTTGTTTGTTTGTTACTTGTGTGGTTGGTTGCTTGTTACTTGATTTTCCCCCAATTTTTCTTTTACGCTTTTTCGGTCACATAGCTATAACATCTTATAAATCATAATCATCAATCATTACAATAATCAATCGCATATATCTAGATAATTTTGCTTTGTTTGCTGCTTTACTTCGCATTAAACTTACATTTTATTATATTACTTAGAGAGTAGCGTCATCGAGCATATTGAATTCGTCAGATCTAAGGGATTAAGTCGTAACTTCGAATCGGATTTCGAATTTCGAAAAGTGTGCATGTAGTTGCAGCCGTTGAACGGTTGTATGGACAACATTTCAAACACAATCTCACAGTTGATATTTGTAAAATGTTCCATATCAATTTATACATTTTGCTTTCGTGTTGCATTGCTTCGCGTGCGTACATTTTTCTTATGTAGTGTTTGTTTGGGCTCGCTTTGCTTTGCATTTGTTTGTTTAGTTTTGGGGTATAGGTAGGTCTATGATTGGCAAATTCAATATACAAGATGGAGATACTTTTTGTTTTGCTTTCTAATCGATTCCACCCGTGGGGCCAACTATTTGCCCTTGTTCTGCCGGTGCTTCTGGATCCGCACGCATCAGAGCACCTCGGACACGTACTTGGGACGCTTGGCCACGGTGGCATCGGTGGCAGTGGTGACGCACTCTTCCTCAGTGGCCTCGATGTGGCCACTGTAGTCGGTCGGCAACTCCTCATATATAATCTCTGAATGCTGTTGCTGTTGTGCCACTGCCTGCTGCTGATGCAGCGTATGTGATGCCCCACCGCTCAATACATGGTTTCTCTTCAGCGCAATCAGGGCTCCAACTCCACCACCTCCGCCCGCTCCGCTTCCCTCAGCATGCGTTTGTGGTGCCGCGGCTACGCCAGAGTTTTGATTGGTTACGTAGTACGGACTTCCGCTGCTTAAATACCAAAGGTATTGTTAGGAATGTGAAACAAAAAAAAATTACATTGATCATCACCTGTACTGATTGGAATTGCTTGACAGTGTCTGCTGCTGCTGCTGCTGCGGTTGGTGCTGTTGCTGCTGGTGTGCATTCTGAGAGTTGTAAATGATTTCTGCAAAATAATAATAATAATTTTAATTCTAGTAATGTACTTCAATTCCAAAACAATAACGTTAATATTATAATCGAAAAATTAAGAAAACAACAAAAATCTATAAAAACAAACCGGCGTCAGCGGCGCGCTGTTCCAGCGACATTCCCGGTGATCCGGGTGCAGATTGAAGCACAATATCCTGCAGCGGTGAGCTTTCTCGCGAATTATCTAAAAATATTACAAGAGAAGGTTATATCAAAAACCATAACGCAACATTTTGAGTAGATTTTTTTGTTGAGATTTTTAAACAAAAACTTACCCATGTGACTGGGCGAGACTGGCGCCGAGCGAGGCATCCCGTATGGCGGGCGGAAGCCCTGGCTGCTCCGCTGGCGACGCTTCTTGTAGCTGTGGTCGATCAATTTGGCACCGCTATCTGGATCAATACGCCAGAAGGAACCCTTGCCAGGCTCGTCCTGGGAGCGCGCCACCTTGATGAAATACCTGAAAGTTTAGTATTAAAATAAATGTAAGGAACAATAACGATTCTATTTAATTAAAATCATAAGTACCTATTCAAACTGAGATTATGACGTATGGAATTCTGCCAGCCCTTGTTAGTCTCCTTGCGGTAGTACGGATAGTGCTTGACTATAAACGAATAAATGCCCGAGAGCGTTAGCTGCTTGTCCGGTGCGGCAGAAATGGCCTGGACGATAAGCTGGGCGTAACTGTACGGCGGCTTCTCGTTGTGATTGTAGCTGGCTGTGGAGGGAGTCTGAAACAGATCCTGCTGAAATTCATTATTTCCCGTTAGTATGCCAATTATATAACTGCTTGAAGGATTTACTTACTGTATTGTTGTTGCTGTAGTTGTTGTAATTATTGGGCTGATTCTGAATGAAACCCTGACGTGGACTAGCCGGACAACTGTTGGCGGCGCTTATTGTACCTGTGATTCCAATCAATTCAATTTATGTTAATAACTTACATCATAATTCGTTTTAAATATTAGGATATGTATAAAAAATAAGATAATTTATGCTGTGTTAGTTTTTTATATGGTATACAGAATGAAATTCCACTTGCCAGTTGGTGATAGGTAGGGACTCTTTTGCTCCTTCTTGGGTATGGAAATCTTGAGTGGAGAATAGACGCCGGGTCCATCTCCAGCGATAAGGTGGGCAGCTGCCCCAGCTGGTGGCGCCACAATAATGTTGCCGCTACGCTGTTGCTGCTGGTGCAGAGCTGTGTGGTGAAGCGGGTGGTGTGGTGTGTGTGGGAGTGGGTGGTGCGCCGGTTGCTGCTGTTGCTGCAGCGGCAGATGGTGCGCTGGCTGGTGGTGCGTATGCTGCTGCAACTGCTGCTGGTGGTGATGCAACTGCTGCTGATGTAGTTCGTCCCTTGGTGGCGGTGTTATAATAACATGGGCTCCACTACCACCCACTCCACCACCACTTACGACCAACGATGGCGAATGGCCAGCGGCTGAATCCAATTGAGTGGCGGGCACAAAACTCTCGAATTCGATGCGAATCTCCGTGCTGGGAAAGCGGAAGTAGCAGCTGGAAATGAAAGGGAATTTGATGAATTTTATAAATACATAGTTTTATAGGTACAACAATTAATTTAGGATTTAGGAACATCTTATTAGAAAACCAATCAATTCTATGAGAATAAAAATTGACGTTAATAATAAAAAAAAAACATAGATAGTTATTCGTAAAATCATATTCCATAAATACCGGAATATTTCCGGCTGTATTAATGCCGATAAGTTTCGACCATCTACGATTTACGAACTTCACTTACCGCTGCGACAAACGAAGTGGATCCACATTGCGCCGCTGCAAAAAATCATCCACGAAGATGCCATTCTTGCTGAGGCACTGAACAAAGAAGGCGCGCAGCTCCACGTCGTAGAGGACCTGGAAGTGCTTGCGCGACACCAGGTTATTCTCCGCCACGTTAAAGTGGACCAGCGATGTGGAGGAGTTGCGTCCGATTACCGTCACGGCATCCGTGATGGGCAATACCTCTTGGTTAAATCGGAGCTCTCCATATGGCGGCAGAGATGATGAGGCATTGGCGGAGGGGGTGGTGGTGCTGGCTGAGGAGGAAGAAGAGGAGGAGGTGGTGTTGGTGCTACTAGTGGCAGGTGGGTGGTTTGCTGAATTGCCGCTGTTGTTATTGATCAGCTGATCAGCGCTGTTATTGTTGCTTCCCGCGCTGTTGCTGCTGTTGTTGTTATTGTTGTTGCTGCTGTTGCTATTATTGTTGTTATTCAGCGCCGCTGTTGCTGCTGCTGCGCCATGGTGCAGCTGCAACATGTCCTTGGCAATCGCAACGGTGGCGGCGTCAGCAGCACCACCGCCTGCAATGTTGGTGGGTGGGTTGTTTAGTACAGCGTGTACGGTTACAATGTTATTATTGCTGCTAGCGATACTGTTGTTGACGCTGTTGGTGTGGTTGTTGTTGGTGGTGGTGCTGCTGCTGCTATTGCCGGTGGTTGTTGCTAGTGTTGTGGTTGTGGTTGTTGTAGTGGCGGCCATTGAAAGGTAAATCCCACTTGTCCTATGCTCGGTTACTGTTGTTGTTGACCTGCAAAACGAAAAATGTAACAGATTTTTACCTATTGACTTCAATCAAATGTGTTTATTTATTGTTTGATTATGTAAATAAAGAGTTATCCGTATTTGTTTATCATGTAAGTTAAAATAAAATAAACCAATAAACTGTATACATATACATATGCGCTATTATATTTTACCAATATGTGTTGTTATAATTAACTCGATACCAAGTTTTGTTTTTGTTTTTCATAGGAACACAATTTGATCAATATTACATATAATGCATTATCAATTTGCATACACAATTGCCCGATATTAACATTATATTTTTCGAGTATCTACATTTATTTTGTTTTATGCAAACGTTTTGTATGATTTTGCAGCTTACAATTTTTTACCTATTGACTTTGCACATTAAGAACATATGTATTTGTTTAATTTGCACACCGTTTGTAAATCGAGTGCATTACATTTTTCCCTTTTTTTTATAGCTTTTCACGCGCTTTTCGCTCTTTTTTCATTTTGGCCCCAAGGTTTCTTCTTTTCGTCAGCCACAAATTATTTTCCAAATATACACACACACACGACCATCGTTGCTGTATCAGTTTTTGCTTTACTCTGTTTTGCTACCGCAGCCGCACATACACAATCGCACCAACATATATACCTCAGTCGGCAACAAAAACAAGCGCCGATTGAAGCAACAACAATAATAATAATAATAATAACACAACTACTACTACTACGCGGCGGGCACTACGTGAGTAAACACACACTTATATATATACATAGATATGTATATGTAGCGAAGCGGGCGAGAGAGCGGCAAACTGCAAAGACTCACGCTTGCGCTCTTATTCGCTTTCCCGGGAATGGAAAAATCTCCTCTCTCCAACTCCACACACATATCGGTATCCCCCTATCCAAAATAAAACTGAGCTTGCGGCCAGTGTTGCCAACAGGCGAATGCATGCCACAATTAGCAAATAAATCATTTTAAGTAAAAAAAAATATCTTCATTTAAAATTGAAGTTCATATTTTAAGATATCTTAAAAAATTTTATATCTAAGATTTTTGAATTTAAATCATTTAATTTAAAGACCATATGATATTAACATATAATTATTATAGTAAATAATATAATTTTTACAAAATTAATTTATTTTTATGATGATTAATGAAATTTGTACATACATATGCATATATGTATTTTTTAATAGCATAATTTTCCATTTATATTTTTATTACCAAATGTAATTAGTCGATTTTTTAACGTTTTGCCTGTATGTATGTATTTAATACTTAAAAGGTTTTTTTGAATCAGCAGAATGCAAGCAATGGCTGAGTGTGACCCTCTTATATCCTATGAAACACTTTACAAGGCACCTGTGCAACAAATGGCAAACAATGGAAGTTCAACTTAAAGGATCTTGGGGAAAACAACTGCATTAAGGGAGAATTAGACCTCCATGGCAACTGGAACTTTTCGCAGAATGATCTGTGGCTTCTCGATGGGAAAGGGGAGGTAGGATGGGCAAAAAGAGTAACTTCTTTTTTATGCGGTTATAAAAGAACGTTGGCAACACTGTTCCACTCTCCGACTTGCTTGGCTCCACTTGGCACCAACACAAAAGCACGCATACTGGAACTCGTACATACACATGGACGGATTGAGAACTCTCGCACTGGCAGGCCACACATGGCTCCCCATCAATCGATCGAGCTTGCATGCATAAACATGCAAAACGAAACCAAAATAAAATTAACGAGAACAACAAAAGGCAAACAAACGCCCATACATACGGTCATATAAATAAACACACGCATACACACAGTTACACAAAGATTTGGCGAGTACATATATTTATGTGCCTGTGTGTTGGGTCACTCGTAACGGCAAAACGACGGCGAAAGAGAAGCACAATAAATAAATAAAAACACCAAAACACACACAGACACACACGCACACATACAGATGGCGTATTGGAAATGCGTAAAAAATGCCGCTCGTTGATTTTTCAGCTAGCAACCGACTCCACCTGCGCATACATATATATACATAGATACGACGGATGTCTTGTTTGTCTCTTTGTAAACACACAAAAAGCACACTTTTCACAACGTATAGCTAAAGCCTGCTGCTCTTTGGTTTTCGCTCGGCGATTGCGTAAACTTGCCGCCCGCTTTTTCCCACCTAACATCAAAATATGTACACACACTTGAGGCCACCCATACCTATACGCGTGTGCGTGTGTGTGTGCGTTGTGAGCGTGTTCCAAAATAAAAACTTAATATTTATTTATATGCCTTTTTAGCTGATTGTTTTTTCCGCTCACTCTGCTATTGATTTTTATTACTACTTATTTTCGCTCTCTCTCTTTCGCTGTTTATATTTTCGCCGTTGGTTATCAAACTCGAACTGTTTTTGTTGTTCTTTTTTTTCAGTCTTTTTTTGCACACAACACGTTTTTCGCTGCGCGTTTGTGTGTGTATATTATTTTTTGTTCGCCTTGTTTATTTTTATTTTTTTGCGTACCTTTTTGGAAAAAACCTTTGGCTGTTGCACTTTGTTTAATCTCTTGTTATGCACGTAACACTAATAATTGGGCAATAATTTAAAGCCGATTTGTGCACTTTTTCAGCGATTTTAATGCGGTTTTCCCGATTCTTATTGCTTCAGCGCGGTGAAGGAGAAGAAGAAGAGAGCAGTTCGGATGACGCGGTGGCAACGCCAGCGTTCGAAGTCAGGCATGGCCAGTCGAAGGTCTGGCAACAGTGCACATCAGCTGTTTTCAACCGCATCTTGATTTTGTAACAGTTTGGAAAATTATTTTTGATCGATTTTTTTTAAATTAAACTGACAAGATGCAAAGTCTAACACGTTTGCTGAGCACAACATTGACCCTACAAACACCGCCACGCATGGCGGCAGTGGGAGTGTCGTTGCAACAGATGCGCGGCAAAACCAAAGTGGTGGAGAAACCAAAACCCGGTGCCGGGCAGCAATTCCGTCGAACTGTGCACTTTCCGGAGGAGTACACTGTGGAGCCGCTGAAGATCACCCACTTGGCGGGTCGAGATCCTATCTCTGGTCGCCTAGTGGCTAAAGGCATTGGCGGGGGCATTAAGCAGCAGTATCGCTGGGTAAAATGGGTGCGGGACGGTCCCATGGACGGTGCCCAAGAGGAAGTGGTACTTGAGGTGATCCGAGATGGTTGCCGTACAGCCAAAGTGGCCCTGGTGGCAGTCGGCGATGAGTTGAAGTACATCCTGGCCACTGAGAACATGAAAGCGGGCGATATCCTGAAGACCTCTCGACTAATCCCGAGGATTCCAGGTAAGTTCGATTAGAAACAGTCATGTTTTTATATAACATATATCTTGATCAAAAAAATTTTAAATGGGTTTAATTTGAGTTAAGTAAGTATTTAATATTTATTAAATTTTTTAAGTGTGAACTTTAATCGGTTCATAGTAAAAAGTATTAACTGTTCCGTCTATCTTATACATATGTATTTAAAATTCCCGATATAGTTTTTTTGAAACCAATTATGCGTTATATTAAAAAGATATTTTGTTTCCCTGTTCTATGTGACTGATGTTTCCATACTCCTGTAGTGCGTCCCAATGAAGGCGATGCATATCCTCTTGGAGCGCTGCCCGTGGGCACCCGTATTCACTGCCTAGAGAAAAATCCCGGGCAGATGTGCCATCTGATCCATGCCGCCGGTACTTTTGGCACTATCCTGCGCAAGTTTGACGACAAAGTTGTGGTACAGCTACCCTCCAAGCGGGAGTTTGCTTTCCAGCGCACCTGCATGGCCACCGTGGGTCGACTCTCTAACCCAGATCACAATAAGGAGCATGTTGGCAGTGCCCAGCGGATGCGGGAGATGGGCAATCGTCCTCGGTCCGGACTGTGGAAGCGCAAGGAGGGCAAGCACGGTCGTAAGATTCGGCGCCTGCCGCCCATGACCACAATATCACCACCGGCGCCACCAAAGGAGGAGATCATCAAGCTGACGCTGCCCCTATAAGGTTCTTCCTTTAATTTCTATGTGTCACACAATATATTACTAAGAACTAGAACTATAGCTAGAGCTATTTGCGCGTTTTCTTCATGGAGAAACCGGTGCCGTGGAAGCTCTCCGCATCGGATCCGTCCGCATTGCCAGCTGATGCACCATCGTCGTTGCCCCTATCACTGATGGGACGAATGTTGCGATCGAATCGAATGAGACCGAACTGGAAATCGTAGTCGGGAACGCCGCGCGGCAGGACCTTCTTAAGGACCGGTGTCTCCAGCTGGCTTTCCTTCTTCTTTTTGCCATCTAAACGGACCCCCGATCCCTTGAAGGTCTCTACAACCTCCTCCAAAATGGCATTGGCGGCTCCGGCAACTTCACTCCCTACAGATCCTGCCGTACCCTGCTGTCCAGAGCCCGAGGCCTGTGTTTCCGAGTGATCCTTGTAGCCCACTGGGGCTTCAAACTCTACATTCATGTCGCACTCAATGATGCTGACGGCATTGCCGGGCTTTGTCTCCAGAACACACAATTCGTAGACCTTTTTGTTGTACTTAATGGCTATCACGTCACCCTTCGTAAGGCAAGCGAAGTTGCGCAGGGCATTTTCCAGTACCGCCTTCGGATTGGTGATGTCCAAAAAGTCGGTACTGTGCGGCTGGAACTTGGAGAACGTGGCCACCGGCAGTGAAACACTTTCGATGTTGAGAATGTCGCCCTCCTCCAGCAGCAGGTTGTCCATCATCCAGTACGGCAGATAGCATTTGCCCTCATCAGCCACGAACTCAAGGACACCGGCGTGAGAAGATCGCGATTTCTTGCCGTTGGTAAGCTTGAAGAGCATCGGGTATTCTACATTCAGACGGGTAAGCGTGTCCAATGCGGAGGGAGGCATTATAACTGAAAATGTTCGAAAGTAAAGATCGATACCATAGCCATATATCTCACAGGAACTTACTCTTTCCACCCTTTTCTACGTCGGACCGCTCGTTTCCGGGCAACATGGATACGGAGAAGCATTTGTAGGTGGCATGAAAACTGCGTCCCTCCGGGAACATCATATTAAAGCCGCTGAAGTGGAACATTCTATGTATGGCTATCCTTGTGGATTTTGCACGAGATTTATTGCCCTATATCTCCTTTTTCTAGAGGAGGCCTAAATTTTGTTTTTATTTTTTTGTTTCTGTAATGTCACGGCTGTTGCAGTGTGACCAGATTGGCACACTGCAAAAACCGTAAATACGTATAGCTCACTATGGGTGGTCGTATTTGCTATCGTATGACCGTACATATAATCAAATCAGCATTACACTGAATAGGTACAAAATACCAAATGCATAATAGATAGATAGTATCGAGTCGATACTATCGAGTAGGCATTGGTTGAAGTATCATCTCTACTTAGCCAAGCAAGCCGGTGGTTGCGCGCGACTTCGTCCCGCTTAAATAAATTCAATAGACGAGTTATTGATTTGAAAAAGTGCTGTTGATCAAGTGAGTAATTCGTTTAAGGAGTACCCCGAACTGTTTTATATCATTTAAAATAGTTGTCATCTATGGGATTTTCCGCAGGATTCGCTCATGTCGAGCTTTTCAATGCGAGAGTCTTTGTGTGTGTGCAGGATATAAATACATATATCCTTGTGTATCCTTGTAGTCTGGCTGGCGCCGCGTGTTTTCGCGTGGGTGTGCTCAAAGTGTGTGTATGTATGTGTGATACTTTTTTGCCAACATTTTTTTTATTCACATAAAAAACTATGCTAAAACTAAACAAGCAACAAATGTAAAATGTTTGTTGAGAAAAATCAATAAACTGGGATATCGATTGGGCGTAGAAATAAGTGGGGTCGTAAAAGGAGAAGAAGAAAAAGTTTCTTATGGCTCCCAATTTGAAAATTTTATGTTTAGAGAAAAATCAGCATATTGTATTTTCAGTAAATCAGAGTACAGTTACTTTTTGGATATTTTGCAAAACAGTTTGACGGCCATTGATTTCGTGTGCAGCTGTTTTCGATTCTCTGTTGTGGTTGTTATTGTTGCTTCGCAGCTGCAGTAAGGTGGGCAGAGCGAGAGGATTCTAGGGCGAAACATGACTTCGCTGCGCACTCTCTTGCTCTCATCTTTTCTCGCAGCTTCCAGACACTCCTCTTGCCTTTCTCATTTCCCCACAACATCGCCGCTAGTATGATTCATTATCGAATAAGGCAATCCCCTACCTCCCCTCTCATCATTCATTTTCGTTCATCCTTTTATCTTCTTGTGAAATTGTCCAATTGCCTTTTTACTTATTTCTTCAAAATTAAAAATTGATTTTAACGATAAACATATTCAAAAGAATTTCCCGACTAAAAAATACCCGGTAATCAAAATGCACCGGGTAAAAATATATAGCCTACCTTAGGGCTTTAGATTTCATTAAGTAGATTTCTCAGATGTCTAATGAAATTAATTTTATTTAATATAACAATTTTTTTGATTTCACGTTTTGGTAGCAAATTTGATTTCTGTTTACAAATTTGTACATTTGTGGCTTTTTTGACGTTGTCTTTCCATTTTTTCATCTCCTTCTAACTTAGAACGGCTTTTAAAATTACTAACTTATATCTTTAAAGTTAGTTGAATATGGTATCTGGTGTAATTTAAGATTTAAAGTAAACGAATTACTAGTTACGGATGTTGTTCATATGAGTCCCACTGTGGTAACCAAAAAAAAAAAGAGAGAAGGAAAGAAACTTCGGCATCATTTTATGTACAGTTTTTGCGTCTGGGAACTAAATTTAACAAGTAAAAAGAAACAAAATAGAACATTTCAACTTTAAAATAGCGCAACGACGAAACACCACAATACTGAAATCTGTATACACGCATTCTGCATAATTTTTGAAAAATATGTGTACTTTTTAGAATTTTTAAATATCAGATCTTTGTGCTTACGTCAAAGAAAGAAATTTTCAAATTTTGTTTCTGCTTTAAAATGATATTGCGGATAAACGTATTAGTTTGCGCTATGAATGAGTTGGGTTGGGAGTAAATTGTTCGGTGGGTGGGAATGGGCTGATGGGGTGGCAGCAACCCCGCAAGGTCAAAGCGTGTACACACTCGCCGCCGGATGGAAAGTGTGTGTGCAAATTATTTCGATTCAGTGCTTCCAATCTTATTGCAACTTGTGGTTGGATGGTCATCGCACAAGTGCCCCTCAAACTGGAAAGTACAGTTAGAATACTGGGTCCCACTTCGGGAATTTTAAAGTACATACATACATAAAGGATTTCAAAAAAGTCCCAACTAGATAGAGTGCACCCTCGATTAGGACAACATTTTGAAGTAATTTCGAAGTGAACTGAACCCAAAGTTTTCAAAATCTAAATGCGGTTGAGTTATGGCAGTTCCCTCCATTTATTCCAGCTAAATTGTACGTACATATTTGCCTGTTGCCAGGTGCCCGAAACTTATTGAATGGGAATGGTATTTCAATAGAAATATATGTATTTGTACGACCATATAAACAGATGTATATACATACAAACATATACATAAACATACATACATACATATGTGATATTCAATGAGGCAGTAAAATACGCTCTTTGTTATTTTTTTTGAGCACACGTTTTAAATATCAGCCGACAAAATCGTGATTCCATTTTCGGATCGCGTGTGATGGAAAAAAACCCAAAAATGAAACAAAAACAAAACAGCTTTTTGAAGTTTAAACTCTTTTTATGAATGCAAAGAAGGTAGAAAAGAAAGAACGTAGGAAAGAAAGAGGCCATAATTAGAAATACATAGGAAAAATTCGCCAAAAGGGGTCCAAATTGCTTTGTTTACTTCTCGAGTGTGTACAGTCACACGTGTTGGAAACGTTTGCATAAACACAGTGGTCTTTCGATAGTTGGAATTATTTTTATAAAATCGAAAGTTTTTCGTGGATTCTTTGTTTTTTAGTTTTAAATAGATAACTTGTTTATGGGAGGTCTAAAAAATATTACCTTTTTAACACAAATTTTTTATTTGTAATGTAAATTTTGATAAATTTCGTTTTTATACTCTAAATTTTGTTAATTTAGGTGCACAGCGACCCTTGTTAGTTGTTTTGTATTATTGTTTTTCCTGTTGCTATTGCTTGTGGCAGGTCTTTGTTAATTATTTGTGTGCATCCCTTTCACACCTGAGAGCGTTTCCAATTGGATTGGACTGAAATGCGGATTACTGATTGAAATGGGAAAGGGGCTTTGTTGTACATGGTGCAGTTTGGCAACCATTGGATACGGTGGTGTTAATTTAAAACAAAGTTACCCTGGATATTGTGGCGGCCGCATGACCTTGAACTTGCGACAACAACCACCCTAAAAAACTGAGCCCACCGCCGCTCCGGCAAAACAACAAGTGGAAATTGTGTTAGCTGAGCTGAGTGAGCGTGCAGGGAAATTTGCCTTCCCTTCCTTTCCAGCGTTTTTTTAAGCCTGATCCGTCCTTGGGACAGTGCGGCAAATTAAATCAATATTAAATGCAGTTTACTGTTTGCCAGAGCCAGTTGCAAATGCAGTTGGTAGGCGGCAATGTCAAGGTTGCAAATGACGCGGCAGGTATATCGTACAGTCGCAAAAACTATTTACATATAATAACACTTAATTATGTTTTGAATATCGATAAATACGTAATAAGTTGGGCTAGACATGGTAATAACTACTTTAAGTCATAATTTCAAATATAAATCTTTGTATATTACCATTTTTTTCAGTGCATCTGGACCTATGCAATCCATTTTAATTTCATTTCCATGTCATGCAATTGCAATAGCAATACCTAAAGCTCTTGCACATTGATTGACCGCCTCCCAGCCACCCAATCACCCTCTCATCTTCGATCTGCCCGACCTTAACGGTTCATTCCAATTACAAACTGACCACCTGCTGGGCAATAACTGTAATTTCTCAATCAACAATGTGCAGCAAGTGATTTATGGCCACAGGAATTTCAAAGGACATAGTTAACGCTTTAAATGAGCATTCCTTTACAGGAAAACAATTATATTTGTTCAATGATTTTTTATTACTAATTTTTATTAGTTAAATAATAACCTTTTAATTTTAATATTTTAGATGCAAATGAGTCTCTTAATATTACCCTTTTAACTTGTTTTTTTTTTTTTTAATTTGTCGATTTAATAAACATAAATCACTATAGCTAACCTAAATTTGAATCGATCTCATAAACAAAAATTTATTTGTAATATGGAATGACTCACAAACTGTGCAATCTTGCGTGTTTGCGTATTTATAGCTCAAAAGTTCAAAATACGCCGCTAAATTGGAGGTGATTACCACAAACCTATGATTGTTTCCTTGTCGTTTCCATTGTGAGGATGTAAATGTGCTCACCCACTGTGGGTTCGTAGAGGGTGGCAAGGGTGAAAAGCGTAAACCACCCACCGATGACACAGCACGCAAATATGGAAATTTCGCGACCAAGCGCCAGCACAAAAACGTTGCGACCTTGCTAAGCCGCGGTGTCAGCCATTGTCCTGGTTACTTTGCTCAACCCACTGACCTCTAACCCCAACTATTAACCACCACCCAACGGCCTCTTGCCGTCATTTGTCTTCCACTTGTTTGTGGGTGGGTTTTCTTGAGGTTTTTCTATTTAAGTTTGGTCAAATATGTGAGAAAGTGCGAAAGGAAAATGTTATTTCGGTTTGTTTTGCTCTGCAGTTCTTTTGGAAAGCCAAGGTCGTTAAGTCGTTTATGGCCAGGAATCGTCATGGTTAATAAAAAGAACATATGTTAGGTGTTTTTTTATAGATGTACTAAATATTTAGTAATGTACTACAAACTAGTTAAAACTTAGTACGTATACTATACTATAGATAGGAGAATTCTGTTTCTGTTGAATGAAGTTCTGAAGTTATTCTAGAACGTAAAAGTAGGAACAAAAATCATTACTTTTCTTGTAAAGCAAATTTAAATTAAGTTAAAAACAGTTAGTCATGCAGTCATTGATCTTCATTGTAAACAATGAAAATCTATTGTTTTCTGCACTTACACTGATGACAACAATCTGAACAATAATAACAATAACGGCCAGTGGCAATTACAATTTCAATTGCGAATTTCCATTTGAATTCAACCACGTGGGTCCGGTTGGATCTGGATATGAACAAATTAAAGAAAACTATAAACAATTCCGTAGAAGTACCAAAGCAAACTCATTGGAAAATTCATTGAATGCTTGTTTTCCGGTTGTTACCGGTTAAAAGTACCTACAAACTGATATTCACATGCAAATCGAACTGAATTGAAAATCCTAGCTGATTTCGAGCTGATTTAGCCAGTTTTAATTTGGGTTCAAAATCGTTTTCTTGCCCAAACAGTTTTGTGAGCTTGGTTGGTTCAGTCGTGAAAATAACCAAAGATAGGTTAAAAGATATTCATTTTTATTCTTGATTAAGAATTCTAATATTTTTCATTTATTTTCAGACATGGTGAATAATTCTCTATGGTTGAAACAACTTTGCTACCCCAAACGTCAGGTAAGAATTCTAACCATTAAATTTTGAATCAGAAATAAATAATTACGATTGCTTTTTAGTTTACCAACTCGACACTTCTTAACTCCTATTCAACATAACAAGAAACTTATTATAATTAATTATTAAACAACCAACACAACAACACTATATCCACTTAATCAACAACATCGTCGTTTAAACTCAAAAACGTAAACACAACAATTGCTTAAGGAGTCATCCAGGAGGATTAAACGAATTGATGTGGAGTTAATGTTGAATATTTTCCAACATTAATCATCAAAATTCTGGCAACATCAGGAATTTTGCTGTTGGCGAAAAGGAAAAGGATTTTAATTTGGAATATTATTGTTCGTTTCATTTCGGTGTTCGGTGTTTTTGTCTAACGCAGGGTTATATTTTTTAGGATTTTATTTATTTATTTATTGCTATAATTTAAGGCGGAGCTGATCCTCAGCTTTGAAGAGAGAGGCTCCCAACCGAAAAGGGGTTACAATTTAGAGATATAAACATTTTCAGGGTAATTAGTCAACTAAGTAACGCACCTTCGCAGTTCCAAGCGGCGAGTTGTTCCCCCATTTTCATTATGAAAATAACGACAATGAAGTTTAAGCGCAAATATGGCTGTTTAGAGAATATTTGAAAAGAATTTCTCACTTATTAACCAATTTGGATTTTTGTTTCGACCCTCATTTGTTACGTAGTCTTGTATTTTATAAGTTATCAACGATTGTTTTGCACAATTCAACGCCATCCACAAATCCACCCAGTTAAATCCGCACTACCCAAAAATCCATACAGTTTTTGAGTTCAGTTTACTTTCGAGGAGCGAGGAGTCTAATCAGTATTTAGTTAGAGCCGAGAGAGTTTAGTGGTTTGCACCGAAAGGGTTTTGAATTACATTTAACTGCGAACCAACCAACCATTGACCACCACAACATGGAGAGTTTTTCGCCGGAGTTACTATGGATGGTTGTCATCGGCTTCTTAATCGCCTTTGTCCTGGCCTTCGGGATCGGTGCCAATGATGTGGCCAATTCCTTTGGCACCAGCGTTGGCTCTGGAGTACTTACCATCCGGCAGGCATGCATTTTGGCCACCATATGCGAAATATCGGGCGCCGTTTTGATTGGTAAGTCAATAGCTATAAAGCATGATTAAATATATTAATATCCATATTTCCTTAAAGGCTACAAGGTGTCGGATACCATGCGAAAGGGAATCCTGGAAGTGGGTCTGTATGAGGGCGCCGAGGAGGTGTTGATGCTGGGCTGCGTGGCTGCTTTGGGCAGTAGTGCCGTGTGGCTGCTGGTGGCCACTTTTTTGAAGCTACCCATTTCGGGAACACACAGCATTGTGGGCTCGACCATTGGATTTTCATTGGTGGCACGCGGTGTTCAAGGCCTGAAGTGGTCCACCCTGGGCACAATCGTGGGATCGTGGTTCATTTCGCCGGTGATGAGCGGAGTTGTTAGCATCCTCCTATTTCTGGCCATTCGCCGATTCATCCTGCGTGCCCAGGAGCCGCTTAAGGCAGGATTCCGATCACTGCCCATCTTCTATGGCGTGACGTTTTTCATCAATGTGATCAGTGTAGTGCTAGATGGACCCAAGCTACTCTATATGGACAACATCCCCACGTGGATAGCCCTGACCGCCAGTTTTGGTCTGTCATTGCTGGTGGCCTTGCTGACGCAGTTGATAGTGGTTCCATTGCAGCGGCGCAAGATTGCTAAGCGGTTGCGTGCCGAGAATCCAGTCAAGTTTAACTTCGAGGACTCTGTAGGTGAGTTAATGATGTTTCTTTTTAAAACTAAGTATCTGGATTATATAGCAGGGTTTTGATACTTTAATGAAGATTTAACATTGGAAACATAAATATAAAAAGTAACTTAAGAGTAGGGTTAATAAGTGGAGTCGTGTGGGTCGTTATCAAAATCTCTTGGGTTTGCCGAGTTCACAATGAGGAATCCTTCTTAGTTCCGACGCGATCGCCTCCTCTTCTTGCTGTCTTCATCAGTGCCTCCGCGCTTGTGGTGGATTTTGCGGACCACTTTTGGTCTGTGAGTTTTCTCTTTGTGGTGAGTGGTAGTAATAACCTTATGATTCGACGACTTCGTGGTGGGAGCGACTGTGGTGGGTGCAGTGGTGCTGCTGTCGGTGGCCGTGGTGGGTGCGGTTGTCGCTGTGGAGGTTGTTGTTGAGGTAGTTGGGGTGGCAGTTGGAGTGGTCGTTGAAGTAGACGCAGTGGGAGTTGCAGGCGGCGTTGAGGTTGTCGGAGTTGCGGCCGGAGGACTGGCTGCCAAGACAGTCGAAACGAGGGCCACGAAGCCAAGGAAGATAGTTAGCTGGGATCGCATCTTGTCTGATAGCTTTGTCTATTGCGAGTGCTGTGCTTTTCTTGGCAGAAGTCAGAGTATTTATAGCCAAATTGTTCGAAGATGTATCAGCCTTGTTTGTCTAAGCAAACAGTTTAATTATTTGTCTTAGGTCGCGTCTCAGCATGTGGCATATAAACATATTCATAACTAGGTTGGTTATACAAAGATTGTTGCCTACTTTTGTTATTTTTCTACGGTAGAAAATAATTCAATCAAAATAAATATTTAGTTAAACCTAATCGGGCTTTAGACTAGAAATACAAATTATATACTTATTGTTTTGGTAATGAAGCAATACATGATAAGAATTCTGAATCATATTAAATGTTTTCTAGAATCCTCGCCGTCGGGCAGTCCTAAGAAGCAGCGTCGTCCTTTGTCGCTGGTTAGCGAAGGAAAGCCACTGCCAGCCATCGCGGAAATTACCGAGCTGGTCTCATTGAGTGACAACTCACCCAGGACCTTTAAACTGGCTCCATTCGGACTTGCGGCTAAGAACAACAATGCACCCGGCGAGGAGTACAAGATTGATCCGCAGCTGATCAAGAAGGCAGAGGACCTGTTGGGCAAGGCTAGCCTGGACAACACCGATCTGACGATCACTAGCCTGAATTTCATCGACGAGCAGCAGCAACAGCAACAGCAGCAACAAAATGGACGCAAGTTGCAGGAGTGCTTCAAAAGGATGCAGTCGCCCAAAGAGGAGCAAAAGGTATCTGTCCAGTCTTAGATATCTTCAACTGTCCGTACTGACCATTATTATTCTTTCTTAACTTTCCAGCACAAGGCGAGCCCCATCGGAACGGACCTAGAAGCCGGAGCTACCAAGGCCACCAACAACAACCTTCAAGTGGTGGAGAGTGCCGGCAGCCTCGATCTGATGATCAGTTCTACACTATCGCCCAACTCCAGTAAGGTTCCTTTGATCGAGAGCAAGGAGGCGTTAAATGAGCAGGAGGAGGAGTTAAAGCGGGCGGCGGCCGGTGGACGAAGAACTAGTGGTGCTGAGGAGACCCCAGAGATTTCTATGCTTTTCTCGTTCCTCCAGATCCTGACAGCCACCTTTGGGAGTTTCGCGCACGGTGGCAATGATGTGAGCAACGCCATCGGCCCACTGATTGCACTTTATATGATCTATCGCGAGGGCTCGGTAATGCAGCGGGCGGAAAGTCCCATCTATATTCTGATCTATGGAGGCATCGGCATCTCCGTGGGTCTCTGGCTGTGGGGACGACGCGTCATTGAGACCATTGGCAATGACCTCACCAAAATCACCTCATCAACGTGAGTAATAAGTGTATATATTTTAAGAATAATGTTAATTATTATAATATCTCTTTTTTTATTTGTTTTTTAGTGGCTTTACCATCGAAGTCGGAGCTGCCATCACCGTACTGCTGGCCAGCAAAATTGGCTTGCCCATTTCGACCACTCATTGCAAAGTCGGTTCGGTGGTTTTCGTGGGGCATGTGAGTGCATCGGGTCGCAAGAAGGGTCAACAGTCAAATGACCAGGAACATCAAGTGGGAACTGATAAGGATGTTGCGCCCACGGAGGACGGCAGTGTTGATTGGCACCTATTCCGGAACATTGCCTATGCCTGGATTGTGACAGTGCCGGTTACGGCTCTTCTAAGCGCCGGAATGATGTACGTGCTGTGTGCCATTGCCGTGGATGACATGGGTGGGGCCTAGAGATAGGACAAAGATTGCCATTCAATTATTAATTGTAATTACAAAACCAAAATAATGTTTCGTAATTGTACACGTTGGAAAACACAAAACTTAATATTAAACACCCAAGAGGAAACTCAAGAAAAAAAAAGTGAGAAACAGAAAATCTTAACTAAATTACTCGCCTAACTAAAGCATTGTATTTAGCTCATAGAACTTCTCTGAGTCTAACTAATCTTGATATTATTTAATATGTGTACGCCCAAGCATGTCGTGATTTGATTTCCGATTTCTACACTTCGATTTATGTTTATATCCGATTTGTACTTTCCCTAAAATGCCTTTGAACTCAAATTAATTTACACCACTCAATAGAGCAGAGCAAAACACTTGAATAAAATACAAACTATGTACAACAGAAGATGTTTATACGATGTGGTCAGACCAATTTTTAATTTTATATTCTTTTATTTATTATTTACTGAATTGATTTTGAAATTTCTCTTTGAGATTCCTTTGTCACGGTACTAATTGGTTTTAAGTTCGGTTAAATACTAATTCAAAACCTAACTTATGAGGCTCTCCAGTCCGTTATCGATTTACATTCCATTGAGAGCCAGTTCGTATAGAATTTCACTATGTAGTTATACGAAAAATAAATACAAAGTTATGACACTCAAAAGACTTTTTCTTTAAGGTCCAGTTACTTAAATGGTGTGACTAAGATCAAATTACAATACCCTTTTAAAAGGATTTAAATATGCGGCACTGCCTTCAAGGCTGAACTAGCCAAATCCTTTAGACTTTCTACTGTGGAACAGTTGTCTTTGTTTAGATAACCTAAAAAGTTGAGGAAGACATATGTGGCTTTAGTGTTCAAATAAGTTCTAACTTGTACTGTTTGCCTAAGAAAAACAAGTCTGGAACTTCTTCTAACGATTCCGCTATAAATACTCTGACTTCTGCCAAGAAAAGCACAGCACTCGCAATAGACAAAGCTATCAGACAAGATGCGATCCCAGCTAACTATCTTCCTTGGCTTCGTGGCCCTCGTTTCGACTGTCTTGGCAGCCAGTACTCCGGCCGTAACTCCGCCAGCCTCAACGCCGACTGCAACTCCCGCTTCGTCTCCTGCAACGACCTCTCCAACAGCCTCCCCAACTACCTCAACAACAACCCCCACAGCGACAACCGCACCCACCACGGCCACCGACAGCAGCACCACTGCACCCACCACAGTCGCTCCCACCACGAAGTCGTCGAATCATAAGGTTATTACTACCACTCACCACAAAGAGAAAACTCACAGACCAAAAGTGGTCCGAAAAACCCACCACAAGCGCGGAGGCACTGATGAAGACAGCAAGAAGAGGAGGCGATCGCGTCGGAACTAAGAAGGATTCTTCATTGTGAACTCGGCAAACCCAAGAGATTTTGATAACGACTCACACGACTCCACTTATTAACCCTAATCTTAAGTTACTTTTTATATTTATGTTTCCAATGTTAAATCTTCATTAAATTATCAGTTCTTTCTATATAATCCTGAGATTTTGCTTTTAATAAGTCTGGACAGAGTGCAGTCATCCCTAACCCTTATTAACCATCAAGAAAGAATAGATTATTGATTTATATATTCTTATTGGTTTCTTAAAAGAATAATTTATATTATTTTAAATACTTTTACTTACAATCTGTCTTGTGACAATAAGTAAATTTTATGACTTCCAGTGAATATGATTTCCAGTGAAACCTGCTATTATATTTAATAAACTTCTATAGTTTCTCCTTTACTTCAATTTACCTATCAGGGATATCAAGAATGTGAAATCTGTTGAGTCCTCTGAATGTTAAGCTATTGCCTACTAGACCTAGGGCTAAATTATTTACATGATTGTGAAGTCTGTCTGTATATATCTTATTATATTTGTTTACCTCTTCTTTTATAGTTAGAATATTTAGATCTTTATAAATATTTGCATTGGCTACATAGCGAGGAGCGTTAAGTAGGGCTGAAGTATTTCAATATTTGAATTACTTTCAAAATGGCTTTGTAGAGGATAATTTTGTTTTCCAAAGTGACAGTTGATTTTCTACATAGTAACCAGGACAATTTCAGGGTTTTCAGTCTGAGTTGTTGATATTTCACTTTTATTTGAAATGTCCATGTCAGTCTGCGATCGAGATGCATTCCAAAGTACTTCACACAGGTATCTTGTGGAATTGCTGAGCCGGTAAGTGTGACATTTGGGCAGTTTCCTGGTCTCAGTGTAAAAGTTATTTGGACAGACTTCAGGGAGTTAATTTGAATTTCGCAGCGAAGAAACCAGGCTTCTTTAATTTCTATCAATCGAATTTAATTTCTCTTTTAAAGTTTTTGGTATAAAGTTTACCAAAAGCATTAAAATCTATCTATGATTCTATCGTGAGAACATATTTACAATAGCTGCTGGCTTTGCCATTTTAAGCACCAAACGACGCCAAATAATGTTTTAGCTTTAAGATTGGAATCTGAAAAACTCATTGGGAAACAAAGTTTGCTATTTAAATTACTAATAGTTTCGAGTTGAAAAGAACGGCCAAAACTGCAAAAACCGCTAGTGAGGTATTTAAGCTAAAGCAATTTAAAATATTTCACGTTAAAAATTTAAACCATCCATTGCTATTTAATCAAGCTTTAGATTCTATCTTTTTTTAAATTTTGGTATTTAATTTTTGACTTGTTTTAATTTAATTGCAAGGAAGGAAAACACAAAAATTTGAGAGTCTCATTTCTTTTCATTTAATAATGCGATTATTATAAAAACATAAGTAGTATAAAACTAAAAAATAAGTGTAAAAACGTTTAGGGTTGTCAGCCAGATCATTTTCATCAGCAGGATTCCATTTTAGGGCTTCAAGTTCGGCGGGATGTGTTCTTGCGACCATTTCTCTTGCCTACTTTTTTGTGTTTGATGTGTTTCACTGCCGATCTCTTCGTTTTATTCTTCCAGTGCCTTTTATGCTCCTTCTTCTTTGATTTCTTTGTTGTGGGAGCCACTGTAGTGGGTGCAGTGGTGGCGCTGTCCGCTGAAGTACTGCTCGCCGTGGTCGCTGTGGAGGATGTTGGCGAGGTAGTTGGGGAGGTTGTTGGGGAGGTCGTTGGAGAGGTCGTTGCAGGAGACGAAGAGGGAGTTGTAGTCGGCGTTGAGGCTGGCGGAGTTGCGGCTGGAGTACTGGCTGCCAAGACAGTCGAAACGAGGGCCACGAAGCCAAGGAAGAGAGCTAGCTGAGATCGCATCTTGTGTGATAGCTTTGACTACGGTGACAGTTGTGCTTTACCGATAGGAAGTCAGAGTATTTATAGCCAAATTGTTAGAAGATGTTTTAGACTATTTTGTCTAAGCAAACAGTTTAATTATTTGTCTTAGGTTGCGTCTTAACATGTGGCATTAATATATATTCATAACTAGGTTGCTTATATAACCAAGTTTTGGTTCTTGGCTGATGATTAAATGTATTCAATAGAAATAAATATTTATTTTGTGCCAAATGAATTTGAATAGATCTAATGGGGAAGCTCATTGTATAATATTTAAAAAGCTGTTGATAAATTCATTTCTAACAATAGTCAAAAAACATTTTGTTTAACGACAAGTAGAATGAAAAGTCCTTTGTCTTAAAGTTTTATTTTATTTACTTTTAATTTTTTAATTGATTTAACCAACCAGTTGATATTAGCATAAAGCCAAATAACATAGAAAATGACTTGAAAAATGCATGCATTGTACCAACATGGCGGATGAGTAATATTTGTAACTATGTAGCAGGTATTAAAACAAGTTCTTCATGGATTAAATAATAGTATTCTTATGTTAAAAAATATAGACAATTGAATATGTTTAATAAATAAGATGTGCCAGAAATGAATAATCTTAAGAAAAGGACATAAAATATTTGTTAGGTAGCAGTATCTCTTGTATTTAGTTGCCTGCTTTTTGGCTTACCTCAAAATACTCAAGAAAGCTTACCCAAACGAAGTTGCTTTTGAAAGCTCAGAAGACGAAGCTTTTGAGCGCGTGGCGGTTGATGGAATCCAGAGGCTCAACTTTAGGTCAGTTGAGTTAGAAGCTTCGATGCGTTCGGTTCGCAATACCCGATACCGCGATAATCTAAAAAAAACCCGGTTTGGTGCGATTTTTTTAAACTCGTAACGTCTGCGCACTTAACGATCCCCAACAATACGAAATTCGGAGTGCTAACTGTTCGAGTTTTTTGACAAAAAAAAAAAAAACAAACATAATTGTGAGAAATAAAAAAAAGAAACTTCCACTTGGATTTACGCATTTGGATTTCGTATTTTGTAGGAATTAAAGGTAAGAGGCTTGCGAATATTTATAGGAAAATTGTAGTTTCTATATGAAATTTGAAATAGGCGTACAACTTCCGTGGGCTGCCTTTCTATTTACCACCTTTCTGGGCACATTTTCAGATTTCCACAAGTACAAGTATTACTTAATTTTCTTTGCTTAATCCGATTTGCGTGCATTGAACTTTTCATCTTTGGTTATTTTCTGCCGCTGTTATTGTTTTTTTTTTTTTTTTTGTTGGACTTTATTTTGCAGCAACTTCTTGTGGTTTTGTTCTTCTTGTTGCTGTTGTTGTGGCGAATGTTGATTGTTTTTTTTTTGTTGTTTCTCCAACATCTCGGCAAACGGCTTGTTCTCATTTTATTTAATGAGTTCCCTGGTATGTCAGCCTTTGTTTTGCATTGCCCGGAACCCTGTTTGTTCAATAGGTTTAAAGCGTTTCAGCAATTTGAGTTTAAACTAAGTAATTAGCATGTGGCTTTGACTTTTATGGGGCATTCTGGTTGTTGCTTAAAGTTTCAATGAATGAAATTTCTGGCTGTCTATATTTGGGTTTTAATTTGTTGTTAAATGGGGAATAGTAAATATGTTAAGTCCACATATGTCTAGAAAGATAAACAGGAAGGCTAAACAGGCTACTGAAGAATGTGGCAGACGTGAAAGTTTGAGCTTCTTTTACAGTTTTACAGTCCTTTTTACAGTTTAAAATATTTAATATTTGCCTAGAAACCTAAACAGGAAGGCTAATCAGGCTACTGAAGAATGTGGTAGACATTAAAGTTTGAGCTTCTTTTACAGTTTTACAGTATTTTTTTACAGTTTAAAATATTTGAAGTGAAAGGAAAAAGGGATACTTTCAAAAACTGCTAATAATTGCAGGAAAATATGCTACTTTTGTTTTAAAGAAGAGAATCTTAAATCAAAAAGAAAAGGAATTAGATAATAAATAAATAATATATAATATTTTATGGTTGAAATACAAGCTTATTAGGCAGTAAAGGTGACTTTATATACAGAAAACGAATTTAAAGTTAATTTTAAAAGGTTTTATCACCTTTTTCCTACCCGAAACCAGCAGCTTGTTTGTTGTTTTAAATAAATTACTAAAAAATAAAACCAAATGTTAAAACTGTGGAAAATAAATTCTACACCTAACGACTAATAATAATAGTTTTCTTCCGCTGAAATTCCTTTCTGAACTCACAGAATAATTAACTCTTTTAGCAAATGAAAAACCTGTTCAGCTTAAGCAAATCTTAGATCGATGTCAAAAATCTAAACTCAGCATGTGCGACCTATTTTTAAAAAAAAAAAAAAAATAGAAAGAAAAATACCCCACCGGATGGATCGTTGAGCGAGCACCTGTTTGATCTCCCGGACAGCTCATTATGAACCCCAACTAGCGGGATTTCTCCTCAAAAGCGATGCCGACACCTGCAGATAGAATAACCTATTGGGCATACATCCATCCATTTGGCCAACCGAATAACCAAGCCCACTTGCGAAAGCCACAGAGTCAGAACAAAAGCCAAAACGATCGAAGCCATTAAGCCAGAGTCAGAGCCAAAGCCAAAGCCAGAGCCAAAGCCAAAGAGTTTCCGAAGTCCGGAGTCCCAGGCAAAAGTCATTAAAGACAAAAATCTATTGAAAACGGCAAACAACACGCCTTAAAAATACTTTGTGGCGGGCTAAAAAAAAAAAACAAAACAAAAAAAAATCGGAAAATATTTCTGCTGCACATGGTAGTAGCAATTTTCATGTTGGCCAGGTGGATGTGTAGATGCCATGGCCTAAACCACACCGCCACCTCTTTTGCCTGCAATGTTAATTAACCGCTTATCAGTTCGTTCGGAGTTTCACTCTGCCAGGGAGTCCAGTTCGAACCCACCAATTATCCGGAATGTCCAACTAAAGACCCAGACCCATACCCCCAACTCCGCTGGCGTTCTAATTTCTTTGCTCTCTTTTCGCTGCGATTAATCAAAATTGTATCTGTATCTATCGGATGCAAGGCATTCACAATTCATCAGCATATATGTACAGTGTGTGCTGTAATTACTGGATTCTGCATATGAGTACATAATGATAACCCTCGGAGCGATCCACTCCACTTGCCATGCCATTTGGCTCACTTTCTCTAGCCTTTGGCGAGTGTGGTGGGAGTGGCCACTTCCCCCGAACGCCCCCCGAATGGGTGTTCCATCTATTCAATTTGACAATCTATAAAATATATTGATCATAATTTTTAACCAACTTTTTGCGATTTGGTTTCCTGTTTGGTGTGGACCACTTTGGGTGTGGATCGTTTTTAATTAAGAAAACCATTAATAATATTGATCAGTGGGATTCCATGCGATTTGGTTACATCCTTGCTTTAAGAAGAATTTCTTTTTAATTGATGGTGATGGTAATTTATTACAAAAATGCACCCCTTTTTAGCCCAAAATCTGCAATGAAAATATCGATTTTTAAAGATTTTCTAACAAGAGTTAGCAATCAGCATAAACCTATTAAGATTTAGAATCTAAATTTTAGATCATTTTGAAGAAGATTCTCTAGAAACTATTTTTCTATAAGTCACAAGATAGTGTAATACAAAAATTTATTTTTAATAATACTTTTCTTTAAATTTAAAACCAAAAATATATAAAAACTCCCTGCTTAAAGCTGCCTTAAATAATTATAGCTAAAAAATATAAGAAAAACTTTCATCATTCTTTTTCATGAGTGCAACATTCCCTTGCATAACAGCGGCACTTGCAACAGCATAAAAAAAATCAATAAAAAATGTCAACCGAAAAGGAAAACTAAATGCACATTTTCCGCTTGCGTAACAAAACGAAGAAGCCACCAAAAATCGCACTAAAAATCGAGAAAACAAAGGCGATGTCAAATAAATGATGTTGAATAAAAAACAATAAAAACAGAATTTGAAAAAAAAGGTGAAAAGAAAAAAAGTGTAAGAAAAACCAAAAATATAATAGTAAAAAAACATTCAAATAATGGTTACTTTCTAACATAGCCAGGCTGTTTCCTGATGTCCCATGGCTTGCCTAGGATTTCCTTTTTCACAGTTTTTTAATGTTTTTTTTTTTTGCTTTTCGCCTTGGACATTATCTGGCCAAAAACTCACTTGACAGCCAGACGCCGCCGCCCCTCCGCCATCCCACCCCTGCAGCATTGGCAGCATTGTCATTGAAGTCGACGACTCCACGCGGACCAACTGCATTTCCCACTCAAGACAACATTTCATAAAGTTTATTAAACTTTAACCAAATTGTTAAAGCGTCGATTTGCCCCCCCTCCCTCCTACCCGACCTGCAGCTCCCCCCCTGCATTCACTTTTAGTGCTGCTGTAGGCGCTCCAAACGAGTCCATCAACTTTGGCCAGCCTCGGACCAAAACAAACTGCCACATTGGCCAGAGTTGGGAGCTGGAGCTGCAACTGCTATGTATTGGTAATGGTAATGGCTTTAGCTATGGTATTTCATTTTCCTTGAAGTGGCAAGAGCATTTTCCTCGAACACCACTCGAATATCGTTCGTGTGTCGCCCGCCCGAGAATCGCAAATGAATTTTCATTTTGCGTTAACTGTCAAAAAGTAAAATCTATTAAGCGATCATTTCCGTTCGTTGGCAAAAGCGTTGGGGAAATGCACTCTCTTATGCAATGGAAATGCACAGTTGCGCTATCGAACTGCATTTGGGTTATAACTAATGGTTATTAGCATTTTTTTATGGATATATAATAACGTTTTTTTAATATTTCCGGTTAGATGAATGTTTTGGTTTTTTAATAAACTTATGGGGAGCATGAGGAGAAGCTGGAGAGTTAAACTTTGTGAAGTATTATTTGAAAATTGTTAACACTTTTAGAAATACTCTCTTTTCTGCTTAATATATTTCTGTCTTAGATAGAGACTTTGTTAATAATAGCACATTAATCGAATAGAGTTCTAAATGGGACTAAGTTTACCAAAAGTATTGCTCTTTGGAACATAAACTTACCAAATTTGCTTACTCAATAAACCCAAGTCTGAAGGTTACACCTCTTACTCGATCTAAAAAAAGATCCCTTATAAAAAGCTGACAACTTGAACATAAATATCTTTCACATGGCAAGCAGGCAAGACCATATTTGGTAACAATAACAAAACATGGCAGTGCTTTTGACTTAATTAGGAAAGTGTACAAGTGCCTGAGCCGCAGCCGAACCCTAAGACTCCAACGGCAATTGCCATTAACCACATTAACCGCATTTTTCTATCAGCCAAAGGCAGTCAGGTAAACCTAACGATATGTCACTACCTGACTAGCCGCCTTTTCCATCACCCACGAAGTTGCAGGCTTGCTGGCTGGCAGGTTGCAGGTTTCCATTTGCATTGAAAGTTGTTTTGGTTCAGATCCAATGGAAATTGAAAATGAAAATTCCAACAGGGAACCGAGTGTCTTTCAATGGTTGGCAGAGCAAAAAGACTGATTTGCTATTGAAATTGTTCAATCGGCGGGCCAACTGGTTGACATTGAAGATGCTGGCAAAATGTCAAGGGTTAAGTGGAAGTCTTTTCAGTACAAGAGCTTACTGTAGTGAAGGTCTTTGTGGTTATTTATGTAAAAAATATTATATTTAAGGTAATAAATATGTTGGTTGCACAGAATGAGCAGATTTGTAAGATAAATTCATTAATAACTTTCTTATTTATTGTCTTTTTAAGATAGTTAAACGCTTGTTTTTCACTAATTTAAATATACTTAATCAAAAGACCTCTAATTTCCCACATTACAGCATTCTAAATATTCCTTTCATTCTAATAAACATTTCTCCAAGTCTAATAATTAGATCAAATCATAAACAATCACTTAAAGTCGGTTATAAAAACTGCATAAAAACCGCTCAAAACCCGATTTATTTTGTAACAAAGTTTTATCTGCCTAAAAACACGGCCAGCTGTAATTTATTTTTAATTTTCTATATTTATTTATTACCTAATTTGCGGCCGATTCAGT